TTTTGTAATACTTTCGAAGACGACATTCCCGGTGTCAAAGGAGTGGAAGTCCGCTAGGAACCGTAGCCCACTTCCCATTACTTTTTACAGGTGATATTCGTCCCATATACTGACCCTAATGCTCCGACTAACTGTAATCTGTATTAATCACATGGGAGCCCGTGCGTCCATTCCTAGGACTTCCTTTCCTGTTACACCGGGACTTACGAAATATCCTCATTTAAGGCTTTGACGCAGGAAAAGTCAACACATTGCGAATAGAGTATCTATTACCGTCTTCTATAATCAGCACCCCGCGTGCCACGCCAGTCCCAAACGACATCTCTTTGACAACACAATCAATAACGAAGACGCCATCAACACCTAAAGTGTACGTCGCGCTTTCGTAGTGGATCTTCAGTGTTGACTGGTTGAAGAAATTGCGGCATGAAGGATTGCCGTAGTAGAAGTTGTACTTGCTCATTTTGTTCTTGTTATTCTTTCCAGTGCTATCACAAAGGGGAATGATGTAATCGCAGTAGAAAATGGTGCTTCCCTTTGGTAAAACCATGTTGAAGGTACCGCTGGCTTGATAGTCGTCGTTCACCATAACCATCCAGCCTGAAATATTGATACACTTATTATCATAGTCGGACTCTGATATCGGAGGTATACTACAAAGGCAAGTGTACAATGATAAAACTGCATTAATGTGGATGCAGACTTATTTTTTCTTCTTTCAATATGATATTTAAAGGCTCTCTCCGCGGGATTTACCTGCCAAATGAATTTTCCCGAAAAAAAGGTAATCGAGAATCTGTACTCGGTACGTTCCTCCAGTTGGATTCGATGCCTTATTCTACTTGTTCTACTAAATAATTTAGTCACTTGGAAAGTGATGGCCTCTTTTTTTTCACATAAGGCAATGGCCCGATGTTTTGTATTGCGACCCTGCACCATGACATGAAAAATGTAGGTGCCCGTCAACGTAAACTTCAGGTCGTCTTTCGAAAAAAATCCAGAAGATGGCTTCCGTCCGGAGCCTAGATTAACTTATATTTAAAAAGGTCTAACGTTTTAAAGTTTGATCTGGGGAAAATAACAAGTTTTGGGGGATACAGGGTATAAATATGACTGTAGGGGGATTTTCTAACGTGTGGAGAGTATCTACACGTTTTCCGCGTATAGTCTACATGTAGATATGTGTGTGGACCAAACCAGTCTGTTTGTCTGTCTGTCTTTGTCTGTCTGTGCATTGTTTGTGTGTATGTGTAGCTTGCGATGGACACAAACAAAAAGTTAAATCATCTCCTATACATGTACATAACCGGCTGTGTTCACTTACCTACATCAGAAATTGGGGCGTTAAAGAATTCCACCTCATGTTGTTTGCTGGCCGATACCAGCCTGTATCTCACAGCGGTGTCCACTTTGAGGGCACTGAAAGTTAAAGAGCCGTCAACGCTTGTTACTGCCTTGGTGCCATCTAAGTACACGTCGTCCTCCACATCGGTGAAGTCGATGCCGTACTTCGTCTGAAAGAAAAGCAACGGTGTTGAGACACAATATGTGCTGATATCTAAGCGCGTTAAAGCGTGAAGGTTAACATTGACAGTGACCCCGATAAAATAACGATAACGATAAACTCCACATATTTTTATGCCACAGATTTTGATAAAAATTTTAACCTGTGTTCGTCGTTCTACTTTACAAGTCTGTTGAAAATAGAAGTCATTTCAGTTAAATTTCGATAAATATAAACGGAGTGTTTTTGAAAAAAATCAGTTGGAACAAAAATCAAATCCAAATTGCCCTATACCTTCAGCCAGGCGGTGGCCATTTTCCCCTCCTGAATGACGTCAGCTTCATTCCTCCCGGCCAATCGGTGTAGGGCCAGAATCTCGCTGCGGTTTTGGCGAAATAAATTGTCTGTTCTTCCGTCCATAATGTAGGTGAGCACATAGTCATAGCAGGGGGTGGCACTGTTGGAGCAGGTGTCACGGCGGTCGTTGAGCATTGGTCCACGTCCAGCAGTCACCATCCCCACGATGACGAGGAACGAGGCTACAATAAACACTTTGATGCTGCAAAGAGTGACAAGATGGTACTTTGAAATGACAGTGACATATTTGCATCTGAACAGTAAGATAGTTCTTTCAATACCTAGAATATGACCGCATTCACAACAGTAACATATCTGCGGATCAAATATGGCGACCCACTTAAAATAAAAGCTTCTTGAATAAACCGTTAATAGATTGGTTCGGGCATATTTGATCCGCGGATCTGTATGTCCTCTGCTGTGAATGGCGTACTACTCATCCATTATTTAAAGTCCGACGCACACATGATTGTTCAAGCTGATCATACACAATGTGCTCAGGTTTGAAGTACACGGCAAAGTCATTTTTTGCGTCAAATCACCATGACGACAATCACAATACAAGGCTGTAATAAACAAACGTCAATTAATAACGAGCGTGACACGGTTATTCCAACAACGCGTTCTCAATGGTAGACATCCCTGAGCATAATACATTATCAAAATAAGGTGGCATTGTTACTTATAATTCCACAGAAACAGCTGTTGCAAAAGTAACACAGAGGAAGACAAAATTGGACGCCGCGCGTCGCTGTATATGTGAATGTACATGTATAATGAAAACGGGTATATAGTTAACAGGAGTATTCTGCTCCATGTATGATCGACTCTCCGACATTTTGATATCGTTTCCTTCATTATCACCTATCTTGGAGCCTAATATCGCTTTTAGGTAAAATTTGATTTTTTACTGCTTTCTCAACACTGCATCGCATTTCTCTAAACGTAATTTAGCTTAAGTCATCAATTACTTAAAAATCAAGTGTATTCTTCAGTATGAACAACCTAACTCGCTCGCGGTTGCCTGGTTAAATTCCACGTTGCCTTGTGCTCACCTTTGAACAGTGTCCATGGCGTGAAGGTGATGCTTTGATTAGGCCACACTTTTTTAATTTTATGGATGACATCCTGCGCGCGCGCCGATTTTCGTCCGTTCTCCAAAAAAAAAAAAAAAAATCCTCCCCCCTTTTGTAGCGGTGCTTACCTTACAACGCTTTCCATTTCGTGAAGGAGATGCGTCGATTACTTAGACAATATTGCATCTGACGACACATTTATATAGACCGAGCAGGCGTAACATATGATCATAATAGGGGCGCGAACATCTTCCAAGGCCTTGCCCTGAACCAGATGGTTGTTTTTCCACATTGTGTAATATTGCACCTAATATGTTGCACAAACAGATGGGAGATGTTGTCATTTTTTACTAATATCTCAACAGTGTAGATGAGTGCAGATGAATGGCCATAGTTCTTAGGTTTTCCAAAATATCGTCAACTACAGTATTTAGAGACATTTGGTTGAAGATGGAACGTCAATTAAATAATTTAAGAATTATGCATCAGTTGCCGAGCATGAAAATGACTGGATGCTTGTATTTCACACTTTGTAGAAAATTAAGGAGTTTTATTTTCTATACACATATTCACATACGTATTCTTGATAAATAAAACGTGACTTCATCGGTATAAACGGTTGTTTACAGGACATTATTTTGGAAACTAATGAAGATATGTGACGGGGGCTTCTACGTGTGATAAAAGCGCGTCACTGTAAAGTTATGAACAACTCCCTTTTTCCTGTGAAAGGAATTTTATTTTTCTCACACGGACTACATCAAGTTGAAGATGTGACCACGGTGTCTCTCCCTCAGTTACTCCTTCCTATGCCACTACTTTCCCGACTCGCAGAACACCCCGAATGCGGCAAAATGCTGCATTTTTATAATAAAATTAGGGCGACAGGTGGTTCACATCTCACGTCATGGATGGGAATTTTGATTCAACATTTACTTAATTATTAGAAATACTGATTCTCGACCTTCGACTTAAATATTGTGATTTGCCCGGTTCTTTGATTATTAATATTTAATTTTGACTGAACCGGAACTGGTCATTTTCCTGGATTCATCGAAGTGTCTCTTAAACATTCATGCATTATACCTTAAGTCATTTAATTATATCTTTCTATTTTTGACAACGTGGCATTATAGTAGCTTGGTCCGTTTTCTCTGTAATTACTATGACGCGTTTGCTGACCACTACAGTCCAGTATTAATCAAGGTGCACTTCGCCTATTGTTTACTTGAGATCGGAAGGTTATTATGGTTGGTCAGTGCTTAAACGTCTAATGAGACTTTTGTTGTTTCCGAGATCTTATTGTAACTATTGAATTTTAACTGTTTTAAAACTTAAACTAAATTCTTACTAAAATTTGTAACACTGCCGTGTTATAGATAATCAACAAGGCTCTTTCAATAGAAATCGACAAACATAGTTTACAGTTTTGTGACATAAGCTCAAAATTCCAAAATTAAGTTTTTTTTATGATAAAAGTTTATTTTATTTTATTTTATTTTATTTTATTATTTATATATTTATTTATTTATTTATTTATTTATTTATTTATTTATTTATTTTTTGCAATGTAAAGTTGTACCGATGTAATGTATAGCGTGCTAATTATGTTTTGTTTTCTAAGATAAGATAAGTTAATTCTTCACCATTACCGCCTAAAGCAAAACCTCACTTCACACGGATTCTCGCCTTTGTTAGTCTCGCTAGGCAGTGACCACATTCTCGTTTTGGGTTTTCTAGAATGATTTCCACAAAAATGCATTAATGGGACTAGTATCAGATTTATTTAGACAACCATACCTTATGTAATTAATAGACTGAAAATTTGTGGAAGCTAGGCGACCTGTCAGATTATTCCGCTAGAAAATCATCTTAGGTTTAGCAGGTGTACACAGGGAATTTGACAGCGGGAATAAAGTTGATATGGTAACCCAGAACTGTTGTTTGTCTGTTCTTGACTGGCGAACGTTTTACCGACACTGACACATTTATCAATGGTCGCAGAAACGCATTTTATGACACTCCCCCTTTGAAGTGATGACAAAATTTGATACCAGAAAGCGTATTATGAAAAATAAGGTGCTTTATTTAATCATGGACACGTATTCAGTAGCACTAAAATCACACTAATTAAGTGTTTGTCATAAATGTAAAATAGCAAAGTTGAAAGTAAAATAGCAAAGTCGAAAATGAAGTTGGATTACACAAACAAGTTTAACACAAAGGACACGTATACAGGGTTGTCTAGTTCTGATATGTGCCATCGCCCCCAACACTGTAAATACAGAATCAACATTTGTCGTCATAGGCTTGCATGTCACCATTAGGAGAACGCAACTCAGAAAATATAAGGTGGTCTAGCATTGATTTTGTTTTAATACCCAGCATTCATCAGCTTTGGTATTCATGTCACTTTAAGTTCCTATATATCAAAGTGTCAGGTGTTGTTAGGCTAGCGCACGAAGACAGCTGTACTATGGCGCTGTAGCTGGAAATGTTAACACATTCCTTGTGCTGTACAGGTTGTCAGGTTCCATAAATGACGCTCCACGTGCTATGCCGACCCCCCATGACGTCTCCTTGACGATACAGTCGATAACGATGACGCCATCAACGGTAAGCATGTACGCCGAACTTTCGTAATGAATCTTGAGTGTAGACTGGTTGAAGAGATTTCGACAGTTGCGCCCTTTGCCTTTTGGTTTCTTTCTCCTTGTTTCTGTCTGATCACAAAGGGGAATGATGTAATCACCGTAGACGATCATTGCCCCCTGAGGTAGCGTACTGTCAAAGGTTCCGCTGGCAGAGTAGTCTTCGTTCACTATGACGGCCCAGCCTGGAAGTTGGATGTACATGTTCGTGACATTTTCAAAATGCAGACTTTAAGATCTATCCAAAACAGACTTTTCAATTGTAAAATAAATAAATGTATATTGATACAGTGGTAATTTCAATAACTAGGGCCTACTTAGAATGCGGTTACAGATGGGTAAGGAAACGTAATGTTTTACGCTTGTTTTGTCCAGTACACACGTGTGTTTGCATATGTATGTGTATTATGGGGGTCGTGTGTATCTATGCAGGGGCGGATTAAGGCCGTTTTCTGGGTCTTCTGGAAGACGATCAGATTTTCACGTTTACATTGTCAGCCATCTAATGTTTTCTGTCGGAAGACGGTCAAAAATGGAAGATGGATCAACAAAGATAATTTGGAAGACTGTCAGAAAATACCTCTGGATCCGCCCCTGCTATGCATCATGTGCGCGTTTGTGTATAGTATTCTATGTATGCATTTGTATGTTTGCTTTTCTTAATGTTTTTTAAGTGTTGGTGAAATGTATGTCACTAACATACAAAAACGTTTAAAATATCACGTGATATGCATGATGAATAAAAAAAATGGCGTACCTGCGTCAGATATCGGGGCGTTAAAGAATTCCACCTTGTGTCCCTTGCTGGCCGAGACTAGCCGATACCTAGCAGCAGGGTCGACCATGAACGCAGTGAAGGTTAAATTGCCGTCATCGCTTGTCACAGCGTTGGAGGCATCTAAATACACTTCATCCTCCACGTCGGTGAAATTGATACCGTATTTCGTCTGAAAGTAAAAGCAACAAGAAATTGTTGCATGACCGTGCTATTTCATATTGGCAATGAACTTGCTTGAAAACATAACACATTGGTAAATGTTCCCGTGGAAACTGTTTACACACTCAGCCATCTAAGGGTCTGTTCACGGTCTGTTAATCTGGGGGAGGGGAGGGTGACATGTTTACAACCGTGTTTATTGTTACCGCCTCGATCTTTAAATAGAGATATAACATAACACTGTAGAATAGTATTTTAATAATGTAACACTATTTAGACAAGGGCTAGCTTGGAACGGAAATCAGAAAATCTTCCGTCACCATTAGACCAAATTACAACGAGGTGTTTGTGCAACTAAGGCCATTCAAATCTCAGTTACTATATGTCCGATGAATGACAGCACAACGTTCAATAAATAAATAAATAAATAAATAAATAAATTTAAAAAAAGCAGTCATCCCATACCATCAGCCAAGCGGTCGCCATTTTCCCCTCCTGTATGACGTCAGCTTCAGTTCGCCCAATCAGCCAGTTATGGGCAAGTATCTCGGTGCGGTTTCCGCCAAAGAAATTCTCGGTTCTTCCGTCCATAATGTAGGTGAGGGCATAGTCATAGCAGGGGGTGTCGCTGTTGGAGCAGGTGTCACGGCGGTCGTTGCGGCCAGCATTCACCATTCCCACGCTGACGAGGACCGAGGCCACAATAAACGCTTTGATGCTGCAAAGAGTGACAAGATGATTTTTTGAAATGACAATATATTGTATTTTGAATAACGCGCCATGCCAGATCTGCCTAACTACCAAGCAGCTCTACACACTAAAAACACTTCGATTTAAAAAAAAATGAAAAAATTGGTTGAAACCAACCAATTGAACCCTTCAATGTGTTTTCAACTAATAATCTGAATAATTATCGGTAGGTACATTAACCGACTGAATCGGTTAAGTTTTATAATTATTTTAAAATAAATTTAAAATAATCATAAATAAACAAGATCCAAAAGGTTTGTAGAATTACTTAATAATCTTTTGATATTCTTGTTTAGTGTCCACAGATCAGTTGTTCAATATGCGATCCACAATCGACTGGTTGATCAATAACCGAATAAACCGTTGTTTGTAACTGATTTTAAGTCAACCGATTTGTTTTTAAAGCGTATCTCTATTATTGTTTCCGCGAGTAAATCAGATGACAGCGCACAATACAGATATTTCTCAAACCCTTGCCGATATGCTGTCTGTTTTGGCACATATATGCAGGTTAGCAGTCCCTGCACTCTGACGTCCTAAATGTGAATTCTTTGGGGAAAAAACTGTCACCTTTGATACCAGACTATGCTCATTTGTTATGGCGCCCATCAATAAACATACATCCATATGCTGTACTTAACTTTCGTTGCCGTTTGCTAGTGATACGGTAAAATAGTATTTATATATGAATGAATTTAGTGCAATTACTAGCCAGTGAATTTTGGCTCTCAGAGCAACACCAGCTACTGAAGCGAATGAGTTTTTCCTTTTTTATTTGATGCCTGGAAGAGAAATGAACACTCCCCTTAAGTCAATTCTCAAACTCCTAGATTACTTGCCCGGTTCAGTGGAAGAATATTTTGACAATATTCACAATTACTTAGAAACAGCGCAAAAATGTCCCTTTTCTCACACTGGATTTGGTGTCAGAGTATTTGTTGTTAAGTGGTCGCGTGGCAAACAAGGAAAAAGTCCCAAATTTCCTTCCAGATTTGGAAGACCTTTCCTCATAACTGACATATTTTTGTTTCGTGACTGCGATTAAATAAAAAGCCACAACTACCGCAACCACAACAACCTTTATCTAATCAAAATCATGTTGAAAGGCAAAAAAATATTTACTCTTAAACTGGACACTTACGTAGATCTGCTAGATATCATGCTGAGATTGTCATGCAGAAACTTCGGAGTGTCTTCATAACATCTTGCAGATCTACGCGTGTCCAGAATGAGAGTTAACATTTTTGCCTTTTGAACGTCACAACTGGGTGAATCATAATTCACACTTTGATTTCAGAATCAGGTAAAGCACCCTTGGGCGTTGAGCTTTAAAAAAAAGCTGCTGTCCTCATGATAACTTTCCAGAGAATAACAATTTTATCCAAAAGATAGTGTTATCCATAGGATAGCGCTATCCAGTGTTGATAAAGCTGGACCCAGAAGTAATTCGAAGACTTATGTTTCAGTATTGCGTTGTTGTATCTTAACATTTTATTTACCAATGAATTCGAGATGTGAAGATAATATCTTGGGTGCCAGGAGTCCCCTTACCTCCCGTTACACGCGCACATGTTCGTCCTAGATGTTGACCCACATACCGGTAGGTCAGGCTGACCCTTACCATTTTAACTAAATGGGAGGACGGATTTTCTGTAACACGGACCCCCAGTTTCCTTAAACCAGTATGACAGGAATGGTAAACCTCGGAATGGGAGTCCCGGGGGTCCCTTGTGATTAATGCAGGTGATTGTGGATCCTCTATATACAGTAGTTTATCACTTTGTGTGCGAATTCTCTTTCGCCAACGAAAATAATTGAAAATGAATGGACGTTTTTAAATATTAAACATTCATAGTATATTGTCGCAATTTTTCCTGAACAAAGAACTGGTTTGAGATTTTTAATATCGGAATTCAAACCTTAAAAATGTTTCATCCATTGACGCTTACACCTACTGTACTTAGTTTACTGGTCGGAATGCTGGACAGTCCATACCGTACTAATATACATAAGTTGATAACTATCGGGTGCCAGCTGGTGACACAGGAACAAGCAAACAAACAAACAATTAGCCCAGACAAACACATATATAAAGTTCCTTACTAGTAATAGTTAACCGTTATCAGCACTATAGCCAAAACATAGTAATCTGTACAATAAAGATACCCCTGGACCCACCGCTAACTCATGTTTTTCTGTATATGCATGACAGTCCTGCATGTTTACGACAACAACTTCAGATGATATCAGTTTAGGAAGTACTTATATTAATAATTACATTTTCATGTATTTAAGTATTTTATCTTATTTAAATTATTGAATTCAGAACTATGCATCTTTTCATCAGTTAACATTTTGACAGTGCCAGCCTTGGTGGCACGAAGTAAGGGGAACTTTTTCTTTTACGTTTACAATAAAGATAATTGGAACACAACATATTATATTTTTGGATGCAATATTTAGCCTCATTTTGTACAATTAGACAACCGGATCTCGAAATGTTGTAGCGATGTCAGTAATAAAAACAAATAAACAAAGGAAACGGTCGGTGGCAAGAAAACAGGTCGTATGAAAAATAAAATATATCACTAGGTAAATTATATCGTTGAGGCAACTTAACAAATCGGCACTACTTGATTGAGGTCGTGTTGTCGGCCTTGTTGTCCAGGGGCTCTCCTTGTTGTAGCGTGATGTATCAATGACATAATTACAAAGTAATAGATTTCGATTAAATATAACCATATCTAGTGAAGAGTGACAGCTTCGCGTGTTTGCTCATTTTTTCTAGTGTATTGCGCTTTTTTCAGGTGTTTTGCAGCGTATTGTGTAATGTAAGCACACCTTCACAGGCTCTTCTTATGATTCGTGAGAGTGACTCTGAATTTACAGACACTGAAATGTATGAAATTGATGTTGATGTCGTTCGAACGAACTACCCTCTTTGAAGGGAAAGGTCCAATGTAAATAAAAAAAATTGATCTAGGTACACGAAGACCCAGTTTTGCAAAAAAGAATAAAAGGGCACCAGCCCATCTCTTTGAAAAATAGCGGCTGCGGCTGGTGCCTTTTTTTCCTGTATTTCACACTTCCTTGTTATTATACTTATGAACACACAGTCACCTACCTTGGAAGAGATTCCATGTCTTGGACTTCGTTTGAAACTGAGAACATCGCCGCGAATGCATCATTTATAGGGAGAGCGTGAGTATTGCCACCCCTATAACTTACTGTCAATCATCCCCACCTCTAGACCAATCAGCAATCAGTATTTTCACCCCCCCCCCACCCCCACCCCCACCCCCACACACACACTGTAGCACAAGTAATTTAGTGTAATTACACATTCATTAATTAACCACCAACTAAAGAACTTGTTTCAGGCTCCTTGACGCAAACTGTGAAGTTTAAGAGTGAGGCTGTATGTTATCATGAACTAGACATATGTAATTTGATTGTTATCATTCATTTCAACTTCCCGAATTGTTTAGATGGGACGATACTGAGGTCGGTATGACGTCTTTTTATCTTTGTGTTTACCTGCTATAGAATGCAGACACGCTCACTTTCTGGACATTATTTGTATCAGGGGACATCCTGTGAATAGGGAAACATTCCAAACATCTACGTAACTAGGAATATACATAACATAAATATAGAACTTTGAAGAATCGGAAAAGAATGTAAATAAAACAAATGAAGAACATGCTCTCGGAATTTTGCCTTTAATTTAAAGAAGATTTAATAGGAGTGTTAATAGGAGCGTTGTATCATTTTTATCAAAACTAGAATTGACCAGTAATTATTTCTTGGTCTCGACATTAGCGAACGTAGCCTGTAACGAGGAAAAGAACGATATTCAAAAACAATAAAGAATTTAGAACCTTGAATTTGCCTCTGTTGCTCTTCCTAGTAAATCTAAATCAAAGCGAATGTCATACTGAAATAAGTATATCATTTACGCAATAACAGCAGGTTGTGGATTTTCTTTGTAATACACAAATTATTTATTTATCTATTTAAAAAATGGATCCATGCGGTACCTTGTGTGGAAGGACTTATGATTACTATTTTTTCTAAAATATTAGAGGCCCAGTCGAGTTAAGATCTACAATTCCCAATTGCAACTGATACGAGAATACATAATAAAGAATTTGAAACCAAAAGGTTGAACAGAAGCATGAAGTTATTTATAAGTCAACTTAAATCTTGGATAGTTCACTGTAGTAATGGTAGTTGATTAGATATAACTTAATATTGTCACTGTATTATATTCTGATGAGCCGTAGGGCTCAAAGGTTTAATAAATTGAAATTGAATTGAAATTAATGTGGACGCTACACAAGTACGCCTGTTAATGAAAGAATATGCAAAAAAGATTCAGAAGATGAGAGTCATTTCTTACTTCGGTGCACTGCTTGCATGGCGAAAAAATATAAATTTTATGAAAAGTTGAATACCGAACAAATGTTATAAATGACATTTCCACAGAAAACTTAATGAAAAAAAATTAAGCAATTAACAGACTTTATTGTTAAGATTTTTGGTCAAAGGGAGAAAATATTGCATGCAAAAGGGCTGAGTGTTCTATGGTAATGTCACATTCATAAATGATGATGATGACAATGTTCAATTGCTATTGATCGTCCCATCTCCCCGTGCTGTTAAGATCTGATAATACTGGAAGACAGGTATGACAACTTGTCTTTTGTGTTTCTACCTGTCAAAGATAACAACCAAGCTCCAGGCAGTATCTCTCGGTGTGTCCCCCTCCTCCCCCCCCCCCCCCCCCCACACACACACACACACACACACCTTCAACTTGTCAAACAGTCCTTCACTACAGTGACGCCAGGTTCAAACGTTTTTAATTCTCAGAAAAGGAGGTTAAAATTTTAAATGAACAGCTCGACAAAGTTTTTTTCGTCTGTATCTCTGCCCACAAGATATACTATTACCATTTTCTTTATACCTTTTACCCAGCAATATCTTGTCGCTCATGGCATTGTATTAGCTGCCACGTATTTTATCAAGTTCTTTTTAGTACGCTGTATATTTCTTGTCTATTTTGTGGTTGGGACATATAGAAATACTCAAATCGTAAAATTTGGTTACTCAACCGAGTGACGCCTTCAGTTATGTGACGATGGGAGATAATTACAGGGGAGGACTTCAAATAATTTCAAAATGGTTACACAGAGAACAAAGAACGGGTACCTCCAGGCATCGGTGTGAGATTGCGACACGACAGAGACAGAAGGTGAGGTAAACTCTGATGACACAAAGGTAATAACGCACACACTGTCGACAGCTGGTTATTGACAATAGACTAGAAATAGTAATTACATCAGTATGGGTAGGCTTTTTGTCCCCCGTTCGCATGCAGGTTTCAAGCCTGAATTTTTCTCGTACTGGTAATTTCCCATACGAAATCTAAAGAAGACAATAACATTTTGAGGAAAAATGTGATGCACACAATGCGCCGTTGATTTTTCCGAGATTTTCTGCGGAGAATCCTGTCAGCCGCGCTATGCAGTCACTTACAATAATAGTACATTCAATTTATCCACCCCCCACCCCCAGGGAGGTAAGCGCGTCAACACCCAGTCTGTGTCTGTATTAGAACTAAAAATGACAGTTGTAAACTGGAAAAAAATTCTCCTGATGATCCATAAGACGGACTACGTCCGTCCCGTTTAAGTGCATCGTACCGATCCATACTTACACAAACATGTTCAGATATCCACCCATTGCACCCCCTCGTTTACACTGAGCACAACCCCCTATGACTAAAAATAAATGAATAAAAATAGAGATGAATTTGAGTTTCTATACAGCTTTATTCTAAAAAAACTCCACAGAATGTCATATCATCCATGCCAACCTTCAGAAAATAAGGTTGTTACATAAAGTACTACCAAACCTGGCCTGGACAATATACATCATAATATAATACCTTAGGATTCGCTTCCCGACTGGAGACGTAACGTTCAAGTTCCCGGTGCATGACGTCACATACACATTGTCAAGGCAAGCCCCTCAAAGCGGAGGATCTGCAGCATTTCAGCACCGTGTAGGGTAGAAAGGCCACTTTGCATAACAAAACACTGTTGAGCAGCAATACAGAGATCAACAAATCAATGTCTAACATTTGAAAGTTAAATTTATATTCTGTTACATAACTTTTTTTAAAATTAATCTTATTATATTTGTGCTTGTCTAAATTTTAATATCAACACAGCAGCCTTGTAATATTTTGTGAATTTTTCACAAATATTTCAACTACTCGATACTGTGCATAATTCAATGGCACTTCCTTACACATAAAAAACGCACATGGAAAACACGAACAATACCTTTTAAAAAACAATAAATTTACCAAAGACCAATTATGGTATTAAACAAATAGACCATATTTGGTCAATTCTAACTACGTCACACAAACATAATTCACTACACGAATGTTCGATTGAATTTCTATCTGATCACGTTAAAAAAGATTATTCTACTACAAGATCAATTTATCCTCAAAGAAATATAATTTAAAATATACTTTTTAAATAATAAAATTGTTTGTAACCTAAAATAATTTTTCGTGTAAATATCTAATAATGACATTTCTCGTTCTTCTCGTTCTATCTCGCTCCATCATAAAAACTTAAATATATGATAATTAAAATACACAAACAGACAGATAATATATTTGTACACTGTAACAGCGAGTCCGTAGCTTCCGCTGCTTTAAGAGATAAGAAAGAAATGCATTATTCTGGTAAAAAAAGACCTCTAAATACAAACACCATCATCAAACTAAATTTATCTTACAAATAATGCTCTACATGAAAACCATCAAGTTGTGATGATATGAAAAATATAATCTACACTTTGCTCCACTACTAAACGATAAACACTGTTGAAAAACACAAGGTGCACAGACCAATCTCAAAGACGCCATTTGTAAACGACACTTTCTTTGAAAATGTCCAAGATGGCGGAGAAATTAAATTTAGCAAAGCATAATAATTATACAGTGATATTTTTTTTGCGTCTGTCACTCTCTCTTATGTTTAAAAACAACATAATTTGAAAGCATGATTCGCCATCGTAGAGCTCTGGACAACTTAAATCACAATCTTAGAGTTTTCAGAGTTCAGTGACATCACTTTAAATATGAGTGTATGAAGCAAGATATCAACATAAAGCACCAAATGGAAGCCGCATCATCACACTGTCACTGCAACCAAGATCAAACCAGAGTGGCATTCTACAAGTTTTTGTGTAGTTCAATAACATTACACAAACGGGGCATATTGAGGAAACCTAACTCTGCACTTGGCGTCTCTGATGTAGAAAGTTAGATGAATTTTGTTCATATAAGTGAACTTTACTGAACGTCCTTAAATCGGGTGTTTTTCTCTCATTTGCGAGAGCACCTGAAATATGTGATATTTTTGCACATTTACAGCTCAAATGACGGTGTGCTTGCGGGCTTTTAGAACAGCACTATTGCCACGTACAAAAATACTACACTTTTGACATAAACTGTCGAGAATGTAAGCTTTGAGAAAAATTAAGCATCTTATTATGACAGAAATGTGATATCTAAGCGGCAGTTTTTAATTTCGACGTCCAGATTTACGCACAGGTACTCTCGTCACACATACTTCTGTCTACTTTTCATGCGACCAGTCGAGTGCCTCCTTTTTGACGGAGAAACCGGCGCCTGATCTGACGTCTCGTAAGATATTCTGGCGGGAGCAATGGGGCGAAACTGGTTTTGTTTGTGCGCGGGGTAGCCGTATTCCGGCGATACCCGCCTCACGGGAGTTTTCGGCGGTGAAACGGGACGAAAGTGGTTGTCGGGAGAGACGCTGTGAGGAAGCTGCGAGTCTTCACTCGATAGAGGACGGAAAACTTGCTGAGGAGAGATTTCTCGGAAAGCTCCGCCGGATCCAAAAGAGCGCCTCTTTTGGCTTAGTCTATTTGGGGAGCCGTTCGGAGAAGAATCGATGTGATAATATTGAGGACTGGCTGGGGAAGACACAGAATCAATGCTGTCTCTTTGTTTTTTCTTATCAAAACCATCCAGATCAGCACCGCCGTTACCGACCACGGGTTCCGTCTCCTGCAGACTGAACTGTCCTTTACGAAAATGGCGGTCCGCCTCGGGCTCGCTGCAGCGAAAGTCTTCCGAGTTTGCAGGAGAGAGGTTGTTGGCCTCTTGTTGGTCTATCTGTTTTATCAAGTCCTCCAAGTTGCGTAGTTTGATAATACGAGACCTGGACGTGGAACCCAACCGCTGCTGTTTTCCTAGAGAGTCTCCACTTTCTCCGCTGCCGCCATCTTGCTCTTCTCTGCAAGGAGACTGGTCGACCTGTTGTCGGTCGGGAAGATTCTCCCTACTTCGACTTTTACTTTTCACTTGTCTCTGAGGCGACCTTTTCGGAGACGACGACAATTTCGAGGAAAGGCCCTCTTCGCTTCCAGATTTCACTGGTGACATCTGATTATCATATAAATTCTCCTCACCGAAACGCGGCTCTCTGTCTTGTGGCGAGTATGGAGAATTTGGATCAGATTTCACTTCTCTGTAAGAGTTTTTGCTCCCTGATTTAGGAATTTGAGACATTAAAGTTTGTGCTAAGTTTTCTTTACTTGACATGGAGGGCGTCTCTTCCTCCAACATATCAATAGATATAGGGTCCCCGTTACTATCTACAAACAGGGTGTGAGGCGGGACAGGTGACCCCCGTAACTTCGTCACATCAAAATTATCCTTGCTGTGCGAATACGTCAATCTTTTACCAGACCCCCGACTGTCATCGCTCATGACGTAAACCTCGTTGTCGCTGGGACTCAGCTCGGGCTTACGGCTCTCCCGGCTGCCACGCCCACTGTCGTCCCTGTGCCCTATGTTCTGTAAACTCTCCGAGCTCCTTGGACCGTTTTTGAGAATCCCCCTCTCCGGGGTCTTTGATAAATTATTGTGGACGATTTTAATGTCTGTTTGGTCGTCTGCGCTGATGTGTGGGGTTTCCGACTCGCTGCCGCTGCCGATACCCAGGGGTGACTTCTTTCGCCTCTTTTTTCTTTCGTCTAATTTGTCTTGCCTGCAAAATAATGGCATAATTTATTTCAGATATGTATTAATTATCTAATGGTAATTATTTCATATACATTTCTAGAGTAATATCTAAAACAAAGGAAGACTAAGAAAACCTATCACTGAATTAGAATCTGACGAACCCCCCCTTACAAAATAAAAAATAAATAATAATAATAATAATAATAATAATAATAATAATTATTATTATTATTATATAATTTCAAAAAATTAAAATTACAATAAACAAAAAATTAAATGATAATACAACATTAACTGAATGAGGATATAAAAGAAAATTCCAATGGTCAAGCAACACGCTAACTTTGCACAGCTACAATCAGGTCATCTCCTGCTGGGCTGGAGACCATCCACTGACTGTAACAGTAATGACATCATTACACTTAACTCTACCTTTGTTCTTATGTACAGAGATAAAGAAGGCGACCAACCTATATGAGGGCATATTTCCAAACTTTATAATCCTCACAATACCCTCCTCAGCACTGGACTCACTGTGTTTGCTGCTCAGTGTCTTCTTTTTCCCAAACCACTTGGTTGTCACAGAGGCTGGGCTCTTCCGTCTGTCAATGAGATTTTTACACTTTAAATACAGTAAAATGAAACAATCTGTTAACGTGTCCCAGCCTGGACTTATAAGCATAATTTTTTTAATTCATATTTACCAAAGACATCATGTATACAAAAATCATTCTCAAAAAAATAAAGGAAAAAAAAAAAAAACAAACTTTGATTAATTCCCCCTCCGACAGTATCCAAGTGGATATTTTGAGTCAAGAAGATCTGGACAAATCTACTACCGTCTTACCTGTAACACAACATGGCCAGTACCAGCACCACTACCACACATCCCGTCACCGCGACAAGAATGATCACCAGTCTCACTGTGTCACCAGAGTCTGCCACTGGAAAATATACCTTCACCACTGAACATATCTTTATGAAGACTTCCAACTTATTTTAATTACAATTTTAGTTTCAGAATCTATTAAAATTCAATATAGAAATCAAATGGTTATTCAACTGCCAAATTCCAAAATATCTGCTGACAGACTTACATCAGTTATCTTTATCATTGACAATACTTAACTTTATCTTCAATTTAATTGGATCAAAATATGGTTATCTTAAAAAATAATTCCTTCGACTGTTCTATGTGTAACATAAACGTGCTAACTCTGTNGCAAATAAAAATTACTAAATTCAAACAGTAGAAAATATATAACAAATATGACTCTTGAAAACATAAACCTCTTCGGGAAGTAATATTGCGAAATAATAATACTTCAGATTATTTTGAGCTATAAAAAGTTGAAAAAGAAGTCAAAATCTTCCCTCTCTACCTTGAGGTGCCAGCACAGCACTACCATTGACAGTGGTAGTAAACAATTCCGCAGTGTTTATCTCATCAGGCGGGAAATGAACTATGACCTCATCGCCGTCTCTGATTGGTGGGGTGGTGGGCTTGTCTGGGTCACGGAGAGGCGCGCTGCAGTTGGTTCCTGACCAGCCAGTGTCGCAGTGACATGTCTGCTTTGTGGTGCAAACCTGAGGGTGGGTCAGATTGAAATGTGGTAGGTGAGATTGGAGAAGTGATATCAGAAATGTGTTAGGTGAGACTAAGATTGTGCTGGTTGAGACAGCTCACTCCTCAAAGACATAAAATGTTCTTTTACTTCTCTATAACAAATACGTGACTTTCCTAGAAATTTCACCAATTTCCCCTGTATCACTATGGTAAACCCTAACCCTATCAAAACTGACGGTGCTCAGAAAAACTAAAATCTATAAATAAAACCAGTCCAAAAATTTTAAGCTTGTAATTTAATCATTTTGAAACACAAGGATCAAGGTAATCACAGGTAAACAGTAACCCTCCTCACCCCATGTCCCGAGCAGGTCCTGTTGTCCAATCCCTTGGGGCAGGGTTTCTTCCTGATGATGGTATCTATGTGTACGCACACACGGTTTACACACAGTCTGTTGTGGGCACACTTGGTTCCCTCCTCTACCAGTCCCATGTCTGTCACGTCAGCACTCGGGGCACCATTGGCTGTCCTGGACACATAAAACAGTTATATAATAAATAAATAAATAAAGATATAAATAAATAAGAAACAGAATGCAAAAATGTTCACAAATCTGTATCAAAAATTCAAACATAATACTAGACCATAATAAATGTAAAAATATTAGCTTTGTACTCCAGTTTCTCATTATATTTATCTGTAAATCATCTTTAAATATTTGGATTTTACTTTCCAATTTTTTAAAACTTATAGTCATCTCCATGTTCAATTGGCTGAAATAATAGACCTAACCAACAGAAACCTGTTCTCAACTGGACTATCATAATGTGTTATATGTTGACCAAACATCCTCTGACTGCGGAGATCTTCAAATAATTTTGAATGTTTGGTATTTATCAAGAAGACAACATTTATCAAGACAGCTCCTGCAGCCAGCATTTATCAAAACACTGCCTGAAGTTGGCATTTATCAAGACAGCCCCAAAAGCTGGCATTTATCAAGACAGTCCCTTACTTGCACTCATACTCCTGTCCACTGGTGCCATAAATCGTCCTGGAGATTTCTATGAGGTTGGTGTCCCCTTTCAGTGGCCAGTTCTGACCTCCTTGGCAGTGGAGTAGCCCGCACTGGACATTCCTGGAAACAGAAGGACATTGTCTCTGGAGTACTGGATGAAATTCTGGGAAACTGCATCACAAATATCACGTTAATCTGACTATCTGGGAACAAACATGAGCTAAATTCAATAAAGAGAAAGGAGTGTGAATAATATAAAATGCAATAATTTATTTAAAAATGCACAAATTTTAATTGATTAATTGCAGCATACAATATAAAAGGACATAGGCTTGATCTGAATTAAACAATTGAGAAAGAGAGAGAAAGCAAGAGAGAGAGAGAGTGAGAGAGATGTACTTACTGTTGGTCGCACTCCCAGAATTTCCCAGTGCTGGCGTCTCTGCCGCAGTGTCCGTTCATCCCTCCAGTGGGGTTGTACACCTCGTAACACTTGTAAGCAGACGAGGATGAACCTAAATAATTTAACTGATATTTCAGATAATGAACTGCAATAAATCATGATTACTTGTGTTACAATGTTACTTGTGTACACAATTTGAATCTGATATTGTTTATTATTATAACCAATGGATATTTTTGCATCTCAGTTCCGCGAAGAAATGCAATCACCACAGTTATGACATATACACTACACAAGTTACACATTATAACAAGATTGTCAAACATAACATATTATTATAATAAAACAGACAAGTGCAACAAATAATGGAACAGTTACTTATCATAAGATAGAATTTCCAACATAAAAATGACAAATCAACCACTGCAGCAGTATCATATCCTATCTCTATATTCTACCACATTTCATCTCAACTACCAGCCTCCTTACCTTCCCCCCACAGGTTCTGACACTGCTGGTCCTTGGATGGACATCGTCCGTGGAAGCAGTAGCCATTCCCTGCACTACACGGCTGACCATCTTGGACATAGGCATTGGACGGACACTGGAAGATTATAACAATATAACTACAATATAAACTACTGATTGATAGTTGTTCAGGATGCCACTGTTTTGTGACAATTCAATATGAGATGACTCAACTGGTAACCAGTATTATCTCACCTCTCCATGGATACCATCAGATAACTCAGGAACACCACACTCACAATACTATAATTACCTCCGCCAATGAGGTTATGTTTTCACCCCTGTTTGTCTGTGTGTCTGTTTGTTTGTCATCAACATAACTCAAAAAGTTATGGATCGATTTTGATGAAATTTTCAGGGTAAGTCAGAAATGGGTTAACTTAGAAGTGATTAGTTTTTGGTGGTGATCTGGATCAATAATCAATCAATAATCAGCTGCCTTGGCGGAGGTCTGCGCTCTCGGAGTGCTTTTCTAGTATAACTCTATATCTATTAATGCTATCACTATGGTAACCACAATTTTCTTACCTCTCCATGGATACCATCACAAAACTCGGGAACATCACACTCAAAATAGTATAAAATAACTCTATAGCTATTATTGCTATCACTATGGTAACCACTGTTATCTCACCTCTCCATGGATACCATCACAAAACTCAGGAACATCATACTCAAAATAGTATAAAATAACTCTATATCTATTATTGCTATCACTATGGTAACCACTGTTTTCTCACCTCTCCATGGATACCATCACAAAACTCGGTAACACCATACTCAAAATAGTATAAAATAACTCTGTAGCTGTAAATGGTATCTCTATGGTAACCACTGTTATCTCACCTCTCCATGGATACCATCACAGAACTCAGGAACATCATACTCAAAATAGTATAAAATAACTCTATATCTATAAATGCTATCACTATGGTAACCACTGTTATCTCATCTCTCCATGGATACCATCACAGAACTCAGGAATATCATACTCAAAATAGTATAAAATAACTCTATATCTATAAATGCTATCACTATGGTAACCACTGTTCTCTTACCTCTCCATGGATACCATCACAGAACTCAGGAACATCACATTCATTGGAAGCTTCTCTGCACTTGAACACTGATGTGCGCACCTGGAACAATGACATTTATATAAATAAAAGATACAATCTAAGACTTGTGTACTGCACCTATTATCTGTCACAGAAATTCTAAATTCAATCAAAATGCAAATGTTCAACTTTTCACTGCTGAATGAATATTTTTTGTGGCTTTATTAAATTAACTACCCAAATTAAGCTTACTAAATAGTACTTAAGATTCTTGTGTGAAATTGCTTACTTGTATACTTACAGTACAATTATGACAGCAGGGTCCAGATTTACACCTTGCCCAAGGTTTCAGGAGACATGTGGTAGCGTCACAGCAAGGGTCGGTATTAGCACACAGCTGGAAAGATGGGAAGACACTACATGAACAATACTTCACATCTAGTGATGGTGTAGTTGATTTGAAAAATTAAGTGCAAAGGTCACAAATACACCAATTTTTAAATCTCTCTCTCTCTCTCTCTCACACACACACACACCTTTTATATTAGACTATTTGTCCTTTTGCCAACAAAAGGCAAAAGTCTTCATTTATGTCCTTGAATATTCATTTACGCCCCTAAAACACATTTAAGCCCTGGTACCCCCCCTTCCCTCAGTCATTCACCTCTGGAGGGCCACAGTCACACTCCTCTCCTCTCTCCACAAAGGCATAAATCTTCATTAGGGATTATTAGGCTTAAATGTGTTTTTAGGGGCATACATGTGAATTCAATCTTCATTTATGCCCTGGTCACCCCTCCCTTTTTGACTCACCTCTGGAGGGCCGCAGTCACACTCTTCTCCTCTCTCCACAAAGCTGTTCCCACAGTACTGAGGAAACGCAGGCTCTTTGGGGCTCTCAAAAAGACACCAACCTAGTCCTGTCTGCAGCGCAGTGTCCAGGTCCTCCTCGCTGCACTGCGAGAAGTCACTGGGATGGTGGCCACGGGAGTTACTACAGAATAGAATTTACTAGGTACAAATAAGGAAAAGTCTTTCAAGTAACATGGTTTCTGGCAGCATTCACTTCAAAAGGATAAATTGTGTGGCTGCAAAGCTAATCCAATGAGATGTACTATCAAATAATGCCTTATTTTTTTAGTCTTTCCTGCTTTTGTAAAAATTGTGGATATGCTTCAAATACTGCCTACCTTAACTGCAAACATTAGATATTCAATGAGACATATATCAATATAATATTTTAAGTGCTTGAGGTATGAAGCTGGAGAGACCATTAAGACAAACAGGGCTCCGTATCTCGAAAGGTTCGCTATGTTGCGCACGTGCGTTCGATTCCATAACCGATTCTATTTCGAGATACGGGGCCATGGAATCGAGACACTTGCTCAATTGCGCAACATAGCGAACCTTTCGAGATACGGAGCCCAGAACTACCTCTAGATTCACTTCCAGGTGGACTGCCAATACTTACACAATATTCTGTCCCATGATGCACCCTGATGTTAAACCACATGAACACTGGCCTGGAGAGAGATAAAACACACACTATCAATCATTATAATAGAAAATAAATAGCAGACCTAGCATTTTTGGTGTCATGTTAGAAAAGACTCCGAATCTTTGAAATAGATAATTATTGTGCTGTCTTGTATCCTTGTATTATTCAAGTTAGGTAACCATTATGTATATATTCTACTTAACTGGGTCACGATCAGTGTGAAAATGTACTTACTCTAGTGGCACAATAAAGAAAGAAAGAAAGAAAGAAAGAAAGAAATGTGTACATTGCCATGTTACAATAATAATAATAATTTTAATAATAATCTCACGTGAATTATCATCATGGCTGAGACCTAGGTTGTGTCCTATCATGTGAGCCACTGTACTCGCCACCTGGTGTTGCTGCTCAAAGTCAGGGTTCTGGAAACATGTAGAATGAGAAACATTAATGAATAGTTGTTTTATGTCACCTCCTCCCCCATGAAGCAAAGTTTTTAGTTTGAGTCTTATTAATTCAGAAAACCTTTTTTTTTCAATTTTTCACATTCTTTAAAGAGGATGCAGCCAAATTCTTAAATAAGGCCTTTTTTTCAATTTGACTCACAGACTAGACACAAGAGTCATCCTCTCAGAAGTTAAGCGATATTACAATATATTGAAGATATTAAGAAAAACAATGTGCAATCTGCTCACATGATTGACCCCGACAGCCCTGGCTGTACACACAGAGTCTGGTACCGCCATACCCGCCATACCATGCTCAAACTTCTCCATACTGAAAACAACAGACACAAACAGAGTGAAACAGAGCTTAAGTTGTCCATCATATAATGGTGGGAAAAAGTAAAATGTTTCTTATTAAAATAAGGGTTGAAACTTTATGCGTAACAAAAACTCATACGAAGAAAGGTCTCTTTGGAACATTGTTTTTTTTTTAAACTAAAAGAGTAATAATACTTATCATAACAGATCATCTTACTTAAAAAAGCAACAATAAAGGAATCTTGTCTAAATTAATAAGACATTTTTACTGGTAAAGTTCTCAAAGGGTTCTCCAACAATTACATATCAACTTTTTTACAGATAATGCTGAGAAAATAATGCACTTTGGCAGCTACATGAAGTAAATGAAATATTTGCAGTAGGGCAATTAACATAATATAATCGGAATGCAGACACCTCAAAGTCTGTTAATAACAGCAAAATCGATAGAAACCTACACAAATGCTTATACACAATTATCCCTAATGGAAATACTAATTGTCATAAATGGAAATACAAATTGTATTGTTTTGCTTTTTTTCCAAGGACTGAGGTGCACTTTATCTTACGTGATCAGTTGAGCAACGTCTATTTGTGCAGACTTCATGTGCTGCTCCCGGTACACCATGAACTCCTGAAGCGTCTGGCGGACGTTACTTGACACAGATATCTGGTTGCCTTGGTTCCAGACCTCTATGTAGGTCAAGGCCACACGGATGTTCATTGGCTTGTAGTACTGAAGAGATGGAGAGAAATGAGGTCACTACAGGACAGGTACCATCAACTAAATTATGGGCCCAATACCACCAGCTAGGTTATAATCACATCAAAGGGATCATAATATTAAATGAATGATGGACGATTCCTTTTATTGTTAGTATTTTCATTTTCATTAATATGTTTTTTAAAGGTATATTTTTAACCTAATCCCATTTTTAATACTTTATCTTTATATTTTATACATAATTATATGATCACTGTATCTTTCATGTATTGCAAAGACATCACAATAACCCCTTATAATGGCACTAGAGTTTTTTTTCTTTTAGCCAATTTACTACATTTTCATCACTTTTTTTCTCCAAGTAGATTAAATTTGACTAAAACAAGTCAAATCAATATTTAAGTTTGTTTAGCCAATTTAAGTCAGTTTTAGCCTTTGGCTAAATTGGCGAGTGTTAAACCCTTATTATAATAACACACTGAGACAAATGAAATTTTTTAATAATTTCCCCTACCAGGTCCATGATGTTGCCTATCTCCAGTGCATACTGCAGGGACTGCTCCTGTGACAAGTTGGTTTGACGCGACTGAAAAAATACGGAAAAAAAAATTGTAAAAATATATATTGTGAATTAAATATCCTCCATAAAACTGGTGAAAAAGTGTACAATTTGTTTTTTAGTTTTCTCACTTGTCAGTATTGGCTTAAATAATATGTGACGAAATATGTGTAATGAGTTATAAAATTAATACTAGGTGTCAAAGGTACCATTTCTCCTGAAAATCTTCGCCAATTCCAATCATATGCTTTATTTTACTCTCACAGCACAGTAAAACTGGCCCAGAGAACTATAATTTGTATATTTTAATACTATATAAATAAATATTATTCTATCCAAGTGGATTAATCTTACCATACTATGGTCAAGTACCATGCCCAACTCAATGTACTTAGTCTCTGATCTGATGTTCCTCTGCACGCGCTTGGCTTTCACGGTCTTCATGCGGTGTAAGAATTCTCTCCTGTGTAGCTGAGTGTACGACTGCCACTGAGCGATGTCATTCCCTGGAAATAACATCATCCAAGAATTTATTCACACAGTGTGTTTGTTTACAATGTATTTCTTAAGGAATTTTGAATCTCACAGGAAGAGTTATTATTGCTTTAATCCACTATGAAACTGTTCTGTTGATTTAAAAACCTACCACAAGATGTCTCCACTGGTCCCAGTGTTTGAAACACCACATGTGCCCGGGGCTGGAGGGAAAGATGGCAGAATGAAATAAAAGTAATGTGATAAAGTTTTTCTTATCAAACATTTTTTGGTGGAGAATGTTTCAAACTCAAAATCATAATTACAATTATAATTAAAATCCATTCTTTAAGTCTTCTCTTAAAATAATGTTCTTACAATGTCAGTAAAATTTTTATATAAATCACATTAAAAAAACAAGCTGAAACACCACTGAGGATAAATCTACGACTGGAATAATTTCACTCACCTCTTCCTTGCTGGCATCATCTAATGGAGCAATGACATAGGTCGCGTTTTCAAGATGAATCACTCCTCTGCAGATATAACATTAAGAATTAATTTAATCTCAGAATTTAGACATCCTTTCTTGTTCTATTCATTAACATCTGACAATGGTTAACATATCATAACAATCGCATTATTGGGTGGTTTTTGTGTGTGGAGAGAGAGAGAGAGAGAGAGAGAGAGAGAGGGTGAGGGAAGATGGCAGAATTAAATAAAATTAATGTGATACTGTGTGTGTGTGTGTGTGTGTGTGTGTGTGTGTGTGTGTAAGAGAGATATGTAGGAAGAGAGAGAACCGTAAAGAAGTGTGTTGTAATGATGTAATAAGTCACATGTAGGTAGAGGTCATGAGTGTGAAGTGGGAAGTGGAGATGCGACGTGGCATGTGAGACATGGACTTTTATTTCTGTAATAAATATTTTAATATTTTATACAAATTGATGTTACAATACCATAAGAAGGAAAGAGAGAGATGTACATAGATTGAAAAGGAAGGATGAAGAGAGAGAAAGAGGGGGCTGAAAGGAAGGGGGGGGTTGGGAAAGAGACCGAGGGAGAGGAGATACTTCACCTGATCCCATTACAAGTACTGACAGCCACTGAACTGCTCCAAGTCTTCTTCACATGACCATGGTAGTAACAGTGCTCCACATCCTACAACAGATAGAATACAGACATTACACACACATCAGGATAAATAAAATAAATCTGATTCATAAAAACATAACATTCACTTGAAAAACCTAATAACACTTAACACCAAATGTTCTAACTGATACCACATTCAACTGAAATCAATCTACCCAAAAGTACTGGTAAGATTTAATTTATAAAATGTCAAATCCATATAAAATTTAACATTTTCCATAATCAAAGCAATACTCTTAACTAAATGAAGCATTTCATTAATGGATTAAATTTATAAGTCAACTTCTTGTATTGAAAATAGTTTACATTTTATAACAAGCACTACAATTTATTTCCGAATAAGTTTTAAATACCTAAATATAAGATGAAAAGAGAACACACCTTTTGTCCATACATAATGATATTGTAAAAATACTGATTACCTTCTAGACAAATAGTTCACATATAAAGCTTTTTAATCAACTCACAGCAAATCAACAGCAAATAAGCAAACAAACCCTATCCCCAATCAAATATTAAATATTAACCTAGTTTTATAGTAAATACAAAACAAAAATGATAGTGTACTGAATGGAAAAGATTTCTGAATATTGATGAATTAAGTAGATCCAAACTGGTACAGCAGTGAATAATTAGGAAAGTAAAGAAATGCAGTGCAATCACTTCAACATAACAATATTACCAAGCTAAACTGTGGTACTAAACCAAGCACAGAAATAGAAAATACAAATTTATCATCGTAGGTAAACTGCATATAAACACAATTTATATTTATATCCAATGACTTCTTTTTTTTCTATTATTTCATGGTACTGATAAAACCCTTTTTAGCAAAAATCACGAATTTTTGTCAACTACCTTTCCAAGCTAAAGTTTCTTATTATAATAAATAAATGGCATACATGCATATAAAATTCCTAAAACTATAATCATATTTATTTATTGAAAAAGATTCACATTCAAATATATTTTAGAAACTTTACAAACACTTATAAGCTTAACAATGCAGTTACTATAAAAGTACACACATATTGTTTTAAATACAACAACAACAAATGGTGCAGTGACAACAATATACAGCAATTCACAACAGCAATGCAATGGTTTACCTCTGCAGCAACAGTCTTCAGAGAGAAAAAATTTAAAAAAGAAATATTCACGTTTCAAAAATCTCTCTACATACACTTTTAGAGATGTTTAATTTAAATTTAAAAAATTTATATAATACAGGATGAATGATCTTAATTAATGAAGTCCTGCAATTTTCACAAGTAATAATTTCTTTTTTAACAGTACGTATAATGATATTTCTCTCAAGACTTCAGTTAAAACATGTTTTTCACATATGAAACAGTGAGTTTTGACCCTTTAACAAAGGACCCAAGATGACTGCCTCATACTATAAAAAAATGCTTCTTTAGAAAGGATTTATTATTTTCCACTACTACACAAGAAATGATAAAAAAAGCCCTTTCTCTGTTATCAATTAGTTGTTGTCAGTCTTTATAAAAGAATTTTTTATCAGCCCATTCTCTCTCCGTCTCTCCTACACCGGGATTATATATATGTGGCTTTACACAAAGTACGCAATGACCTAAAGAGTGGCGAGAATATTTGAACTAAAATTGAGGAACAGAAACCACAGAAGATGGATTACAGTGACCTATTCCTACAACAGCAAAAATGTTATCATTTCACGTTTTTAGCTGGGAGCTCAAATCGGAAATAATACAAAGTTGCTGACTCTAGAACTCAACAGCCACTACAGGTTATATGATATGGCTTTATTCAAAGGCTGTGATTATACAAAGGTTAAGAAGGCAAAATATTCTCTTAGTTAATGGCAATAAATATCCATTAATTTCCACAAATGTACATTAGCCAAATAGACTGCAAAATAAACCCCGGAGGGAAAGTTTAGTAGACTAACTATTACCATCAGTCCCATATATCACCCAATGCAGTGAAAACATTATGGTTCTTGGGCTGAAGTCTACCAGCTTAGACAAGCACTGGCTCACATTACAGATATATCAATTGTCAATTATCGAAAGCTTATTTCTGAAGTCAATATAAAAATATGACAATTACGTCAATACAAAACTACAATGAAGGCGCTGACAGCAAATGCATACTGCGTGCATGTAATATTCCCATCAACTCGACGTATTGTGGAGTAATTTTCAGTTTAAGTTCTAAATCATGTCTATTCTGACATTTAAAAAACAGCATTGCCTCAGTAAATGTCAGCACTATTTATCCATAAGCACCAAACTCTCGAACAAAAATTAAACATTAATTTCACAGCCCTTGTATTCAAAAACCACGATGCACATGAATGTGGCATTTCAAACAGCAAAGAATTCAAAGCATTATGGCCCCATTCAGATCACATATAAATAATTATATATCTAGTCTAAGAGTAATTCCTCATAAATTCCACACAGAACAATTATCATATCAGTACATTTGGTCAAGGTTAACATCCTTTATCCTAATATTTATAAACATGATTCCAGTCCTATTCTTTTGAAACTTGCCTTTTTCAAGTTATACCATAAAAACACTGCTTTGAGCCACGACNATAAGCCGAGTTAAACACTCACATACACTATAATGTCTTTTATGAAGCATATAATGCATATTTTCTTAATTTTCTAACCTCTCAAGGTTACAATTTAACAATTATTATTATAAGAATCAAATTGGCGCTGGGAATCGCTTCGATTGTGTTGTTATAATAAATATGTATAATAATAACATTTATAACATTAATTTGCAAACGTGAGTTATGTACTGAGAAACTGAAATTTAAATAATGTTTCAAGTATCAAACATAAATAGAATCAGATAATAAGAAATATTCAATATCTTCGTAATGACGTGTTGGAGATGTGTGCAGCACAGCCCCTCTTCTGATTGGTTGACCATACATAAGCACGTGGCAAGTGCGATCTTTTGATCAACTATAGTTTTATCTTCCAGATTTAGTATTTTTACAAAAACTTACAATTCAATGATCAAGAAATAAAATCTCGATACAGGACGGAGGCAATGCATATGTAAACAGTTCATTCCCTATTAATTGGCTGGCAAATGTTTTACAGTGGTATCAAACCAATACTTAATATTGATAAAATCTCGTGTTATATTTTTTTACTGTAACTCCAGAGGAAGATAGGGTTGACCTTTTTTTCTTTAATTGTTCCCTCTGATGTATATTTTGTGTGACATGGAGCAGCATTTACGGTATCATGATGCTACAGGTTTGACGGTAAGGACAGAAAAATATTGAGCACTGTAGACGTCAAACTTGGAATTACAAACTATGAACTTGGCAGGTTTCCAGTCTCCTTCAAAATCCAAAAGCAACTTGTAAAATTTAGGTAGAAATACCAATTATGATGCTAAGAGTGAGTTCAGGGCATATTTGTACTGTGTTAAATTATTTCTTAAATTATCAAGTCCCTGAAATTATTGGGAAGCAAATAATAATAATAATAATAATAATAATAATAATAATAATAATAATAATAATCTTTATTAGTTCTCATACAATTTTAAGAAGGCTATGACCAAACAAATACATAAGTAACGTAATGAAATAGGTCAATATATAGTGTATATACTTATATATAAGTTATCACATGCAGCCATGCAGTAAAACATGATAGGTTTTACAGACAGAGACGGAAGTTATGCTGTCTGACATATTCTCAACTTTTATTAGCTTTCATATTTACACTTAATTTATCTTTCATATTTCTCTCATTTAGTAGGTGGTGGCTGGTAGAGAATAGGCCAACAGACAGACCTTTATCAGGGAACGGTGAAGGGAAACACTCAGAAAAAAGGATGTAAATAGCATTAATTGTTATTACAACGAAGCTGCCCGTGCCTACTGATCGCATCATGATAAATTGGAGGAGAATTTTCTTAAACATATTTATTGGTTCATGAAAATTATATAATAATATATACATATAAAGATGGCAAATCGCTTTAAGTATTGTGTGCTCATCTTAATAGAACCTAACCAATTAACTAATATATATCTAATGATGATGAAAAGAAAAATGTTTTATAATGATAAATACTGTAACAGGAGGAAACATGTTTAGTATTTTAAACTATTGAATCTAAAAACCAATTCCATAACGCCGCCTGCATGTCTAAGGCTGCCATAATGAAATAAGTAAATAGACAGCCGAATAGATATTATCTCGAGTGCACAAAATAATGCTACCGCGTTTACATACAAGGCCAGTCTTTGTGACAAATACAATTCCAGGTAATTGAGGTAAGTGTTTTAAATGCTTTATAAATTACAGCATAATAATCCTATAAATACATGTACCCCAAATCTTAATCCACGAATATCGCCTCTCCTTTGAACTCAAAATATACAGTTTCGATTACTTGAATCGTAGGGCCCCTTCTCCTAACTGAATCGTACTTTCTCCAGTCTGGGGGTCAAGACGTTCTCTTCTGACGCCGGTTGAACTTTCACCTGTCTGGAGGGAGGGCGTTTCTGCTGTTTTTTAAAGCAGAAACTCCCCACGCGGAAGAGTAGGAGACGGAAGACGTCCAGGATAAGTTCCACAACTTCAAAGAGAGCCATGATGGACAGTCCCACCCAGAACCCAATTTGACCTCCAATGTCAGCAAGGAGAGCAAAAACCTACAAATAATAAACAAGTTACATGAATTGTTCTTTGGTCGTAATAGCAGAGAAAAATAAAGACACGTAAATGAGTTTCAAATCTAGTGTGGCAAGAATGATGTCCGTTAAAAACTGAAATCTGTCTCCAGCAAAATACTTACGTCATACGCAACATTTTCGCTAATTTTTTGGAAATTTAGCTCTTGAAAATACACTTCAAGTTTCAGTAGATTGTCACTGCAAAAGTAAAGTAGTTAAAAATTAAATTTTATTGTAAGAATTTGTTGTTTCATTCTTTTACTATACAAATCAAAATACTTTTTTTATTCAAGTGATAAATCAAAGGGGGGAATATCCGGTCATTTAGCCTATAGGCATACAATATGCGTTAGACCTTTGTACAGTACAAAAATTCATTGAAATTTCAGCAAATGCTCATTTTATCACTAAGGTATGCTTTATTCAAAACCGCTGAGCAAATCACGATTTATAAACTCATAAACGAGTTCTAAATGTTTATTTCTAGCGTCAAATGTGAAATTCACCCGTCTCATTCTCCATTGCAAGAGAGACTCAAAAACTAAACAAAGATTTGTGTGAAATATTATGGATATGGTGTATAACTTGGTGATTAAGGGAAATTAAAATATTGAAAACCTATATAAAGGTTTAAACCCCATTGTGTGGTTTTAACGTCTGAGTAATTATGCATTTGTCGAGATGTGTAAACCGCTTGTTATGGCTTACCCAGGTTCGGCGGCCATGCCGTTTTTTCCATTGATAATGTTATCCAGGTGCGCTCCAGCGGAGGCCAAGGTCGCGTGGAGTGTAGACTGAAAGGAAAGTTGACTATGCCTCAAACGTTTGATTCAATAAGAAGACAACATTGGCCTCCCTTTGCTATTCCTTTTCAAAATGAAAGTTACATTTCCGAAGGAAAAAAATTTGCAACCACGTGTCACATGAAAAAAATGCGGGTTAATACACCATTTTATTTAAAATATAATAGATAAGTATAAAATAACAGTCATTTAAGTATAAAATAACACTTTCAAATCTTTTAATTCGTGGTAATAACCACTTGTCTGTTGGCCATGGTTTGTTTTCAAATTTCTGGGCAAACAACTGGTTTTACACAAGATAATGAGATACACTTACCATGTATTGTTTGGACGGCCACTTTGCCAAGGACGGAACTCCGGAGTATTCAACATCTCTGAAACATACATAGAGATAACATCACTTCCTATGTAATCACCTTGTTATTCAGGGATACGTAAGAGAGGGGGAGGGGGGGGGCAAGGCAAGAAAACAACCGAAATGTATCAGTTTTGCGCCAAATTTGGTATTTAGCACCCTGAGCTTCAGAGCTCACTTGACACTAACCTTTTCACTGTAGCCTATCTCCATCGTGTCAAGTAACCTCTGACGAAAATAGTTTGACCTAGTTTATATAAGCCAATCGAATCCAAGTTTCAAAATTTTTCACCAAAGTTTGGTGAAAACGCTGATTGGTTGACCGTCAATCGGCAATCCTCGGCTGATTCCGCAAGCTCCATACTAACAACAAAGTTATTGTCGAGTGCGGAGACATCCGAGTAGTTCCGAGTGTATTACCGTACACAAAGAAAGCAAGGCGAGTGACTACGAAAAAGAATGTGTTAAGTTATCTCTTTATTCTTTGCAAAATATGAGTAAATCGGAATTTAAACCATAGGGTCTAGTAGTTTGAGGCCATGCATCATTATCTACTGAGAGACGATGTTATTTGCGTGCTGCCCACAGGTTACGGCAAGTCCCTGACATTCAGCCTTATCTTTGATTGGTCCGGATTTGAACAAAGCGCGCTTTGAATCGTTCACGTTCATTGGCTAGATCGTTCAATGTGTCATTGAGTGCGGGCTTTTAAATTTGATTGGCGGGCGGCGGAGGCAATCGAATCTGATCAGAGGTTACTTGACACGATGGAGATAGGATACAGTGAAAAGGTTAGTGTCAAGTGAGCTCTGAAGCTCAGGGTGGTATTTAGAAAAACGAAGAAAAAATAAGCAATGGTAGTTGTACTTACACACATGTTAAAGGACAGTCGCAAGACAAATCATCATCAGCAAACCTTCTTTTGATACCAGCAACACACTCATCTGGAAACGAGCAGACTTCATTAGGTGTCATTACGGACAATTCCAGACAGCACCTTAGACGGACTCAAATTTAGTCTTCCGAAAATCAACTCCTACATTTCATTTTTTGTCTAAAATTTTCTCCTGCTCACGAATAATTGCTAGACCGGTGCCTTTACTTAGATTCTGCTTCTAAACATTTCTAATTAAAAATAACAAAGCCGTGAACGAATAATGGTTCATTCGCAGCGTCATTCTGACATTTTAGGAGAGAAAGTCGACACAAGATACTTTAATTTGAGGAGCCTTTACCGTCCGAGTTCGGAAACGTAAGCAGTTTGGATGATATTAAAACCATATTTTGTGTTATAAAATCCCCGTCCCAGAATGAATGTGGTAATTTACATTTTGTATTTAGTAAGAACCGTAAAATGTGTTAGTGCTGATTACAATGATTCCCTCACCATCTGCGTCACTAACACAAGGGTCAACAGATTCCGCGGTCGTTCCATTAATGTTATTCTTCAAGTCCGAGAACGCTTCCAAGTCCAAGCTGAAGGGATAGGCAGGGTCCCCGCATGCGCATTCCGAAATCACATAGCGCTGATAGCAAGTCTTCATACAGCCCTTAAAAAAAAAACAATAAACAACGGTCAACATTTCAAATGTACGATGCATAATAATAAAATATGTATATTTGGAAATGATTACATTGCTCACTTTCGCTTTGCATTTGTATAAACCACATGGAGCTAGACTTACCGACACAGAATAGTCCACGTTGTGCACGGACGTGAACACGCTTTTTTGCTTGCTTTCTTCGGTCGTGAAATTGTGACATTTACTGGGATAGGGATGTGGTCTTCGCGTAATCTCCACCTACAATTTTGAAGATGACGCCGTGATAGGAAATATGCTGGTATTTATTAAGTTATTTATTATTGCGGGAAAAAAAACATAGCTAATGGGCCTATCACAGTTGTCTTTTCCATGGCCACCATCAGGTTAGTTAAAATTAAAAAATTAATAAATAGAAAATATTACGTTAAAACTATCAAAATAACAATAAAGAATATAAACAAATTGATAACAAGAACATATTTTTTCCATCATATCATGACAACATTTTGACGTTTCATTGGATATGACCATAGCTGAAGAACTGGTTAAAATAAAAAAAGCCTGCTACTGCAAACCATTGAATTTAAAGTTAAAGCTACTCTTTGTCCATCAATATCACTCCACCATGACATACCCGCGTCATTGCCATTGACGTGAGGTAACCCGGCGCAATGTTAAAGCCTTCATCCTCGGGGAATGCCATGGACCTCTGACTGTGAATCTGAACGCGCACCCCAGCGGACTCGGATAGGTCCCCTATGTATTCTGACTGCTCGATGTACATTTCAAGGCTCAGGCCTGAGAATAATAAAAATAGTTTCGTTGTCATGAAAACCTACTCAGTGAATGCTGTTATCCTTATAGCAGGCGTGACAGGTCGCCTGGGAGTCAGGTCTGAGCTACATGTACCCTAGGTTCTTGATTTCAGTATTGCCAGCTCGATCTTGATTTCATATGTAACCCATTTCAGCAATGCTAAAAAGCTACCGCATGAAAAGGTACTATAGTGTGCAAGCTAGCTTTATAGTGCCCCGACACTCAGGTCAGTCTGAACTAGACCCAGTCCCTTACGGCTAAGATAGACCCGCTTATGCCCCTATTTCACACAGACCACGAATCCCACGAATCGCCAGGAATTGACAAATTTCAGGATTCGTGAGATTTTGCCAATTTTCTGGTCTAATTCGACACGCCCTACGATTCAGTTACGATACAGGTGCGATGGTGTTACGAATATTCGTGGGATTCGGCTGGAGTCGCACGAATATTGTCCAGAAATTCACTACGGTTTTTTGGAATCGGGAGTTCGTGGCCAAAATTTTGAACAGCTCAAAATTTTTGCCACAAATTTCCGATTGATCAAGAATTGCAAGAACTGACTACGATTATATACGAATCTGTTAATAACTTCACGAGCTGATTACGATTCAACCACGAATCCTGAAATTTGTCAATTCCTGGCGATTCGTGGGATTCGTGGTCTATGTGAAAAAGGGGCGGTACAAAAAGGGTACCGCTCCAGTTTGCAGGTAATTAAGTTAAGGTTGTTTTATCCCCTTTCATATGTTCGCTTCAAAGTGTTCCGTTGCCCCGGGTGTAGCAGTCAAAATCAAACCGGTCGATGCAAAAAGACCCAAGTGTTAACTCAGCCTGCTCATAGGAAATATACAACTTGTAATTGATATGTAACTGCACTAGGGACTAAAATAAAATTCTAATTGTCACCGCTCTACAGAGATTTGATTTAAAAAAACATCAAATATTGTGGTTTAACGAGTCGACTCACCATACAAAGGGCCGGCGTTACTGCTAGTTTCTACGGGAATGCTTGAATCCCATCCGGAATTAAAAGTGTAGCAGTTCCCGAACTGATGATTGTTGAATCGAGTGAAATTTCTAAAACGTTTAAAATATGCTTGATATTACCTTGTAAGCAAACTTGTATGGCATAAAAAATGATGTCGCCAAATCAATATCTGCATTTGAAATTTAAATGTCGCAAATAATTATTAAGATTAGGAGGTAAAGTCTGTGTCCTAGCTTATGATTAATCGTGATTAATAAAAAAACTTACGCAGAGCTGCATGTCACTCCGTTAAAAGTACAGGAAATAATCATAGTATCCAATTCATGACCAACAGTCTCGCGGGTTGTGTAGTTTAGTTTGGCCCAAATGTTTCCAAATCTTTTCCGCATCTCGAAACGCTCGTTCATTTGACCCTAGATGTTAAAATACCGTTATAATTTTATGGTAACCAGAATTGTGTTTCGCAAAATACTGTAAGAAATGAAAAACAAAGAAAAAGGAAGCAACATTTCTCTTTCTTTTGAAGAAACAAAATTTAACCGAATGTGAATTTCAACCCTTATTCCGTTATCTTGCTCATGCAAAACCTCGTAAACCCAAAGACTCACTGGTTTCCGTCTCGAAGTACTAGTGCTGTTTGTCCCGGTACTTCTGCGTTTTCGGCCACTTGGCGGTGCTGGCGGTCCTGCCGGAGCTTGAGTTGTCCCACCGCCGCCACCAGCAGGCGCACCTGCTGTGGTCTGGATAGAAGCCTGGCCTTTAGTTGTCCCACCGCCGCCACCAGCGGGCGCACCTGCCGTGGTCTGACTGGCAGACGGTGCTTGAGTTGTCCCACCACTGCCACTTCCTTTTGGGCCAGGTGCAGCAGGTGCCTGTGTTGTTATGCTGGAGGAGGCGGGGCCTGGAGGGCCCGCAGCTGCCTGAGTGGTCTGGCTCTGACTTGCAAAGGACCCTGCAGGACCTGCTGGTGCTTGCGCACCGCCAGGACTGCTTCCCATTTGTGATTTTGGCGGCCCTAGGAGAGCGTAAACATCATCACCAGCGCTTGAAAGCATAGATCTCCTGGAAGAATAAATGGGTGTGTCGAATTAAATCAAATATTTACAATCAAATAGTACAGGCAAAGAAGAGGGAAGAAAATGGCAAAATTCACTTTGACTTCCTAATAGATTCCTTTGTTGGTACTGAATTAACTTGAAGTAACCGTAGTAAGAAATACGTGAAAATGCAATATGTTGACACCTAGAACTCTAGACATGTAAATATTAATTCTCTAATCCATACGTCTATTTCCTTTCAACGGGTACCTTTTCTGATTTATCCAATTAAGCCTTACCAATAGATTCTAATCAGCTCTGTGCTTAAGAAGTATTGAACCGAACAAGGCTTTTAATGAACAAAGTGTTTGGTAATCCAGAGTCGATTGGAATTATTAATGACGGGAAGTAATCCAGATATTTGACCTATTTATGAAATGCAGCAGAATGAATGATCAATTAGTGTATGAAATGTAAACAATACAATGTTACCCAAAATTCGACAGCCATGTTTGTGGAAAACTTGTTCATTTTTTAGATTATCTTTATTACATATAACAGACTTCTTTTTTTGTTTTGTAGCCTTTCAAAAATATTAAAAGTAAAGAAATGTATATTCAAAAAGTGGAGAACTTAAAAGGCAGGAGGTTTTGGTATAGTACCTACTGTATATACAGATAGCACATTCAGAGATGCATTTTGAGACCTACCTTAGTGGGTTTACATTACAGACAGTGACGGCGGGAAAGTACACTTCTTTGGAATGGGTGTATGTCAGCGTCGTATCAACAGGAAACCTGTAGAACTTAGCGACCAGTTCCCAAGTCTGATAACCCATCACACCTAAAAAAGAAGTTAAATCAACGACTTCAATTTTATCTCACATGTAAAACCTACTTCAAATGTTCTAGGCATTTTTCAACAAAAAAATGCAATTTTGTATTATTTTATATCACACGTTGGCCTGTTTCAGCATCATCATTATTATTATTATTATTATTATTATTATTATTATTATCTCTTTTTAAGTCTGTGTCAAATTTCCCTTGCTGCTGAAATGTCGGTTTTTCTCAAATGGAGTATATTTGTCGGATCGGATTTACATTATTCCTCCAAAAAAAGAATCTCACATGACCTGCCTGCTGCAAATTACCTGTTTAATTTTCTGGTACATAAAAGCAATATTTAGCTGAACAACATGCATGATACCTATGTGAACGCCACCCACATCTTACCAAAGCACGCGAGGAAGAGAATAATCCATACTGTCCGTCTGAAGATATTAATGTCAGAGCGCACTATATTCGGCAATCCGTTCACTGGACTGTTCGACGCCCAGCTATAGGACAGCGCAATCAATGATTCTTGCTGCTTTTTATCGCCTTTCCCCATTTTTTCGAGTCAAAACGGACTGAATAGATGAAGCTCAGCGCAATAATAACATTCAAAAATGCTCACACCTCCGACTGACTATGTTGACCAAAATTACCGCAACTGACATTGTCAACTGTATTGAGCACGGAGTGTTTTCCTACCCTAGAGGCACATGAAAAAGAGGGGGAGGGGAGGGGCACCTTCGTTTTAATGTAGTCTATCGTGTCATACATCTTTCCTTATTTTTCTTCAAAATGTTTCGAAAATGCACGATGAAAGAAAAAGAAACCGAAGGAAAGAAAAAACAAGTACACACACAAAGCTCCAGGAATATTTCAACAATTACTGGGCAATAACATTTCCCCTTGGCTACCCCTTTTTCCACCCCTGGGGCAATCAATATGAATACTCTTGAACAAAGGTATCTGTTATGACTGGACAAATGACTCTGCAATGACAGAACTTCATGGGCCGTTGAGTTAAGAAAGAAAAATAAACAGAAATAGTTCAGAAATAGTTTAGTGCTTTAGTTTGTTTTGTAGAAGTTTCAAACACAACACCAAATTTAACAACTACTGATGGGGCAAAATACTGAGTGGAAATCAATTTATTGTACTTGTGTCGTTGACTTGACAAACACGTAAAATATGTTGCTCTCTAGTAGTCTTTTTGATAGGGTGTTTAAGTAAATTATTTATAATTTTATATTCAGTTCAAGATATTTTCTTGTGAATGCGTACATTTGGGTTGCGTTTGGGTTGGTAAGAAATACAACTAAGAAACAAAGTTTACAGCAACTTATATGTAGCGCTTGCATTCATCAAAATTGATTAATCGCTACCTAGCTTAGGGTTCATTCTCAAATGAAACTACCGTTCTACCTAGATCGATCCAACTCCACGGGGACTCTCGCAGAATGCAATCAGATTAACAGTCTAGACGCAACCTCGTTTCCAAAGTGCTCTTATAATCATTAGCTTCCCTGTAATCTACTCCTCGCCAGGAGGAGGCGTGTTAATCTGTTAATCTGATTGCATTCAGCAGGAGTCCCCGCGGAGCTGGATCGATCTACGTAAAACGATAGTTTCACGGGGAATGACCCCTTAGTGTCCGTCAATCTGCAATCAATAAGTGCAAGTTAGTTTTGTCTACAAGCACGGCTATCGCGCCAGTTCTTTTACAGAGATATGATGGATGCATAGCAATTTCATTGACCAAACTGCTTTGATAGCTTAATCGCCAGTTTTCCAAGTGCCCGTCAGTCTATAATCAATTAATCCAAGCCAGTTTTGTGTTATGATTTCGGGGCGTTAATAGAACCCTGAAGCAAAAAATGTCCCCAATTGTCACGCCTCATTAATGAGATGGTTACATACCCTATGTATATACCAGTATCCATGTACTCTTTTAATCGATTTAATGATGTACTTAATACATAAGTATTTGGATAAAACATCAATTACTTTACTGATAACAATATATGCCCAATTAGCCTAAAACACTATTGAATCAGACGGTTAAAAACATAATAATAAGTCCTTTTAATTGGTGTTTATCACATTTAGACTGTTTGCCATTGACGTACATTAAAACCTGATCAATTCTAAATAGAAACCGATGTAAACTGTAGTAAACGAAGTTTTATAGTTGATTATTTAGTGAGAGAACGGGTTCATTGTTTCACAAATGATAAAAAGAAATAACTTTAAAAAAGTAGCACGCGCCTCTGTTAGACCCTGAGCACAGGGAGAGAAGATAGGAATTCATCTTCAACAAATAGGAAACGTTTTTAATTTTTACTGTAACTCGGCTGTTTTACACGTAGAAAAATAAGGCAACATACTCTTGCCGCAACTGGTACAGTTGAGATAATCTAAGACCACATGTTTTGCAAAATAGAACAAATTGCCTTTTTAATAAAATTCAAGCACACACACACACACACACACACACACACACACACACATTTGAACTATAGAAAAAAAACTACATGTACAAACAGTTGTCAGATCATACTAACTGCACCAATTAGTGATCCGGAGAAATGGGCGCTTATAATCAGAGGAGATCATTTCATATTGAAGTACATTTAATTGAATTACACATGCAATTTAAAAAGGTCAGCGTGGAATAGATACCAGTTATCTAGCGTTAACACTCGACGTAGCTCTATTTGATTGACGCGTGGTATAGAATTTAAGTGTGGACGCTCAGGACACCTTCACCTATAAAAGATGAACTTCTGAACTGGTTTGTTTATACGATAGATGTTACATCAATCACTGCCCATGAATAAGTTAAAGGCAGTGATGTGCAATCACTTTACAACGGCTGAGTTGACGAACCGAAGTTGACTTTTCCATTAGCATCGATCACAAAAATACCCGGGATTGAACAGCTTATTTGATCATTTGTCGTCAGTCATGCCGTAAACAGTAGGTGATAAAATGAATTTATTTTCACTTATTTCTTGCTATGGGGACTCAAGCTAATTGTTCTGTCTGTCCACCTGTTCTTTTGTCTTGTAAGTAATTGCAAATGTGGCTGAAGATTAAAACTATTTTAGTATTTATTGTATGATCCCAGGCTAAGGGTTTAGAATAGGAGCGCATTTAACAAACGCAATCTGGGCCATGACATCAGTTTTCGTTACTTCTTGGCGAATCTGTAATTGCAGGATGAACTTTATAATGGATTTCATTATAACTGTCATAAACAAATTGCATGTAAACATAGAGATGGAAGTTTAGACTTCTTTTTAATATATTTGTATTGTGAAAAATGTAAGCAACCTCAGTAATTTAGTACACAAGTGCTCTTTTGACTGGATTACTTTTGTAAAGTTATGCACAAGAATGACAAACAATCATTCAATTTCTTTGTCATGATCTTGTTAATTTGTGGTAGCCAACTTAGGCGGAAACCTTCCTTATAAGTATATAAATAAGAATATGATTGATGCTTTTGTGAAATGCGTGAAAAGGCATTATTCATTCCAACAAATGGATTGAAAATACTTCACATTAGTTATTTTTGCGCACTTCTCACCACCAAAATTAATCTGTACCTTCTAACATCGATGCACTATTTCTCATTTTATCTTTATGACCTATTCATGTAAAGTTATAACCTGTTTTTGCATGCGATACTGCAAAAATCAGTTTACCTCTCATAGTTTTAAAACACTAGAAGAATTCAATTACATATGTAATCGTGGAAAACGTTGATATATTAACTGCCTTCTGTATCTTTTAAATAAAACCCAGAAATTACTTAATTTACCAATTATTCTCAAGCTGATAGATAAGCATCATTCTATCTGAATCTTTTTATCTTAACACGCATCACAATAAATGTATCATACCATACTATTAAAGTCTGTTGCTGCCCACCAAACTTCGTTTCCAAATTTGCTTTGCATGATTACGATCAAAGTAACTGGAATGTCAATCCCTTGGAGCCGATGGTTTCACATCCTCTCTCTCTCTCTCTCTCTCTCTCTCTCTCTTAATCAATCAATCAATCAATCAATTAATTAATCAATTAACGTTTTGCTCTTACCGAAACACCCTAGAAGCGCCACCAGCCAGAAGAAACGCTTGATCAAATTTTGCGACCTCACGACGTTCGGTATTCCATTCACGGGACTGTTGGACGCCCAGTCGTACGCCAAGGCAATTAGACTCTCTTCACGAGCACTTTTCTCTGGGTCTTGGGAATTATGATCTACTACCAAGCTGTTTTTGAAAAAGTCGAACTGATTTTTTTCGGATGGATACATAGTTTGCGCCCCCGTACTCATCTTGCGCCAACTTGGATAATTGGTGACTATACGCGGCTGATATATGACGGACTTTTACCTAGTCAAGTCGTCGGACCAACGTCAATTAGCTAAATGCTGATGTCTGTAGCCCATTTATAAAGAATCGGAAGTGGGTAATCCATAATTGACGATTACGCCGTGGTGTAAATTCAAGTATCCAATCTCAAACCCGTAGTCAATAGCAGTTTTCAAACACAACCTTTGTGTTGAACTGTTGTGAATGGTAATAACAACAGCTGAAATTTTGCCGTGCCAGTTTCTCACCTGGATTAGAAAGATTCCAGAAGAAAATTCAATATAAAAAATGTCAGAGGATAATCGGTGCCATTTATTGTTTTTTTTTATAAATCAATCATGTGTGAACCGTCAATATTCGATTGTAATTATTGAAATATAACTGTTAAGAGATAAGAGAAGACAAGAGATAAAGAATAATTTAGTCAATTAAATAAACAAAAATGAGATGTAAATCTTCACTTTTCAAAGCACTCAAATTATCAAAAATGTAGTACTAAAACATTATTTTGCTAGTAATGACTCTTTCTGAAGAGACATTATGCTTAAAATGACGATTTTTTCTGTAGTAAAGAAAAGACCCCCGATTTTTTTTTTTTTTTTTTTTTTTTTTTTTTTTTTTTTTTTTTTTTTTTTAAAAACTGGCCAGGCCAAAAAAAAAATGGCAACAGATATTTAAGGAAATATTTATACTAGAAAAGGTTTAAAATGTACAGAATGTATATTTTACATGAAAATTCAGATTAATGCCACTTCCATATTGTTTTTTTTTAATCAGAAACAAAAAAGGGACAAAAATTAGAACAAACGAAAAAATATGCAATTACAGAAAACCGCGAAATTCATTGCGTTAAAAAATTAATGATTTATTGCACAGGGTCGAACTATTTTAGATCATGTTTTGTCACCCATAACCGTTAAGTGAATGAAATATGTCATGTTTGAAGAAGTTAGTTGAAAAAAAGTTCGAGAGTTCTGATCACGATGGATGCTCACAACAGCGGGGTGTGGTATTTAATTTAGTTATTTAAGTGCATCGCTTGAATTCTTCAAATGATCTGGAAAACGCGTTTTGATACAGCGCTTTGGAAGTAAGAGGAAGATGAAGTTGACATTGAGCCATACGGGAAAAGTTTAGAAAGCTCGATCAAAATCCATTCCATAAGCTTCCCCACCCCAACCAACCCCCGCCCCTCTTTACCAACTCAAATAAACCAGTACAGTATGCACGTGAGAGCCACATGATGGTAACATCGACCCGTGTTAAGTGCATGTGTTCGATCTGTATCACGTTGACAGGGAAGCATTATGCTAGCACTACAATTCATGATCATTTTCGATGCTGCCTGTTTAGTTTACTTCCAACCAAGTAATGCGTAAATCCTCTGTGTTTGGAATTTTAGCCAATACCTTGAAATGATCATAAAAAACAAAATGATATTGATAGGTTTGTGAATACCTGTAAGGACATTGTGATGCCAAAATCCACCTCTACCTTCTCTTTATGAATCTGATTTTTCAATTACTTCTTTATTTGTAATTGTAGCACCATATGCTTTTCTGTCAAGGTATTTACAGAAAAAAATATACCTTAGTACATGGGGATGATAAAAGTATTGCGCCATTTTTCTTTAAGGGGAACAACAGCTAGATTTGTTAGTTTTTTCAATTGTTATTTTATTGAAAACTGATTGTGTCAAGTATCATTATTTTAGGTTTACAGAACAGTGAATTGCCCTTACATACATATGTAACACATGCTATTATGTCAGAATTAATATTTTGTAGGATAGCCAATATGGCCACCATCCTTCTAGGCATAGACTGATAAAGGTTCATTAATCTTCTGGGGGCTATGTTGGCCCAGGCTCTGAAGACACTTTGGATTAGAGCGTTTCTGGTAAAGGGGGGATCCTTGGCCACTTGATTTCCAATATCTTGGCACAGGTTTTCAATGGGGTTTGTGTCTGGTGATTGGGTAGGCCAGTCCACCCTGTTGATGCCATGCTGGTAAAGCCACTCTTGCACTGCTCTGGCCCTGTGTGGTGTAGCGTTATCATCTTGAAATATAAACGGATGGTTCCTGTCCACAAAGATGTTTTCTACCGATGCTAAAAGGTAATGGTCGCTCGTGATTCAAGTTTACATTTATCAACACCAGCTCACCAATACCATAGAAACCAATGCACCTCCAAACCATTATTGAAGTGGACTGTCTAGTGAGGAAATGCATATTCTCTGGCAGATGACAAGTGGATGTTGTTCTCCATACCCTCACTTGTCCACCCACGTTGTTAACTGTGAATATGGACTCGACAAAAAAAATGGCGCCAATTCTGATCCACTATCCAGGCAATGGTTCTTGCAGCACTCTTCTGCGTCTGTTTACCAAGGTGATGAGTGGTTTCCTCCTAGCAACCCTGCTCTGAATACCTGAAGCATGGAACCTTCTTTGTACAGTTCTTTTGCTAACCTCAACCTGCAAACTGCGCGACCACTGCAACGCTAATTCCCTGCACGGCCTGTCGGCTCTGGCATTAATTAGTCTTCCTTGGGCGGCCACTTCGGTGTAACTTATGGGCATCACCAGTGTCATCCATCCTTCTGAAAGCCCTATACATAGTCTGACGCGATACACCTTATCTGGCAGCTACATTGTATCTGGGTGACATTGATACCCTGCTCCCTCTGAGAAACAATTTGATTTCTTACTTCATTTGTGACCTCCCGTACCTTCACCATGGTGGCAACGTGACAGCTAAAAGGGCCTTTTACCTTCGGAGGAACCTTTTATACGCTGTAGTACACATATATGAAAACTCATCACTGTTAAAGCGAGCAATAAACCGAAAAACACGATGAACTAACAGTCCCCCCATGTCACATATAGCACTATTTACACAGGTGTTGCAATACTTATGTCACCCCTCTGCTATATAACAAAATAGAAAAGGTTGCATTGTAAAGAAACTGCGTTGGGTTCGGGTATTATTTGAAAATTACTTGTCACAATTATTTCAAAGGCCGAGTTAAGTAAATGCATTTCGCTCTGAATGGGCCTGTGTTTGCCTATCTCTTATAACCGTGATTTGCCTTGTACGTTGTAACAGTTACTCCTGTTGATAGGAAGTGCAAACGAAGTCTAAATGCCCAATCAACCTTTCTTCATTCTGGCCAATTAGATTCTTGGAAAATGAAACCTGGAGGTCCCAATGATTAACAGACCTCACACCAACTTTTCCTTGATAGCAAGCGTATTATAGGTTTACGTTAAAGTTGCCATAATAGAAAAAGTTTTTAAAACAGTGTTATCGGTAAAAGAGAAGGAAAATTGTATACTATCCTGGTTTGCACAGTGTGCTTCACTACGTAAGATGCCGTAATTAATGCCTCTAGTAAAATCCCAGAAACACTTATAACAGAGCAGTCCTATATCTCTGTTTTTTCATCTGTACACCTGTCTTGAGGAGGGGTTGCTTAGCGTATTAGTCAAATTAGTCAAAGTGAATGTAATGAAAATAGTTGTCAGGACAGGGGAAACTGAAGAGATACCGATATCCAACTGTTTTTATTTGGGTTTATGAACAACAATACGGAAAAGAAGAGAAGAAATTCAGTTTCCAAAGTCCATAATCGATTCCGTTCACACAAATATTGTCAATGGGTAATTAGGCTTATGTTTATAAAAGGTTTCTTGATCACATTGCTTCAACAAGAATTGAGGAGTGAAAGTGATGTTAGGCTCGGTAATAGAGCTTAAGCTTGTAATCTGGTGTAAATTTTTTAAAAGACCAAATGTTGCACACACACACACACACACACACACACAAACACACACACAGATAGATAGTGAGCTGTGGTGACGATCAAAATAAAATTGTAAAAATTTTCATAACAAAGTCATCACTTGAATATCAAAGGTATTCTACACGAGATTAACCCTCCAGGATGATTTTGTAAGAGAAATGTTTCTTCTGCCACGAATTATTTCTCGACTTGCTCGACCTATCCCTGCCTTGCATCCGACGTTTTGTCCCTTTTTTATTTGAATGTTTGAATGATTTAGTTTTATATATTGCTAAAGTCGCTAAGTAAGTCAAAAACTAACGTCCTATTTCGATCCCATGCTTAAATTAAGCGTACTAAAATTGAATAAGTTTAGGACATTCAATCCATATGTATGAAAAGGTTCATGACACATCGATTTGTTTTTGATGTGGGGAAAAATCCTGTGGGGTAACACGATATACTTAACATGGCAATCCTTGGAATAGGTTTAAATAACACGTGAAGACAAATGTTTGATATCAGTTCCAACAGATGTTTTAAGACTCCCGTATTTTCATCCGTTTTCAAGTTTTAACTTAATTAATTTCATAAAATACATCTTTATCCAGAAAACAAAGTTAGCATACCACCTAAGAAATTGTTATAACTAAAAACTTAAGATAAGAAAAGCAGATACATTTAGGAAAAGTAAACGATGTAAAATATATCTATTCGACAAACTTACCAAAGCACATTAAAAGCAGTAAAGTCCAGGTCACTTTACCCACACTGGATGTCGAGCGTGCGATATTAGGAACGCCGTTTATGGGACTGTTGTCTCCCCAGTTTTTACAGAGCAGCAGCATGCTTGTTTCATCCTGCTGTTCGGCTGCGCTAGGGAGTTGATCTTGTGCCTGACGGACAAATAAACCGCCGCCTTCAAAGTTCGCAGTTTTTGAGCATGATGAATATTTACCGTTCTCTGACTGTTCTGAATCAAAACCAGTACCTCCATTTTTCTGGCTGTTTAATAAGCTTCTTTGTGATGTTGTTCTTTGTTCCTGCTCATATTTGTCTTGCTGCATTTTGCTTTTTTGTCGAACTTCCTGATATCTCTAAAACTTAAAAAACTCCACAAAAATTTCAAAATGAGTAATTTCCTTACTAAACCTTGAAATCTCAATACACAACATCATAGGGCTGTGTTGACTGTTACACAGTTGAAGCCGCGGGATAAGAAAACGACGCATAGGGTTTTCTATACTATATAGATGGTCGATTGATTTACGCTTCATTAGCAATTTTTTTGTCTTTAAGAAGTTACAAGGTGCACGTCGATAATATGTCTATTTTCGTAAGCATATTCCTAACTGTCTGTCAAAGGGTGAAATATGATTATTTCACGCTTCGTTTAAAACCATACCGTTCTAAAACATGTTATATAATATTTATTTACATTTATATGTACACTAAGGCTGCTTTTCAGGTCTTGAGGGGTCTGAAATTATGTCAAAACGTCCTGACACGATCAAGATAATACTTTATTGACATTATTCTTTGTGCAATATTTGCATGTAATTCATTTGTAAGCCCTCTTTATAAGTAACACCAACAGATCAAAGGCCTTAATATCGAAGGACAAGGGGCAAGAATTCGACCCTTGAGAAATAGTGTAGTATTAAGCTTGGTACTAATTCTTTGTGCCTCATTTTTGGTTAAGGTCGATGATTAATAAAAGGCTACAACCAACATGTAGAGTTGAAAATGATGGAGACACTTTTCAATGTTGGTTAACGTAGTTTATCCAGATTAATACGTGACATGGGTTAACGTCTTGGTAAAAATTTCGGAGAAATGATTTGCACAGTGCCACATGAGGGACACATGTTCCACATACCCTGGCCTGGCTGCAGCTTTTATAAGTACAAGCGCATGTACTTTTTCGAGATGTATAGGCCTATTGTTTTCCATACTGTACAAAATGTTCTGTATATTTTTTTGGTCGGTTTGAAGAAAAAGACAGCTTCAGCGGCAATTTTTTTTCTTTTTTCTTAATTTTTTCCTTCAGAATAATGCAGAAATGAAACTTTTTTCAACCGGTTCTATAATGTATATTTCTCAACTTTTATTAAATCATATCACTCTTATATGGACAGAGGAAGCTCCACCCAGCCCCATTTATTCTGAAACTATCTCTTGGCGTCTTATCAGAAGGAAGGAGAGATTGATCCTATCGTTTGAGGCACAGAGGGAGCACCGCAAAATACCCAAAATTGTATCAAAATGTTTAAAATGTCTTCGCAGCTGGGCTTGGAGTATCAAAGCATCATAGTCGCATTTCAATTTAAAACCCTAGTGTGTAACTAGAATTTACATGTTAAAACAGACCAAGAACTCATACACATCAGCAGGATGCACACAAATATTTATTTGTAACATGAAAAAAATAAGTAAAACACAAAAAAATCTAAAATACCAAAGTCACATTTTTGGAGAAATATAGGTATTACGAACGTTAAAACTATTCGCCTGCCAATGTAATATCTGTAACTAAGAAGAGATTTTACGTGTTCTGTTCGTTCTTTTCAAGCTCCCACCAAACAACTTTAGTTGGTCTTAGTTCTGTTTACGTACACTTTTTCTAAAATTTTGCACAAAGGATAGCAGGGTTAAGAACCAATAACTGTATATTGTTTCTGACATAATTTCTTTTTAAAACGTTTGACTAATTAAATTCCTTTTATTGATAACTGTTTTTGTAATGGGAGCCAGAAAAGACACAAATTTTTTAATGGTCAAAACTGTTCAAAAGTAAGCATCGGAGGCAATATGCCGACAGTTTTTGTTAAGTATCATCGAATTTAAGTTGAGAAATTAAACTTTAAATTTTGAGGGTGTTTCACCAGAAGTACAAGATCACTAAGATTTTTCTGCCTTGTCTAAAATGTAATAACATGTACCTATAAGTAACATGGACCTTATCGAAACTTGGACAGTAAAATTATTATGTCATAAGAATCACAGTATTCATATTTTCAAATATTAATTGAATTCCTAGTATAATTTCTGAAAATATTAATACTCAGTTTAATATTGCCAATAAAATTTTCGGGTCAAACAGGCCAGGCCTGTCCTCAGCCTGCTGAGAATTCAAGTACGTACGCTGGCTATGTCTATTCAGAATAGGGGACTAACTAGTCCGAGGGTCAAATATGGTGACCCACTACAAAGCTTGCCGTCTTATCCGCTAATAGGCACTGAACAGATTCCCCGTGGAGCAGATTAAGGTGGGTCGGCCATATTGGACCCTTACACTACTTAGTCCCCTATTATGAATGGCGCTTTTAATACTGAAAAGTTCAGTGATGCCTAAGCAATTTGATCACAAAATACTCGCCAAAAATATTAATGATGACCAAAATATGAACCAGTAAGGCAATACCCTTGCTACAAATTTCGCATGATACTCTGGAAAGAAGAGTAAACAAAATTGAGGTTTTATTCTCAGCAAAAAGTTACCGCAAGATATGAAACACCTTCGGATGCCCAGTGAAAGAAAGGAGCGATAAGTTATTTCTTCTGTATCCTGTTAGGCTACATGACAGCAAAGGCGGCCCAGGTTTCCAAGACCTAGTCAAACTAGCGTCAGTCATGACAACTTTTCAGTTTTTTCTTTTCTGTTTGGTTGGCGAAGATAAAAAACAATGGCATTTTCATGGCATTTTAGCTGATAAAACTGGTCACTGTTTATCGTCGTCCGCGGTTCGTCCAAGGTGCTTGAGGGCACATCTTCCATATGCACATAGGAAAACCTGAAAAAGGGAAATAACTACACATATATTGAAGAAATACACTTGAAACTTATGATATAAGTCTTTTATAAATATTTCAGTCAAATAAAAAGATTAAATGTTATGTGGATGTATGTGACAAATTTTACCACTACCTAGGAGGTTTCTCATACATTTCCTTGCTACTACATGTACCAGCTTCTCCTTAAAGGGATAATAACTCTTCGTATGAGATCTATATTTCACAATAAAAAATTGTGAATAACTCATAGAAATATAATATATTCTGTTTTACCACAAAAACGGCAGTTATAGCTATTATTCTGATATCTGAGCTTGTCTTTAGACCACGTGACCACCATTGATGGCTATACTCTGTTAAAATCTCTTAAGAGATTTTAACAAAAAACCAAACTTTTTAGAAAAAAAAACAGGGACTAACTTTGAATGTAAAAATGGATTCATTAATCATTGGTAAGTATGGGAAAATTGTTGTTTACTCCAGGAAAATTCATTTTTTGGCCGAAACGAAGAGTTATTATCCCTTTAACGTTTTAGGATGGATATATAGTAACTTCCCAGCACACACAGAACGTTTTTTAACATTACCATCACGTTACCGTAACGATTTTTGGTTATATTAACGTTATGGTAACGTTATGATAACGTTCTGTGTTTGCAGCTGGGTTGTCACTGCATCTACACTACATATATCCCATATCATTAAAATTCAACCCCCTAAAATAGGTGTGAATGCCCTTTTATTATCACATGCCAAGAAATCGACAATATACAATAGTCATTAACGAACTTACCTCCATCCTGCCGCTTCCTAGGTACGTCAGGGCCGTTTGGTACTTTAGATTTCATTTCTGGAATCTGCTTAATGCCTCCATCGAAGTCCAATTTGTTTTCCATATTTTCGAGACCAGATAATAAGTTGGCAGTGTCGCCTTGGGTGAACCGACCAAAAGCAGCATTCTGAAATAAAAGGTGGAAGTGTGGGTTAGAAAAGGTATGCTTTGGAATTAGTTAGACTGTTTGGAGAGACGTGAAATAAGGCTCTTCGTGGGATTAAAAATTTCAAAGTAAAGAGAGCCTTTTTTTAAAATAAATTGGCAGCAAAATAAGTTTCTAAATGAACTTCTGAGAAAAGTATGCTTGAAAAGTAATCAAACATGATCAGCGATTACTGTTTTCGCTCATGTTACATTGCATGCCAACTGCCATGATCGCTGATAATCTGCGCTGAGATAGGCCTGCCATTGGGGACCATTCCCAGACCCTATCATACCATCTTTGGATCGATCTATCTCCTAGGAGATTCTCGTAATATTGCTTTCAGCTTAAGCGGCTCTTATGCCTGGTACGCCTAATGAAGTTGCGAGGGGGTTATTAACTGTGGTTAAATAGCTTCAGTAGATGTGCCATTTAGCGAGACACCCCGTGGAGATGGGTCGATCCTGCTAGATCGCTCCAGATTGGGGTCTTAAGGTTAAAGACAGGGTTTATGCAACACCTGGGTGACATCACAGTCAGAGCCCGTAGACACGCTGTGGTGACACGTGCTGTATTTAAATGAGCATTGCCCTTTTGCGGCTGCAGGAACGCTACATGGCGTGACGCTTGAAGACCTGATTAATTTAGTGCTAAATTGTTAAAACCATTTTCCAAGAAAGTTTGTCTTCTTTGTCGGTTCTTTGTCTGACCTTGAAACTGGCAAAGGCTGTTTGGAGGGTGAAGGAAGCAGAGCGGTCGCTCACATCGTTCAAGGGTGGTGTGCGGGGTGTTCATACCAGTTCACAACATGGTCGCCGTAGATTTTTTGAACATGTTCAAAACAATCGCACAATAAAGGGCGCGGAGGCTGGTCGCTGAAGGTGTCTCAAAGCAGCACCGCAGGGTTGCAGAAGGGCGCTCAGTGGTCGATGTGTTAAATATACAATTTTACTGTCAGTCTGTTCGGTGATAGGGTAATTTTCACTAGTGGCAATGAAATTTTAAAGGCAATTCATATAGGCTGTCCATGCCACGCCCAAAGAACGTCACTTATGACATTTTTCAAGATAAACACAACGTTTTACTATATTTCGCCTGTCTACCAAACATATCCACAAAAAAAAAAATGGGCCTTTGTGTTTATTTTTAGGCAACAGAATGTTATATGAAACAATAAAAAAATCATCCTATGCCTTTGAACGGAGAAATATAGCTATCAAACGGACAGGTAAGGATTTTAAAACGAATCTTCGAACTCTCATCTTCGAGAAAATGTTTTTCTTGTTCATGTTGTGATAGTGAGATAACGTTACAGAAACGCAACTGACAGGGAGGAAATTACACAGTCAGTTTATATTAAGACGCTTAGTAAATGATCGGTTTTTATATACAGACGCTGCACGTGTCTGAATACCTTCTGATCACTGTGTCTGTCCATGTAGGCGCCGTTGCTGTCGCCGTCCAAAACATCAGTCCATGTAACTGCCAAATCTTATTATTATTTTTTTTTTTTGTTTTTCTGTAAATTTACTGAGTTGCATTTTTTAAATTAAAAAGTGTTCCTTTTAAAAAGCAGCGTGGGCGGATTATCATTGTTTTATTTTTGTTTTTACAAAAGGATATTTTTCTTTTTTCTTTCTTGCATGTATTTTGCCAAAATTTGTCTCATCGTCTCATATGTGTCAAATCATGCTTTTGTTTTGATTTGCCAACTTTTTTAGGCAAAGCGAGATGTGTAATGGCGCTTATGGTGCCCATTTTCTTCTTTTCTGAAGTTCTTTATACCTAAACACCGGTGTACCCCAGGTCTCTCCGAAAATGAGAGAGAAACCCTGCTTATAAGAATAGTATAATATAATAATATTTATTTACAACCAACAGATGCATGGTACATTTGTAATTCTAAAGAAATGGTACTGGTCAGAAAATCATTTTAGATATTGAAACATTTTCTGAAGTACACTTTAAGTTACTTTCACAAGAACTGCATTAACTTGAGTTCATACAACTTATTTTGTGTTTATCCTTAACTCCATTCCCATGGTTCAGTTTGATTTGATTAAGAAATTGGTAACACTACCGAATATACAGAGTGCTGAGCAAAGTCTTTTTAGATTAATTTGAAAAAAATTCTACCTGTTTTTCCATTTTTACAAAGTCTTTTTTACTGAAATTACCCTAACAAAAATCTTAAAATGAGTTTCACTGTGACATTCATACGATTTATTTGTAGATTGCGAAAATCTGGAAAAACGTCTCTCTACCCACAGACCTGCAGGCAAATGAAGGTTTTGGACACGATTCTTACCTTCAAATCCTCGTATGCTAACACCCCTTCTCCTCCTTCCCCTGTAGGGTATGCAACTAAATTCGTTGTCCCCACCGCCAGGGCTAGGATCAGCACCAGCATCCTTTTGGTCGGGCACGCAAAAGCATAAAACCTGCCCCCTGCTGCAATCTCTGTCATTGTCCACAGAACTTAATGATGTTCTTCAAGTATGCCGATTATTTATAGACGAGTTTCTATGCTTCCAGACTCTTGTTAACAACGAAGGAACAAAGGTGATAAATAACTCTTTCCGTCTACTTTGACTGAAATTGCACACCAAGGTTCGTTGTATTTTCGAGGCCTCTAGCGCAAAGAGTGTCAGCTTACGGTAGATGGACATGGAATGGCTTATTAGCAAAATTACGAATAATTACTTAAATATACTGCCCCTTAGACATAGCCATTAAAAGTCATTGGGGAACCGGGATAAAAGTCAACCCTCACGGCCAGCGCCCGTCCTACAGATAAAGCGGCAAAGGTGTGATATGTTACTGACAATGGCCTCAGCACTAGGGGGACAGACAGAGGGTTCGGGTAACGATAACCTATATTGTCCGTGGCTTAAACTTTGGGCCTTGATCGGATAATTCCGATCCAATTTGTTTGTAATTAAGCCTATATGCGTATTCCCGGATTAAGAATGGATTATACGAATGTCTACTGTTCAAGAGTAAAAGACGTGGTGCATGCGCATTGCCTTTTTTTGTTAAAAATTATTCTTGTCCCATGTCAAATGACACCTCCATATAATATTATGCCTATGTTTTTTGGGGGGTGGCGTGGGGGAGGGTGGGTGACCCTGTCGAAACGTACGCCGAAGTTTTTTTCTAACAAGGTGGGGGATCACAGTTGGAGGAACGATTTTGAGTGAAAGAAAGGTTGAGTGTGTATCAACAGCTATAATAATAATAATAATAAGAAGAAGAAGAAGAAGAAGAAGAAGAAGAATGAAAACCTGAACCACATCAAATAAAATAATAATCTGGGAACCACTGGACCATCATTTGATAAGGGGCATCTTAGGAACAATTTTAGGTTGCACGATGAAATAGCCGGTTCACACAGAGCATTTTGAATAGCAGATAACTTACAGAATCAAGGAAATGGGCAGCCATATTTGAAACACAGACAATATGTGGGCGGATCATTACTCGCCGAATCAAAGACCTGCATGTCCTACAACAAAACGTCTATGCCTTGAATGTTATTCCAGATTAAACTCTAAAAACCTATCCCAAAGAATGCCCTGCCCCTTGAGAGCCCTGGTAGCAGCACGATGAGGTCAGGCATAACAGCGACCGTTGAGATGATTTGACACTGGCATGAGGGACTTTAGTGGGGAGTGTAACTCTTTTACAGACGATAATTTGGAAAACGTGGAGACCCGATATATCGCTCCAATGGTTGTCTTATGACTTAGAATAAGCGATGTATTTTTGTTTGCTTCACTGACGAATTCAATTAATGAACTGATGTCACGATGACATCGAAGAGATTACCGAAAGTCATAATTTAAGCGCGATTTTATCTTTATTTTCATTTATTAGTCAGCATAATAGGAAAAAACTGATGAAAAATGATTTGGAAAAAATATTTCATATTAAATGTCAAGTCTGTATAATATTCCAAAAGAAAATTATTTCTATTGATTTATTATTATTTCTTTCCAACCTTTATTCCTTTAATGAATATACTTTTAAAAAAATGAAAAGAAATGAATACTTTGCAACTTATCAGACACTCTAAACTGACAAGCAGTTAAAGTGTTGAAAATAGGAAAACAGATGAGGTAAGAAGAGGATAGCAATTACCACAGGTTGGCGGCTACCTTAGTTCACTTTCCTGATTCCTGGAAAAAATGTTGAAATATTGCTGCCATTTAAATGATTGGTTCAGTCGAACAAAGACTTAATTTACCCCTATATTAAAGTTGAAACTTTCATGAGCCATTTCCTTTTGGAAATAAAAGACGTATAATGAAGATAATGATAAAATTCAACCTACTCAAATTTTACATTATAATGAGTGCCGGGTGTAACACGTGGGGATTTTCTCTTGGAGAATTGAAATCTCCCAGATTGCAGTTCGCGGTGAATTCGAAGTTGGTTCGATGACAAGCAATTTGAGTCTAGGACGCAAAATAAAGATATTATCTTCTATCCTAGTTTGAGTAATGTAGTTCCCAACATGAAGCAAAATCTGAAGTTGCCCTAAATCAGTGCACTTCATTAGCCTCTATAACAATTATAATAATCCCTCATCATCGTCCAGGCGTGAGTCTCGTTGCTTACGACATTTCCGCCCTGCGTATCATCTTAAAAAAATTAATAAAAAATAAATAAATCAATCAATAAATAAAAACCTAACGGGACACTGCTTCTCTTTTTTCTTCTGAAAATGTAGCTGACATTAATTTTTAAAATGTTATTAAAATCAGTTTACCTTTTAAGCTTTGCCCCTAGCTTATTCATTAAATTGATGGCGATTTACATGTATGTTGTAGGCGACCCTCCTTGGAAAATCTTGCGTTGCCTTCGTCCCTGTGGTGGGTGGACCTTACTCCAAACCCCTTGATCTTTACCGTTTAATTTGTCTTGGTCCACAACAGGGTCAATTGGCTGGGCTTGGTTTTGAGGAATTCTAGCTGGTTCTGACTCAATGGTGCCTGGTGCTTCGAATCTGTGGTGTTCTTCAACATCAGACTATGTTGCATCCAAATTACTAGCTGTGACGGTATCTTTGGAACTCACCTGCTCTAAGATTTAGGTTTTCCTTTCTTCAAGTAATCCATTGCTTCGAGTCTTTTTGCAATATTTTTTAATGAAATAAATTGTTTGAGTGAAATTTAAATGATCAAATATCATGTGCAAATGGTGAAAATATAGTGGATTGGTTTACGACCCCAACATTATTTAGTTTTTAGTACGAAAACCATAAATGACAAAGAATCCAAACAAAATATATCAAATCTATGAAATATGTGAAATGTCATAGAAAAATAATCTAAAAAAAAAAGGACCAACGCTAACAAATATGCGCCTGGTGTCGAAACCTGTTATGAAGTAATTGGGTTAAATTTACTAACCCGTTTTTGATCGTTTTTCCCCATTTTTAAAATGTAGTTGATTATTATTAATTTATTTTTATCACAATCTGAATTGTGCCAGTGTGTGCTTTTACAATGCCATTATAAATGTTTTTTGGATTTGTCTTGGACCCAACAACCCACCATGATACGGTGGGTGGGTTAAATGTCCAAGCAACGCAAAGAAACATTAAACGATCAAGGCGACAGAGAGTGCCATTCTGTCATTGCGATAGCTGCGAAATAACTCTTGACTAACTGGAGGATTTCATTGACCTATTTTCTTCAATAGGTGTCAGCACTAAAACCCGCTAATGAGAGAATGGTTTTAAGTTGTCACGTACTTTACGTGAGTAGTTTATCGCAGAGGAACCAGTACTGCCGTACGTGTTTGTGAAGTGAACATCTTGTCAGTGCGTTGAAGCTGGAGGGTTGTAGTAGTTGTAACATTCAGCAGCATGGACTGTGAGGATGATTTTGAAGACGATGACGAACAGGAGGACTGGCGTTCTTGTGACTGGGCTCAACCGGGGAATCAGGCCCCAAGTCGTCAAAATTCCAAAAGGGACTCCGAGATGGAGAAAACACAGCGTCAAAAACAAGACGGCAGCTCATTCAGTGATCTTAGTAGGTGTACCCAAAGCTGATTATATATTTATTTCAGCCTTTGTTTCTGATAAATTTGCTGGCCCTATGTAACGAAACGGTGAGCTCTACTCTGTCAGGGTCTGGTGGATGACCGCAGACAGTTTTGAATCCTAGGCTCTATTCCCATAGATTTTAGATCGATCTATCCCCGCGGGGAGTCTCACTAGATTACTTTCAGATAATCCGACTTAAATGTCCGTCCCGCCTACTACAAGCTGTAAGGAGGTAATTAACTTTCGTGTCCGCCCGGCTGACAGCTTTTTAGCGTGAACCCCCAGGGAGTTAGGTCGATCTAAAGTAGGTCGATCTAATCTATGGAAATGGGGTGCTAATGTCTGGGGGACACTGCATTTTGAAACGTAGATCTAGGGTCCCTGGACCTCTTGTTTTAAAATGGAGGGACCGCTTTGAAATTCCGAGTCTTTAGTGATCTGAGAACCAGATCCACATTTTCAAATTCTTGTATGTCTACATTGACAAAGTCATCAGGGGGATCTGCATTGAGTTGTTCTTTGAGGTTGGTAGGAGACATGGAAAGAGATTTCTCGTTTTCGTCGTGAGAGTAGAGAGCTGTGCAGTCTCTGGAGTAACCGTGTTCTGCCATTGTTAAGGTACATGGATTTGTTTCATCAGCATCTATTATTTTCTTTTTGATTTGTTCATCTTTATCTAGTCTTGCTTTCATAAGTTTCAAATTCCTGATAAATAAAATATTTGCTTGCATTAGGAGGGGAGAACAATTGTGCCTATACAATTGATACAGAGGATTTGTACTTACAGGTGACTTTAATAAGCAGAGGATTTTCTTTTATATCCGTAAAAAATACACTAAATTTATATAAAATAATATCATGGTTGGCCAAAAAAAAAATGTACGCACAGTGTATCCGTGCGTATGCCTAGTTACGCCCATGTATGATATGCAGCTAGTAATTGTTTTGAAATAATGTTGCTACCAGCAAATAAAACAAATGTTCATTAAAGTTAAACAATTGTTAAATGTCTGAAGGAAAGAAGTTTCATGTATTTTGGTTAACTTATATCATCATGAGGTGTACAACATACTCAGCATTTAAGTTCTTCAGTGCTATATGACAGATGCATGCTTAGTTAAATAACAATTAACTGTGCATATATATCTGTTCCCCCAGTGGGATTCCTCCAGGTGAAGGGGGGGGGGCACAGGTATTTACTTCTTTATTATTTACTTGACACATGTGGCACGTAGCTATGTAATGTCATATGTAACTGGTCATGTAACTTCTTTTTATGATGCCAAGGCATCTTTTTGGTGACTCCAAGGTGTCCACTTGTCAGATACAATTGTTAAAGTCAAGTAGGTAGAGTGGCAAGGATAGAAATGCAAATTGAGGATGTAGCACGCAGGTCTTCCTTTTTGTGGTGTCTCTTTGTGAAGTCTCTCTCATATATGCTTGCAATTGCTGAGTATAGACACCTACATTGAGCTTTTCCCTAGCTGGCTCATTGCCACTACAGCTTGTGAAACATTCTGAACTTTTATAATTTCCAGGAAATATTCTTAGAGGAATAAAATTTACACTTTTTTTGCATTTGATTCATTGAGGCTCTTCTCTAGTGAAATGATGGGAATTTTTCCATAATTTTCACTTAAAGATGCTGAATAAGGGACTGCCTCATAGCTGCACAATTTACACCAACATAGTGAATTGTAACACACTGAAGTACGTAGTCGCTGGACAAAAATATCTGAAAAAATTTAGTACTAAAAAAACATTAAGAACATTAATCTATTAATATTATCTTTTAACAGATTTCATTTGTGTAGTCATGGGTGAATAAATCCAAAATTACCCAGGTTATTACTCGCTTTGTGGAAATTAAGTAAGAATAATTACATTATGTTAAATATATCAACTATTATTCTGATGACATGATCCAGGTGCAACCAAAGCTAATGAAGATGGTAAAGACCTCGTATCCCGTATGGCTCTCAACGACAACAAGGCTGGAATGGAGGGCCTGGACAAGGAGAAGATCAACAAAATCATATATGAGGCATCAAAGGGTAGGTTGTACCACCTTAGCCTTCTGATGTAATAGTAAAGACTGACAGTAGGCAGTATGTCATCCTTAATGGCCAAGTGCCCTGGCACCAGTTTAACACACACAAAAGAACTTGTAAGTTGGGTTCCCTGGCAAAGAACTTAATTTCCAACGTTATGTGGTCTCATGCACACATCTTATCCTATCAGGAACACTGTTACAGCACTCTTATGGAAATCCTAGTCAACCAAGCCAGGGAACTTGACCCAACTTTAGACTTGGAACATATGTCAATTTCACAGATGTAGTTAAAATGTGTTAAGTAATCATTGGACTTTGTGGAAGTAAAAACGGTGTTCCAAGTGGCTCTGAGTTTTAAAATTGTCCTTATGCATTTTTACACAGGCTCAAGATTTTATGAAAATGAACTGAAGAAAGAAGAACAAGTAATCATCAGGATAGCTGAGCAGAAAAGGAAGTTTTTGAAGTTGACCAAGAAGAACATAGAGCAAGGCACAATAGAGGTATGGAGTAGTCCTGCAGTGAAAGCTATGTATGATGTATATCATTGTATACTATACCACTGTAGTAGTGTAGAGAGCCTGTAAATGTATTTTTTTGTGATAAATGAAATAATGAATTATTATTATTATTATTATTATTATTATCATCATCATGTCAGGCAGACAAGTTACTTCACCAGTTGGAAGAATCCCGGGATCTTGGACATACAATAGTTCATGTGGACATGGATGCTTTCTATGCTGCTGTAGAAATGCGGGATGCACCAAGTCTGAGAAATAAACCCATGGCTGTAGGAGGAATGGGCATGTTGGTGAGACATCTTTCCTGTAACATTTTTGAGTTCTTGAATTCTTTTTTCTTTTTTTTTGTCATTTTTATTCATAACCAGATTATGCTCTCTGTGATGGTAGATTTCAGCGCAAGTAAGCATTCAGTGTGTATTGAATTGTGTGCAGGTATGTTTTTATTTTGATGGTTACTAAATAATTGAAATATGTTGATTTAGATTTAATAGTGTTTTTAATTGGTTGAATGCTTTGTTATTATTTGTTGATATAAAAACACGTTTTTGTTTAAATGTAAACCACAACTCGGAAATTCTGAAATTACAATATATTGTCCAAGACCCAGCCTTTTCAAGATTTTAGAAAAAACATTGACCCAATTGATTTTTTTCTTTTTTCAGTCAACGTCCAACTACTTGGCCAGAAGATTTGGTGTTCGAGCAGCAATGCCTGGTTTCATTGCAAAGAAACTGTGTCCAGATCTTGTAATCGTTCCAACAAATTTTGACAAGTATCGAGCTGTGAGTAAAGAGGTGCGAGACATTATGTCAGAGTATGATCCCAACTTTTGTCCAATGAGTTTAGATGAGGCGTACCTGGACTTCACAGACCACTTGGAAAAAAGACAAAACTTGTCCGAAGCTGAAAGAACACATACATTAACCACTGACAGGTGCACTTGTTTGGAACATTCTGGTGTTGAGAGTCATGAAAATGGTAAACCCTCAAGAAGCAAGAGGGAAGTTTCCACTGAAGAAAATGCTAATGGTGAACATTTGGTAATTGGCAACAGTGAAGTTACGCAGAGTAAGCCAGAAAAAGATAATTTTGACAGTGGTGATGATAATGGTGACCATGGTAATGATAATGGTAACAGTGGTCATGATAACGGTGACCGTGGTGATGGTAACTGTGTCCATGGTGATGATAATGATGACAGTGGTGCTCATATTTCAACTATTGGTGCTGCAACAGCAGAACATGGATGCCCCCAGTGTGGGAAAGGAGTGGTAATCAAAGAAGTCAGGACATTTGGACTTAGTGCCGAGGAAGCAGTGCATGAAATGAGGTTCAGAATACAACAGAAAACAAATCTCACTGCAAGTGCAGGTATGGCCAACATAGATAATTTATTGATTGTTAATTTCTACATCTTACATTTTTGTAAATTTTAGATTAAGATGCCAAGGCATACTATCATTTGTATTTTAAAATGACAAATTGTAAATGGCAAATGAATATTCTCAAAATTTTCATTGCAATGATACACTTAAGCCATTAAATGATCAGTAATAACTAAAACCCTGCTCTCCATCCCTAAGGCATAGCCCCCAACACAATGCTGGCCAAAGTGTGCTCTGACAAGAACAAGCCCAATGGGCAGTATATGATACCAGCCACCAGAGAGGCAGTCATGGATTTTGTGAAAGATATGCCCATTAGAAAGGTAAGTGAAGGGAACACGTATATTGTCCATCTTGTACTATTCTATGGGAAAAGAGGTTATATGTTGTTTTACTACTTGTGATGTTCTTAGCATAAGGAAGGTGTGTTGGTTACTTTATTTTGGCATGTAGGCAGTGTATATTTAGGCTCAATATTTCCCTCTGAAAACATTTCCTTTTTTTTTTTTTTTGGAATAAAAATTGAAATGAAGAGACTGTTTACATGATTTTGTGCCAAAATACTAAAATTTTCCTGTCATCCTCATATAATTTATATTGCTCATAAACTGTCACTTTATTCAGTTTCAAACTCTTTTAAATTCCCATTATCCATTTAATTGTAAGCAAAGTGAACAGATATCCTCCATTTTATTTTATGCAAAAATGAACTTTGGAAGCAGAGGAATGATTCAATAGGTGTGCAACAGGCCTTTGAGAAAAGCAAAAGCTACCTTAAAACTAGGAGTGGTTTTTGACCCCCAAATCCCCTAAGTCCTGCTCTGTAAGTAAAGCATAATACTGGTACTCTTGTCAGGTGTGTGGGATTGGCAAAGTATCTGAGAAGATGCTGAGTGCTCTTGGTGTGACCACCTGTGCTGATGTGTATGAGAAGAGGGGGATATTGTATCACCTGTATTCCCAGGTGTCATTCAAGTACTTCATGCAGATTTGCCTTGGTATTGGCTCGACGAGAATTGGCAGGTAATGTTTATAGACATCAGGCCCCCGTTTCACAAAAAAACTTAAGTCGGTTTCCCTGACTTAGGGCTTGGTTACCAACGTAATTAAGTCGTTACGTCACTAAGTCCCGTTTCACAAAGAATCTAAAAGGTGGCTTACGACGTTTTTTCTTAGCTGTAAGTCGACGATGTCAAGCCTCCTCGGGAGGAGACTTAAGTCGGCAAGCTCAACTAAAACTCGGTAAATGAGAGCATAAACAACAAAAATTTGGAAAGAACATACCTCCTTCAAGATATTGTGTTATAATATCCTTGAATAGCACTGACATTTATGGAATATTGAAATAAAAAATAAAATTCCACTTTACCCAGCCGATCGCGTGTTTGTTTATGTTTTTGACCGCTAGACGTCCCTCAGTAGTGTTCCACGACAAGCTAATGTTTAACTGTTGCTTTGAAGTTGTATTGAAGTTAAACTAATCAATAAAGTTCAAAAACAAACTTTGTTTGTGTTTTGGCTGACTTTTATCGATGATAAACGATCGTTCTCGGCCGAAAGAGGCCATGAAACGTCATGTCTTGTGAAACTTTTGCAATTTTACACCTCCTTTTCTTGAAGAGTTTCTCGTGCGCGTCGACTACGGTAAGCACGCCAAGCTAAGACGTTAGATTCTTTGTGAAACACTCCAAGTCGACTTCAGCTAAGTCGACCTAGCTAGGCCACCCAGCTCGAGTAAGACGTCTACGGATTTAAGATTCTTTGTGAAACGGGGGCCAGGGGTTTCCCCAGGATTTGGGGGTACAGGGAGTGCAAAAGAATAACTTGGTGGGGGGGGGTGTGCTAGGTCACCCACAGACTGTCCTGATGAACCAACCCATCATCCCCCATAACACAGCTGTGTTGGTAAATCTTAGCTGTATTTTGAGGCCAGTGGCTGACCAAATGATGGCTTGATAGCTCTCTGGGGAACTCTTGATAGATACACAAGTACAGTGTAACTGGAGTGTCCTTGATGTACATGTAGTTTGCAACCTGGCATATAATTTCTAACTACAGTTATGGTTGATCTTCATTTCAGAGATTCTGAGAGAAAAAGCATGAGTGTTGAAAGGTAAGTACCTCCCCATTTGTGTGCAGTAGGTTGTTTATTGTATTGAAAAGAATAACAGTCAGTTGCTGCACACTGTGATGATAGCTTTAACATATGATTTCATATAAAGAGAAAACTTTTCATTTTGAGTTTTTTTAATGCCTATGTTTTAAATGATGGTTTTTCTTTCCACATTGGCAGGACATTGATAGCTTTAACTTAAGATTTCATATATAGAGAAAACTTAACATTTTGAGTGTTTTTAATGGCTATGGTTTAAATGATGGTATTTCTTTCCACATTGGCAGGACATTTCAAGAAATGAGCAAAACGACTGACCTCTACCAGAAGTGCAGTGAACTGTGTGAAGAACTTGCCAGTGATCTTATGCAGGAGAACTTGAGTGTTTGTACATTTATTTCACTTTACTTGAATATTTAAAATTGGCATTGCAATAGCACTGGATAGCAATGTGTTTTATATGTGGTCTGTTAATGTATGTCGTAGATGATGTAAAAAGTTCTCTCGACAAAATGACCTGTTTTAACAATGTACATATATGCATAAAAGCTTTTAATTTTTTAATTATATTAGAAACCATATCTCATTATGTTGTTTTATTGAATGATTTAATGATAACCGAAAATAAATAACACCATCTTTTATCTTGAATTGATAGGGGAAAACTGTGACTCTCAAGCTGAAAACTGTCAAGTTTGAAGTCAAAACCCGCGCCCAGTCCTTAGTTGAGTATACCTGTGACAGTGACTGCATTTATAAAGCTGCACAAGATTTACTAAGAGCAGAAATTCTGGCGTGTTCTCCAAATCCTTTAAGGTTGAGGCTCATGGGTAAGTGATGCACAATAATATATACTGTTGTACCTCTAAATATTTATAGATTTTGGTTTATTGCTAACAGTGTCATCTCAAATGAGCCCCCTTTAAAATATCCAGGTTGGATTTTATGAAGTGAGGTCATCTGTGCTATTGAGTTGTTACCAATGTACTGGTTCAATGGTACAAATTGATCTTTTATTGTACATTTGTACAGCTTATTTTGTGAATTAACAAAGCACTTTATTGAAGTAAGGGGGCATGAGTCCACCGAAGAATTGTGCAAAAATTCAGTGTTAGTTAATGAACTAACACCTCTCCTTTGTACCTTGCCCATATAAAAATTTTGTTAGAATGATGATAAATTTGAAAAAAAAAATTGTCCAAATTAAATTAAATCTTCAACAATTGATGAAAAATTTCAAATGTTGGCTTGAACCAAGCTTAGATGTGCCTATATGATATTTTAAAATTTGGTGTTTTTTTCATTATTTTCAGGGGTCAGAATGTCTAACTTCCAGTCTCAAAACGCAAAGAAAGATCAAAAGCAGACAACACTTGTGAGTTTTCTCAACAAGACTAAAGTGGCAACAGAGGCCAGTGTGAGCAGTGAAGGCTGCCTGGTGAAGGACAAACCCCTGGAAAACCTTTCTGGTTTTAATTTAAGCTCATTCATGAAAGGTGACACTTCATGTGACATGGATTCTGAGGTTGCTGTCAATTCCTCAAAACCCCTTTCAGAAGAAAAAGCTACTGGGCATGAAGAACTGGAAAACTCTGCTAGTTTTGTTGGAACTTCGTATCCCCCAGCTACATGTACTGCCAGCAGTAATAGAAATAGTATTAAACAGAGTGCAGCAGATATGGTTAAATATCAGTGTCCTGTGTGTAATATCATTCAACAGTGCAGAAACCTGGAGGAGTTTAACTGCCATGTGGACCTTTGTCTAAACTCACAAAGTGATAATTCTATAGAAACAGATATAATTGAACCTCGCAGGCAGTGCCGGAGAGTTCATGCAAAGAATACAATAACAGTATCAGAGTTTGAGACACAAGGGTCAGATGATGTTCACACTAATGATGCCAGTACATCTGAAGAGAGTCGCTGCCCGTCCACTGCACCACCATCCCTAGTGTGTCCTGTGTGTGGCATCCAGCAGTGGGATCCAGATCTGGACAGATTTAACAGACATGTGGATGCCTGTCTCAGCAAAACAACCATCAAGGAAATCCTTCAGGAACAGGGAGGAGGTCATAAAAGGTGTGTGTGTATATTTATTATAAATGATGAAAAATTGTCAGAATGAATTTAGGATATTTTGGGCCAGTAATTTGTTACCTATTTCTTAAAGTAAAGTGCTAAAGGAAACAAATACCAGGTAAAATATCTGGCATTTTCGTGACCAACTATGATCACTCATAACCATAAGTTGCATATTGGTCAGTGTGTTCATTACAACCACCAGCATAATTGCTGGCAATATTCTTGGGTTAAGTCCCAGCCTGTCTCATATGGCTCGGTCTCATGTCAGCAGATACATGTCACTGTTAACCCTCATCCTATACAAAAAGGACCTGTGTTCTCATCTCTTGGAGTTAGGTCACATATAATATCAACTTTAACCTACTTTTGTTGATGCATTTGCCTAGGTGTGAAGCTCCTCACAATGCATCCTTGTCAAAATTTTATATTCCCAAAAGTAGAAGAGATGCATTAGTTACTATCAAACTTGAATTGGAAATCATATATCTGGAATCTTAATGTGACCTTGAATTTAACCTTGTTCTACTTTTGAGCCTAATCTCGCTATAGTGGTATAAAAGTTCAAGAATGGTGTTTTTTCATCTTCCAGAGAAAACTGGACTGGGTTACAGCCATCAGCCAAACGTAGAAGAAGTGACAAAGCATTGAATGGACAAAATGGCCAGACGCTGGACAAATTCTTCATGTGAAAAGTTATGTAGTTGTAGAAATGTGGATATAAACAGATGTTTATTTCAGTGGTAATTAGGGACAGATGCAGGTGATGTGGTTGTACTGCATGTTAACAACATACTATCTGTCAGCCTTGTTTCTGCTCAGGAAGCATGTATAACCATAGTAACAGAGTTTTTTTATAAGTAAGACCGCTTTCTTTTTGAATATTGGTAATGTCCAATTTTTTGGTTTTATCACCAGATGAGTAGAAATCAGTGGTGCAGGTGTTTTCCCCTCTTGCCATCTCTTGAGGGATAATTCCTTATATAAGTGCAGAGTTAAATGTTTATGTGCTATTGTTAATTGTATGCTGCTGTCATTGTTGTTTAAAAAGTATTTTAAAAAATTAATTCTTAACTATAGGATTTAAGTCACTCATCTATTCATACACTACCACCACAATTCCTAGAGTTTATGGCCAGACCAATTCTCCTTTGGTTACATTATATTTGTCTGCAGTCATTTCATGGGATATGCCAAGTGGTATGGGTACATGCATGAAAAATAAACTGTAAGGGACAAGTCTGATATGGTGCTTGTAACTAGGGTGATGTGCTACAGCTTGAGAGAAAATTTTTGAAAGATTCTGTCTGTAATTCAGACATTTCTCTTTATTACACAATACATATTGCACTCTGCAGTCTTATCTTTCTATATTGTAAATGTACATTACTAGTCTCTTTGTCTATTGTTATTCTATATTGAACTTTAAGTTAAATTTAGACAGCTTGGTAGAGGTAAATTGTTTCATAGTCATGGATGTTTCTTAATTTATTATATCTCAGTGCCAACGTCCCATCATCTCAGTGCCAATGTCCCATCATCTCAGTGCCAATGTCCCATCATCTGAACCATCTGTGCTTGTGTGCTACACCTCTCAGAGGCTTCTTCCTGTTGAAAGCTGTGTCAAGATAACCCCTAAGTACTATTAGACTAGATAAGCTGGTGTAATTTATAAACTTGGTCTGGCTGAGGGTTAAATGTACTCCATTGATCTAACCACAGAAGATTATTTCATGTAGTTTTCCCCTGTCTCCTGAAGACCATCGATCTGAGTGCTGCTCCCACTTTCTCTACAACCTTTGTCTTATTTGAATAATAATGTTTGTCTCTTCTCATCAATATTAACACTTGTACTGAAAGCTGAATGCCCCTCATTTTCAAAATACTTAGTAACATTTTGTAACAATAACTCCGACTGTGATCTAAACACTAACAAATAAAACAGGACTACAAGAAAACTGAGTTAAATGCACTTTGATCTAATTAGCATTAAAAACCATACTGAGCTATCTTTAAAATTAACTTCTTTCAAGCATGGCATTATTTAATGTGTGCAATATTTGTCAATATCATCCAGGAATTCTGCCATCCATTCCCAATGCTGAAATAGGAACTGGCCAAGCACCTTTTGCTGTTCCCATTGGCATGGTATTTCTTCTAATGATGTGGAGTTCTCTGGTCAGGATTATATATTTCTAAGATCTGAGATCCATGCTCAGATCTTCATAATCTTTCATGGCTCTTGGAAGCTAAAAGGTGGGTAACAAAGAAAGTCGATTCTTGAACACCTTTATCTCTTTGCTATTGATATCAGTGGAATGCTGTCACCAAGCATGCAGAAGTTTCCTGGAGGTTACATTGACTGGATTACTGCCATTCCATCAAAAATGAAGGCATCACCAGCTTTCAGAAATTGATTAAGCAATCTACCCCTGTCTCAAATACGTTCTTTTCCCTAGTTTATTCATTTCCTGCTTCATGCTCTTCTTCTTTTGTAGCAGATTGTTGAAGCTACCACAGGGTCAAAAGCTGGGGACGAAAGAAGTGGTATTTGCTCATAAGGCTGATTTCTGTCATGAGAAAGAAATCAGTCTCATTCCATTTGTAATTTATAGCTTCGAAGTTGGAACGAAATTGCTCGTCAAGGGCTTTCCAGCTCATTGATCTGGATGCCCACATTTCCAGGATCCTGCTGCCATAAATGATCAGATTTTGACTCTGTCCAGGGTATTTAAGGTTGTGCATGATTTTGAATACATTAAATGCCTGTTGCCATTGGCCAAAAGTGATTTCCTTTTGCCTCTTTTCCTCTTTACTGAGGCCCAATGATTTCAGAAGGTTCGTTTCTGGTAGGTCATCAGCTCCTTCGCGTTCGGACCGGTTGGATGTGTTTGTAGTACGCGGAATGAGCTCTTTGAAAGGAACATATTCTTGGTTCCAGATTTTGTGGCATCTAGTTTTGGTAAGATGGGCCGAAAGAAGATTGGATGCAACTTTACCTTGCAAGTCGTCCTCATCAGTGTGGTCTGCTCTCTGTGTGATTTGTTCTGCTGTGTTAACTGTGGTGTGATGATCCAATGGAGGGTGTGACGTAGTCCAGGGTTGCCAAGTTGGTGCCATGCGTGGAGGGACAGCCACAGGGCCTGTGTACCCTCTGTGGGGATATGTATATACTAGTATAGTGGCTACTTGAAAACAGAACATTTAATTATCTATGCAAAATATGTAGCATATGATTGGTGAGAGGTTGTTTATATCACAATAGTCTGTAGTCTCTGTAACAGTCAAAACTATTTTCTTCTCTTTCCAAATGTCCAAATTCTCTTGTTCTCTTGGCAGTGGATGAACTGTCAGATAGCCAATAAAACATACCTGTTGCATCTCCTATGTTTTGAAAAAGGTATTTCAGCGTTAAACCTGGTACACATACCATCTTTAAACATATCAATTCCCCTCTCAAGGTAGAAGGGAAACATTTTAGCAACTGATTCCAGCATCGGTTCATTATCTTTGTTGTTATACCAGGTGAGAAAGTCACACATTGTTTCCACGTTGTTTTCCTCCCACACCTGTTGGCACAATGCCTAATCCTCCTCATTTATGGTTTTTTGCTTTAATTGTGAGGCAAATGCTTCACGTGGAGGGAGACATGGGTATTCGAGTTTATCCAAGGAGTCCATCCACTCATAGGGAAAGAACCCCTTAGATTCTGTACACTCGATTGCCTTGGGAAACTGACTGTAACTACAACCGAGGGCTAAATAATTTTTGACATCTAAGATTTTCAAACTATCTGACTTAAGCACAATAAAGTTATTGTTCTGCTTGACAACAAAGCGCAACTTTTCTCCTTTTATCAACACCGGAAAAGACAATGTTTTCATGGCATTCAAATCGTAATGCCCAATATTGAACCCTAAAACTGGTAATTCCTTTAAATGATTGCTAAACTTAGAAAAAGATTGTTAGTTGATGGCCCTTTCTCAGGTTTTGTTAACATCTATTTCTTTGTCACTCGTTTCAACATCTAGTTCTACATCTTCCCTTACTTTTTTGTAACCATATTAAATACCCAGTTAAATTAATCATTTAATATTACCATAGCTTCCTCACTAATTTCAATGAGGGCAGCTATAAATCTTCTCACTGTTCTCTCGGGATCACCGTCCGATATGAAGCACTTAGGCATGGTGTGTCCTGGCACATTGCTACAAATGCTCACACTCAGGAACTGGTGTTTGTGCTCCAAGTGCAGTTTTTCACTGTCGTTGGGGTTGTTCGCTGGTGGTAGTAGGCACTCGATATCGAAGGTTGCCCGATAGGGGTAATATCTATCTTCCTTGGAGATAACCAGATCCTAATCCGCCAGTTCCTCAAAAATGGTTGGTGGGAAGAGGTGTTTGACGTAAGCTTCACATGTCCATTCGTGAACATGTAAATTACCTTTATGCTTGAACATTTTATCGCATTTTGAGTATATTTTTGAGTATATTTCCCCATGTCTTTTATGTACGAAAAGTGATTGTCATACACATTAAGCGACATGGTTTCCTTGTACTTGTTCAGCGATTGATGCACGTAATAAGCAAAAGTCGCGCCGTCTTCTGTTTCCTGCAACTCGTACAACCTTTCGATGTTCTCTCAAACCCTTTGATCTTGCATCTTGTCTTGGCTCTGTACTTCTCAAACAACTGTTTTGCAGTTTTTCTAGTCCCAAGAACTGGCCACCCTCTGTGCAGGGCAAGGCACCGAAATAGGCAAAGATTGTTGTTATATCCACTGCTTTTTGACCAAACCCTTGTTATTGGTGATATAGGTCTGTAAAAAGTCACCACTAACGATAGGGTGACCCACGAGCTTTGTCACGTAGAATGTAGTGTTAATGATCATCTCGACTGTCCATCTGGAGTTGTTTTTTTCTCCTGTCGGGGCACAGTCCAGAATTGAACTTTATCGTAAGTTTTTTTTTTAAGAGGTCTGAATATTCCTTTGACAAATCATTGCTCCTTACTTGAAGGTAGACTATATCTGGGTAACAAGTAGCTACCACATTCATTTCCTTTTTCAAAGACTTGGGGCCCTCACTTACTGTACCTCTACCTGCATGTTTACCATGACAGACTACTTGTATGCTAGTGCCATCAAAACCAAGGTTGAAATATTCTTCATGTGGATTTTCTACTATTTGCCCTGGCCTGCCAATGTATGAGTGTGTTAAAACTTTGTTCAAAATTCTGAATATATAACTCTAGTGAGGGACAAACAAAACATAGGTAAAAGTAAATATGTGCTTAAACCAAAATGTAGAATAACTAGGTTCAGTATACTATACAAGCTTTGAGTTTATTACTCAAGAAAGTACTAGTAGTGTTATTTTTTGTTTCTTAGCATGTTGAGTTAAGAGGCTGACATAAGCATCAATTTGCTCTTGGGGAAGCCTGATCTCACGCTTTTTAACATCTAGTTTCAAGCCTAAAAATGACACGACTTGGCCCAAAAGTTTTGACTGGTGCCAAGGGAATGCTGAGCGACTTACACAGAGTGGTGAAATTGTATAATCATTCTTGACATTTTTCATTAGAATCAGCTATGTTTTCATCATAGCCCTGTAAAGGGTTGTTTAAGGCTAGCAGTCAAATGGGTGTGGGCATTCTGGTTGGCCATGTAAGTCATCTGCGGTTCTCTAAAATAAAGGCGATAACACTGGTCCATTTATGGAAAAGGAGTTGGAAAGTTTTAATTCATTGGAAATCTCACTTTTTTTTTTTTAAAGTATATATCTATCAAATAAACCCACTGATAAAATTAATGAAGTGTTTTATTTCTGAAACTGGTAAAGATTTAAGATGAACATGCTGCACATTTTACCTAACTAAACTACTCGGCAATCTGAAGTAACACAAAAGTGTCTATACAAAGAAAATTGATAACACATATTATAAATCACTTTTAAGATTAGTGTTTACACAGTCATGTTCTGCGTCATAATACATAGACAAATATGGGGTCAAGAAGAATGACCCGTATAATGCTATTTATGTCTCCATGATCAAAACAAGTTCAATACAGTGAAGAATAGAAAAGGTATTAAAGTGACAAACACAAGTATGATGTTCGAAATTTGGCCAATGACGCCCGCTTTTATTGTGAATCCCTCTAATAAATGAAATGAAGTAATTTTAGAAGCTAAAATGGAATAATTGTGACAGTGCCTAATTACGTAACTTTTACGTCTGAAAAAACTTTATTTTATATATAATTCCCAAACAATGTAGTGCAGACGTTCTAATTTGTGGGGTTGCAAAGAGGCCGAGAAGAAAAACTCTGAACAACGATCGGACGAAGCACGTCGATGGAATTTGAAATAAAGGATAAGCTAATAAGCAAAGTTGGTGGACGGCAGATAAGCTGCAGCGTGCTACCCAACCCTAACTCCCTCATTTTGAGGGAGGGGGAGGTATGCTCTTTTCCTTATGATAATCAGGCCTTATAGCGAGGAGTAGAGCTCTCCATTCTGCCATCCCTAGTTAGAGAAATTTAGATGTCGAAGAAATTTCAAATGTGCCCACCCGGTCTTTTATGAATTAGATTGGCCAATTCTAAATTAACTGATTAGGTAATCACAAATAACTGGTCCTCATGTCTTGCTGGACCAGAGAAATAACACAATGGAATGAAAAATATAAAAGAAATGGGTAGAAGGAGAGAATCTGCATGTCTTGCTAGATCTCTGGGAAGATAGGAATATGAGGTCCGCATGTCTTGCTGGACTTCAAAATGAAATTGAGGCTGAACATGAAATGATAAATGAAAATACTTCTATAATTAATGTCACTAAGTGAAACATGTGAAAGTCCGATTTTTTCAAATGTCACTAAAATGTGTGTGAGTGCATACTAAAGTGAGTCCCTGTGTGTGTGTGTGTGTATATATATATATATATATATATATATATATATATATATATATATAAATATGTAAATATACTAAAAAGTCCTATTCCACAAGTCCAGTTGCTTGACTAGACCAGAGCATGGGAGTGCGAATGTATTTCTTGAACGAGTCTGAATTCCAACGACCAAGCCGTTTTATCTTAGCATCTGATAGGTTGTTCTGCACGGCCAGGGAAGCAGCTCCTATTCTGAAACTGTGTCCTTTGAAGCGGGAAGGGTTCAAGTGGCAGAACCGAAGATCCCTCTCCAGCTGTTTGTTGAAGAAATCCCGATGAATGGGTGTGGCATTCAGGTGACAAAAAAGTGGGCCTGGTGAATCCCCCCTCAGCTTGATGTATTGATCTAAGGCTTTTACCCCACATAAAGGATTATTTTTAGGGCCAATAACTATGGAAAATGGGGAGCCTTTAATGTTATGCTTGTAATGGGAAATTACCAGTTCGACTGCCTGCTCCCCTTCATGGTTGCAAAAGAATTTTTAATATTCCCGGGAGAGGGAGTGGTTGGGGCCCCCCGTTCCCCTAGCTGTCATCTCGCCTATACAGAAAAACCCGTGGAAAGCTGTAAGGTACATTGCTTTAAAGATTGACATGGTGTAGGAGTTGGAAAGAGTGAGCTCGACTGCCCTAACTAGTTTGTGAAGTACTCTGACTGTGATGGGAAGTCTAGAATTGGAGGATGGGTTCAACTTGTGAACACCTATAAGTTGTTTTTTAACATTGAATGCGCTGGTGGGGTCAGAATGGCCAGCCAGTTTGTGAAAATAACTTAATTTCGAGATTTCAGACACAATTGTGTTGGGAGAGAGTTTTTAATCTCGAAGGTGGGAAATATACAAAAGTATATCGGCAATCGTGGCTAGGAAGCGGGGGGAAGGAAGACCTATTGTGGTCGTCTGAAATGAAGAGAAATTAAGGAAAGCTTTATCGTAAGCCTTTTTGGAAGATGGTTCCAGAGCCGCGTCCACAAGTTCCTTGGTAGACTCAAGTTTTGAGGTAGAAAATGTGCCAGGAGGGAAGTCGGAGTTCTGGACATGGCCGGAGCAGGTCGTCTGAATGATTGTGCCTGAAGACGTGATTGAGAATCTGCTAAGTTATTCTCGCAACCGAGAATGTGTTTTGACTTAAACAGGATGTAATTCTTGAGACAAGATAGGACAAAGTGTCGAACCAGGTGCATGATGTGGGGGTCCCTAGATGTCTGTTTGTTTATGATGTGGACCAAAGCTTCATTGTCAGTGAAGAGCATGACACACCTATTTCTTAACTCCGAGGCCCAGAGGTCGACTGCCGCTACAATGGGGTAAAATTCTAGCAAAGTGATGATGCAGTTTAGAAAATGTTTTGGCCAAGCCCCAAAAACCAACTGTCCCTAAAAATAGCTCCATATCCGAGGGAGGCTGCCGCACCAGTGTACAGTTTCAGAGCGGGTGAGGTAAGCCATTTGAAATCAAGAAGAAACAATTTCTCATTATAGACAGAAAGAAAGTGGGCCCAGGTCTCCAGGTCCAACTTGGCCTGTATAGACAGCCTGATGAAGTGGTGGGGTTTTCTGATACCAATCGTTAGGTCAATTAGTCTGCGAAGAAAAGCCCTGCCAGGCAGGACTAGTGAGCAAGTGAAATTCAAGAGCCCAATGAGCAACTGCAGTTGCTGAAATGTAACTTTAGATCTACCCAGGAACTTGGTTATGAGAGACCTGCATTTTGAGACCTTGTCCTCTAGAAGTATGGCTTCCATCAATTCAGTATCTAGTTCAATACCGGTGAAAGGTAGGACTCTGGTAAGGCCAAGCCTCTTCTCACTCACAATAGGAACACCTAAATCGTTACAGAGCGCCAAGAAATTGTGGAGGTCCTGCTGACATTTTTCTAGGGTGGGGGCTACGAACAGAAAGTCGTCAAGAATGCAAACCATAGAGTGGGCCTTGAATTTATTCTCCGCAATCCGTTGGAGGGAGGTACTGAACATTTCAAATATTCTACAGGAGGAGGAGCAGCCCATTGGCAGGCGCGTGTCAAAATAAAACTTATCATTCCATATAAACCCTAACAGGTGTTGATCGTCGGGGTGAACCATAAGAATTCTGAAAGCAGATTCCACATCAGTCTTGCCATCCAAGAGGATCTTCCCGACATATTGATGAGTTCTATTGCATTCTCAATGGCAATTTACAGAGGAGAATTCCCTATCAATGCCATCGTTAACTAACTGACTGACCTGAAGAGAGATCGTGAATGAGCCTAAACTTGCCTGGATCTTTCTTTGGGTGAAGGCCAATGGGCAATATGGCTAAATGTGAGAATGGTTTCGAATTAAAAAGACCAGCCAACCTGCCTAGTTCTAATTCAGATGACAACTTTTGATCTACAACTTCGGGCCTATCCAGAGCTGACTTGTGATTATGGGCAGAAGATGGGGATTGAGAGCCATTGTGACCTAGTTTGAAACCAATCGTAAAACCCGATACTAGTTGCTTTCTTAATTCGGAAGGATAGCCGGAAAGGTACTTATTGAGTTTGCTGGGATCTACTGGTGTTTTGAGAACCCTAGGAGGTAGATGGTGTGTTTCTGTTAGCCAGTGCGGGGTACGTGGGGTGGGCAAGGTGGTCTATTCTCTGAGTGGGGACACTGGGAAGCTGGGTGGATCCCCCCTGAACAATGGAAACATTTGTGGTCATACCAGCAATCCCCCCTACAGTGGTTTCCGGAATGAAATTTGTAGCAGACCCCCGCAGGGAATTTACGAAATGGCTGTCTCGGTTTGAATGTTCCCCTTGGGCGAAAATGTTGGTTACTGTTGCTTGGGCGGGAGTTAAGTAGAGCCCTATTCCAAAGGTCCCAATTAGTGTCTTCCCATGGGTCGCCAGACCTCTCTTTGTTAGCCGTGAAGTTGCGGTCGTAAGCCAACCAGTCCCCCCATAGCCCTGCTAAGACCCTAATGTCTTCAGTATACTTGAGTAAATTGGGAGCCTCATGGGGGTGTTTGAGAGTATACACAGACATGAAGGTGTGAGGCCATTGTCCATTGGGACATAGAGATGATCTGGGGCCTTTTACCCTGAGAAACTGCAAGTGTGAGCTTACCATGGTGGTTTTCCATGGCCAGTGGGAGGGAGTCGCCAGGTTGAGACAACTGAGTTGACTGGTCCTGGAGGAGTAGTGACAATTCTGTAAACTCGTTCCCCCAAATTTCAGTCTTTTAATTTGTCATCGACCAGGGCATGAAGGGGAATAGATTTTGTGGATTACCTGCTTGAAGTTTGGGGAGGTACTATACCTGTGTCTGCTGAAGAAGCCGTAGATGGAGGAACAGACTCGGGTACAGTGTGTTGGCCTGACTGGGCTGGCACCGAGTTGGCTGCTAGCGTGGACATGGCTTGCGACATCTCTTTGAGAATGTTGAAAATAGTTTGGTTGTCCACGGGCGGGGTTGAAGGTGAACTCGCAGAAGTGGAGGGTGAAGAAGCGACCGCATTGGAGGGAGGTGTAGGTCTACGAAGAAGTTGCTTTCCTTTACCGCCTCGTGGACATTTGTCTGGTGCTGATGAGGGTCCCGCGTAAGAAGTGCTTGCAGAAGGAGGCGTTTTGTTTGCCCAGTGCTTGCTTGGAGTACTCTCGGGAGCTGTTGAACTTCTAGATCTCTTATGAGGCACTGAAAAGTGTAATGAAGACAGCAGCAGACAGATAAAATTTTTTGTAAATTTTTTGTAATTGAATTGTAATTTTGTTATTTGGAGGAGACGGGGAAGGTGGCGGGGATAAAAATCGTACAGTGGCGATTGTAATCCGTTGTCTGTTCTCTAGCGAATGACGTGCTAAGAGTAGTGAGAGAAAGAATACTATCATTCGCTTCCTTAAATGCGACGGCGCGTACCTCGTGGAAACGCGTGACCTAGTTCATGCTGATTGGGCCAGATGTCACGACCTAGTTACTGTGATTGGACGAAATGATTGGCCAATCACAACCAATTGCCAAAGATGTAGCGCTGAATCTGCTGCTTCATGGGAGTTTAAATGCAGCATTGAATCCGAGGCTCTATACAATTATGGCCAAAATTACATAGCGAATTAGGTTATAGACCGTCGCCATAAAACAACGTTTGACTCAGCTGCTAAACTTCCTTTTCTGCAGCTACAGTGTCCCATAGTCTGTATCTGAAACTGTTAAAACTGTTGATGAGATTTTTTTCTCTTTTCCTTAATGTGATTGATAAAAGTATTACTAATGTTTTCATAGAAAGTGGGTTCCTAGAATTTACTGGTATGTGCAGGAGCAGCACATAGTCCTCGTAGGGGGGTAGTGGCAGTTTTTCTGAGCCACGTTTATCCATCAGCTAAGAAGGGAGTAAAGTTGGCATCTAAAGAAAGGATGTAAGCTAAATTCTGTCGCCAGTTTTTGTAAGACATTATAGTTTCTTTTTTGGTGAGCTGCCACTGTTTTGGAGCTCTCACTGCAATCTTTATACGTGCGTACCCTTCTTGGTAGGGTGTGATCCACTTTCTACAGAACCAAAAATTACAGAAACATACGACATAAAAATATTACACCTGTAAAACACAATTCGCTTTTTATTTGAGATAAGTATACACGATTAATAGAATCTTTTTATATACTATATTCTGTGTGAAAGTCTTATTTCCACACTTGTCCTGAATTGAAGATGTTGTGACTTAAACAAAAATGTTCTAGAACGACCTGGCTCTAGAGAATGCCACATAGAGTTGACCATGAGAAAAGACACTATTGGGTAGGTAAATACCAAGTTTGTGGAAGATCTGTCCCTGGGATTTATTGATAAGTCATGGAGTAAGCTAGACGAATAGGGAACTACTCTCTCTAGTGTAAATGGTTTTTATCAATCTTGCCAGACAAGCTTGCTGAGGGTTGGAAAAAGGTGATCCTCATAGACAGAGATTTACATCCATAATTTAAATTGTACACTGCTGTACCAAGCACATCCCAAAAATATGTGAAATGTTCATAGTTCTGAAATCCAATATAATACAAAGTGGCATCTGGATTGTTGACAAACTGCTGCACTGAATACTTGCTTTCTGCATCTATCAAAATCAGGCCTACCCAACTACCAGACTCGGCACCTACGGATCCAGAATAAACCGGTATATCAGACCACACTACCCGTTTTCAAGGTGTGTGTCAGATCTCATTACAGAGTATCATACCCCATCACAAATTTTGTAAGCCTACCTGTCATCCGGGTATCGCGCATCGTTTTCGTCAAGTAGGAGTCGTATGAATACAACACCATGGCGACAGACGACTCCCTCAATCAGGGGGTGGAAACGCGCTACTTTTATGATTAAGTCAATAACGGTTATTGTTTTGTGACCTTGAGGAACAATTAGGTTTGGTCGTTGTGGCACGCATGAACAGTAGTTGAACTACCACACCTGGGTCTTTTGTTTTTGACACCTGTTCACTCGTCATCGAGGCGCTTGTTCTAGACTACAGGCTGACATCTACTAGTACTACCAGTGGCTTCATTAGTAACGTTCCCACAATACTTAGTTTTTTATCTGTGCGTACATACCCTGAAAAAGGCCAGCCTCGCTGACAAGAACAATGGACGTTTCTCACCCCTCTCTAGGATTACCCCTGCCCTCAATCTCGTCCATCCAGGTTATGATGAAAATTGCGGTATTGTCAGATTTTAGCATAAACAGGGAAAATTGCAGCAGCGATTGAATCTAGATGAGATGCACTACTTTCCAACCCCGCTTAGGATCATTGCTATCACATCGCGCACCAGGCAAAATCCGTGTGGTGGCTGATACTCTGTAATGCGATCTGACACACACCTTGAAAATGGGTAGTGTGGTCTGATAAACCGGTTTATTCTGGATCCGTAGGTGCAGAGTCTGGTAGTTGGGTAGGCCTGAAAATGCTGCACTGCACCCCAGGCTGCATAGGTTCCTCCAGCTTCACCAAACACTCCACCTCCACTGCATCACTGCACTCTTCTGGCTCCGTCACAATGACTTCTTCATTACCAATTTCTGGCACAGGTACATTCTCCAGTTGTAGTTCTGAGGGCTTCTGGGCTCTTTCAGTACTACGTGTAGTAGTGACTGCTGGACCCCTATAGATGTCCTATAGATGGATGCTTTCACTCACAATTGCTCACTTACACTCACTTACACAAGTAAACCTTTCACTCTCACGATCAATCAGTTGACAGTTTTTCTTCCTTGGGCACCTTGGAAGTATGTCTTAAAAATGATTTGCCAAGTTTAATACCCTCAATATAACGTTCCTTGACACCGCGAAACCACTCCTCACTCTCGTCCAACTGGTCATACTCCAGTTCCACGTGATACGCGTCATGCATTGCCTCGAAATGTTGAAACGTCCTTGAGTTTGTCCATTACAATTTTAACTGCACATGCCCTTGCCTTCTCATTCGCGACTGCTCTTTTAACATGTCCTTTGGCCTTTGTGACAGCACCCTTTCTGGCCCAACTCACATGGATCAATTCCTCTGAAGCCATTTTAATGTCTAAACAGGTGTCTTTCTAGTCCAATTTTGTCATTGTTATTTCACTGTAGCGAATGTCAACACAGAATTCCCGGTGGAGTAATAAACATTTATTTATACTCATCTAGAAACAATATGGCGACGGTGAACTGAAATATAATTGAAACAAATCAAACAAATGAAAGTAAAAGAATAAACAAATATCAAATTTGAACTTAATACAAATATCACAATGAAAAAATTATAATAAAACACATACATTAAATAACTAAAAATACATAACAATGGTGCCACGTCCTCATGGTCTACAGGACTGTCCTCCATCTTCTTTGCTGATTCCTCGTGGCAGGTATTGCCTTCCTGCTCTGCCACTTCACAGAAGGCTGTCTTCTTCAGTTGCTCATTTACCAGTTCTTTGCCTGTTTGTATGCATCTTTTTTGGTGTCTTCACGTTTGAGGCATTGCTCCTTCTGTGTAGACTTGACTTGGACTGTCACATTATGTGGGAAAATTGAGGGACAATAACCTGGATGCTCTGGATCTCTTACTCTGCCCACTATAGGAAGACAGTCATTTTGAGTAATTCTTTTAAAATAAAAACCATAAGAATTGATAGATTATTCAATAAAAATCTTATGTTTGCAAGGAAGCACATATATATCAAAAATTACTAAAGATATTGAACTCGTTGATTTCTTATTGTACCTGTGACAAAATTGGCTGAACACACATATACAAATTTTGAGCTAGGGGTCCACATCTTGTTTATGTCAAAACTCCCATCTGGATTAACATATTTTATAAGCAGGATTGATTGCTCATGGCCATTCGAGTCATGCTGATAATGTGGGCAGCTGACAAAATTTTTTTCTCTGGATTTTTACAACTGTTAGCTTGTACAGCCAGACACACAACATCCTTTTACCATTTCCAGAATTCCTGTGATCATGTACCACTTGCATTTGTCATTTAAGAAACAAGCTTTAAAGCACCTTCCTGTTACTGTCAGCTTGAAAACGCATCGCATGGTGTTGTTATCATCATCACCCTGGCCGGCTCTGACAAACACTCCCAACAAGTCTGTCGTCTCTGCAAAAAGGTCAGTTATTTGTATAGAGATATCTGCTCTTGATCGAGGTCTTTGATCTGTTGTTAGCCATTATTGTAATTCTCTATACTAGCCTACTATAGTACAACACCCGTCAACTCTCCTCAATCTGTCAATCGCAAGCACTTGTCAGTGTCAGAATTTCGCGGTATTGACTGTGACGTCGGCGCAAGGGTAGCCAAGACCATTGACATGAGTGCCATCTAGCGTCAAATCGAATTATCGCTTCTAGTTGCGTTTTCTAGACTAGTCATATTTTGCCGCATTTTAGAAATGTCTCGTTTAGTTCTTAAGTATTGCTGTCTGATCTGATAACTACAACGTCTAATTGTGTTTTTAATTTTTGTATAAACTGCCGCCCATACCATGCTAGTTCTGATGACAGAGTAATCAAGTAATAGGAAAGATCTATTTATGTGTTCATGAAAAGAGAGGAGCTAGTTTGCTGTCAAGGTTGTGACAGGGTTGTGTTTGAATAAATCTTCCAGTATTCATCCTTTACATTTTTCTTTCCTTTACACTGAACTACTAAATGTGAATTTTTCTGGAGAAGTGAGAGAAGGCTCTCCCTATTCTCAGTGACATTGAACTCCTTGTAGTAAACCGTTAATTAGTGCTGATAACATAAATTTGAATACATATCATTTACATATCCAAATGGATCTTAGCATGACAGTTTGCTTGTGGTGAACTATTAATAGTATTGAGAGCTAATTTCCATAAATGTGATCTACATATTAGTTAATGCAAATTGTACCCACAATTATATTTTAAGGTCTTGAGGCATGGCATGTCGCATGTCAGTCCTAGAAGTTAATCTAAAATGTAAATTAAGTTCATGTATAAAAGTAGAGAGAGTGAGAGAGTGAGGGATAGATACCACAGAGAGAGATGGTAGAAGAGACCTGAGTCTTCAGTCGGTTGAATAAATCATGTAGCAGAAAACTATTCCTGCCTGTCTCAGTGGACTTATTGGTGAAAAAGTAACTCTAAGAACAAGTGTATAACCACTGGCTGGTTATTACATCCTGTGCCTCTGATTGGCTGATCATACAGAGGCCAAGTGGCACTGTGAAACCATATGACTGTGGAGTCAATTTGTCTGATAGTGCTTGCGTATTTAGCCAAAATAAACCATAAAGTGCAAACATTCACCCTGCTACGCAATTACAGGTTCCTCCAAGGACCTTGCCGTTGACATCCAGGCATACGGCAACATTGTAGATAATGCGCTTCATTGATGCCATGACTTTACACTTCCCAATAAACAATTCTGGTGACACAGAGTGGTCCACTAAAGCTGTTGTGTAGATTTTCTGCACATATCCATCTTGAAAATACCGTTAAGCTTTCAGACTTTTGAATGCCCGCACAGATTTCTTATCGTATGTCCTATCCTTGCTGTCTGTAAGATACGTTTTCAGTTCTTTCATGGAAAAGTCATCAGGTACGTCTGTTAAATTTCTATTCCAAGTACTCGCATGGATGTGTTTTCGAAAAAATTCAGATCGAAACAAGCACTCGTCGATATGGCGTCCGTTGTGTAAGATCCATACTTGCCCCTTTCAACTTCAAATCCTGCAAAATCTCGCATTCTCACGAAGAATTTAGCAGAAGTCACGTGACCGTGGAAACACTATTGGGTTTTTCATTAGTGAATTTTGATGAATAAATTGAAAAAAAAATGTCAAAGCTCTGGTTCCATGGGTAAATACTTCTGTGGAATTTTGCTTTTGGCTGAGAGATAATATTTCCATCTTTTTCTGTTGAAAGTTTTAAGGTTGTGCTCTGATCCGGGTATAAAAGATGTGCAAATTCCACAAATTCATTGTTAAAGATTTTTGCCTAGTTTTTTCATCCTCATGAAATCCCGAGGGCATAGTTGTATAAAGGTTTGTATCTGTCGTAGCTCTAATATCTGCACTTAGCTGTTTATCCTTGGAGGAACTTGGACTTGGTGGGGTGTTTGTAGGCGTCTCTGTTGTATTACTGGGGATATTTTGTTCTGCAGCTATCAGTCTTTGTTCCACTTTGTCTGCTAATTTATTGTAATCGATGGCTGCACTGTAGTGCACTTTTTTTGTCTGTTGATTAATCTGGACAATTACCTGTCACTGTCAGCTTGGCCCTGCTAGTTCTGATGACATACAGACATAATAAGAGTGCACAATTGAGGCACCAATTGAGGCACTGATCGTATCGTTCAAGTAATAGGTAAGATCTGTTTCTGCCAGCTAAATCACCTGTAATGGTCTTCTGATAGGGAGAAATCCAGGCAAGTCCCATTCAAATGCTGTCAATGGGAGGTCTCCGCCAATTTCCCAAACACAGGCGGTCTACATACCTCAGTATTTTGCAGTTCAGAGTCAATTTCACTCAACATTGTGTCTGGATTGGCAAATTCCTCCTCCCCTGAACTGTCACTCAACTGCCCCTCTTCCTCCACCCATGTGGAAGAGTCCCCAGTTGACATTGATGGCTCCATTTGGGAAACTTTTTCTTTCAAATCCCTTACCTTTTAGGCAAGGGGTCCCACGGCGGCGCTTCCCAACGCCTGTAATGTATCCATAGACTGATCAGTCCCACGTGCCTTTTGTTGTTTCCCTTTGTTGCTGCTTTTGTGTTTCTCCATACGTGCGTCCTTTTTCACTGTTTTTTCCCCACCATCTTGGCCTCGTTTGTCCTCCTCTAGCTCCTCCGCTGCTAAAATTTTGTCCATTCCTTTCATTAAGTTTTCAGCTACATGTTGCACGCTCACATTTTTTACTGGTTTTGTAAAGAGGCCCAGAAGTACACACTGTCTGTTAATTTCTCAAAATTACTTACCATCCTTTCTAAATATGTTAAAGGAAACTATTAATTTCGTAAAACTTTCCTGCATATTATTTAACTTTCGAATCAAACCATTTATTCTGTTGAAAATGCTCTCTTTCAGGTAATGTTGAATAGAGTTTATGTTGCATACTTGTGTTCATAGTGTTTATCCTTTTATTTACTACAGAGGCAAAAATTTTACCCTATGAGCGATCTCCCATTTCTCCTTCCTTGTTTCCGTAACTAACTTCTACATTGCTCCATTATCAGTACTTCTCAGATGAAATAGAAGAGCCCGCATTTAGACAGAGACAGCTGGCCAAAACTGTCTCAATCCACCTTACCAGCGACTACTGGCAATGTAAGCAAGGCTGTCTGAAAACTACCTATCAGTCTTTGTTTCCATTGTTCCTTTGCCGCAGTGTTTATGAATCAACCTCTGCACACCCAAGTCATCTCCATTATTACTTCACCCAATTTTGCGGCAGTGGTCTCCATACACCAGATCATTAGCATCTGCGGCTAGCACAATCATGTAATCTGCNTGCTTGAGCAACATGCTTGCAGTGTGTGTGTATGTGTGTTTGTTAGTGTACGTGTGTGTGCACGGATATTTCATTAGTATATTAAAAGTCATAACTATTGTACCGAGATTCCTGTCTTACCTATCTCCTCAATACTTAAGTGTCTTTACAGGTGTTACATTGTTCTTATCTTTCACTTTGGTATCAACTAAAAGAACAGAATTGAATTGAATTTTCAAGACAACATTATGCATGTTCAATCTTTATACACAGCAAAGGCATTTACTCTTTAGAAGATAAAGTATGTTCTTCAGTCTGTCAAAAGCCAGACTTTGCTTGTGCAACATGCATGCAAGTACAGTACCTTTGATTGTGTGTGCGTGTGTGTGTGAAACATACAGTTGTGTGCACCTTTGTGATGAGTTTTCCTTGTGATGAACTCTTATCGGATCAGCATTGACTTGTGAGTAGTCAAAATATGCTCATCACAAGTCAATGTTGCCTTATTAGGTGTGTGCTTCAGTTGTGTGCACCTTTGTGATGAGTTTTCCTTGTGATGAACTCTCATCGGATCAGCATTGACTTGTGAGTAATCAAGAAATTATGCTTATCACAATATCCTTAAAGGAGCTAGTTCACAGACGAGTGGTAAAATTTCCGAAAATTTTGAATCCAGATTTAATAATGTCTTAGGATGTATGTAGGGTTACACGCCAATAAACTAGGATATCCCGCAAGCGGTCGCTGCGATCAGAAGAGTGGGATTCCGTCGCCGGAGGTGGCACATGGCCCGCCGCACTACCACGTTTTGATTTTACATCTATGTTGTTCCGTGCTAGTTATATGTCATTTTAACATCTATTTGACATAGGCGGGTGTCATGCATGAGGCAGGGTATGTTTACTCTATCCGGAGCACCTAGTACCGCTTCCTAATTGGATATTTTACATCTGTCCATTTCATTATTTGGGAAGTCCTCTTAATTATTGCACGTAGATTTTTAACCTCAGGAGGAACTTATATTTACAATGCATACATAACTTATTTTCATTTATAGATATTTCAGGAAAGAGTAAAAATACCTCATGCATGACATAATACATAAATACACAACCCAAATATTATATGCAATCAAAACTGCTTTAATTACAATACTATCCTAAAGGAGCAGAAAAGAAATATCAAATATGATTGAATACCATCTTTATTAGGAATAAACAACTATCAATTATCCAGATACATTAATTGATAATAAAATCATATTATTAACATTAATAGTAAAGTTTTAAATCCTTTTTACCAATATAGGGCCAAATTTAGTCCAAAATTAACTGAACAGATTCAAACACATTCCAATATCTTGCAAACAAATAAGTGTTCCATGTTTTAACAGATGTGAAGAAATACTTAATGCTGGCAACAAATTAAAATATAAAGATTGACAAGTTTACATGGAATTCTCCCACACTTAATGACAATAACCTCTATACAGTATGGTAATAGGAAAATGATTACCAATTAGAGACCTGTCTTTTAATATCTCAATTTTCTAAAACTTCATAAAAATTATTTATCAGATTAAAACAATCCATAGAAAAAGATAATGTTCTAAATGAAAGTCAGCATGGATTTACAGCAAACAGGTCAATTGATCTCTCACAAGCAGAACTGACCAAAGAAATCACAAATGCTATTGAAAATATTGAAAACATGTTAAAAAACATTCCATACAAAAGATCATAAACTTTTACTAGAAAACATGAATATTATGAGAAAAATAATGTGGAAAATCTTTGATTCCATTAAAGGTTATCTAAAGAAACGTTCCAACAGGTGAAAAACGACCTTGAAAATATACATGTCGAAACTCCTTACAAATTAAAAACATGAATTACTGTTGTGATTCATGGCAAAATGCTTATAAAACAAATTTAAGACCTTTGGTATTATTAAAAAAGCAGTAAGAATAATAACACAATAGTCTAAATGTGGAAAAAATTGAACCCACTTAAAAAAAATTAATTGAATACAACTAGATGTTATAGCATATAAACACTGGTATGTAATGTTTAAAGTATATTTAAAAAAACTACTTTCTCCAAAAATACAAGGCAACCAAATACCTGAAATAGGTGGATATATAGATATGCACACATTTCATTATTAATTTTTGGAAGTCTGCTGTCGTTTTATCTTTTGGACATCTGCGTTTATTTTATTACGGATCTTGTAGGCAGGTACAATTTCCAACGCTGTTCCTGTTGTCATTTGTGTTATTGTGGAATTCCCTGGCACTTTCTTCTCCGCAATAATTGTTTTAAATATCTTTTGATAATCTGGGTGGATTTTCCAATTACTGTCTTCTTTTCTCTCTGATTTTTTAGAAAATCAAAGCCGACAATTTATCATTCATGAATAAGAAGGAAGGAAGGAGATTTAGGAAATTTATGAAGATAACTATATATATATAAAGAGCTTGAGAGCAAAGCAAGATACATGTACATGGAAGAGATTTTTGGTCGATGAATAAAATATTCAAATAAACTAAGATCTCTACCTGTGTATTTTATCCGCTTCTTGTCTAAATCACTGTGGAGAGATCTTTTTGATGCTGACTGCTCTGAACTCTGAAATGCTACATACACATTTGTTTTAATATTTTACATAATAACCAGTAATCAATCATTTATACTGTTATGTTGAGCCCATAGCCAGGAGGAAGGGGTGCAACAGGTGCACATGCACCCTTTCCAGATATCAATAGTTCCTCCCAACTGAAAAACTCTTGCCGCAGAGATAAATGTTTCACACAATCCCAGTTTTATTAAAAAATGAGGTGTTAATAAATATCATATTTTGTAATAAAAGATATCAAATGTATGGGATTTAGCTTTGAGACCTTTTTTTTTTTTTTGTTTGTCAACTTTCTTCTGGTTTCAAAAGTTTCACTTGTATAATAGGAAGTTCCGCTTGCTGATTCTATGCACCCCTTCACTCAAAATTTTGGCTATGGGCCTGTATGCTGTGTAACTTGTATCATAAATCATGCCTTTAACTTTATTTTGACAATGAATATAAATGTTGAGCAAATTATCATATCTAAACTTCAGTCTTTCAAACACAGAATGATATTACTAATGAATATTAGAGCAATGTTTAGTTGAGTATATACCAGTTGTTTGAGGCTGACTCGGAGACTGGACTTCATCATCCACGTCATCATCCAAAGCAGATTCAGGAATAACAACATCTGCACAAAACAGAAATGTTACATGACAATAAAGTGTACTGATGTGTATACACACACACACACACACACACACACACACACACACACACACATATATATATATATATATATATATATATATTCCTAAAATTTCTAGCTTTAAGTTCCTCTTAAGCTCAAAAGTTGTCATTTATTTCATTTTAAATTGGTATAATACAGAAATAACTATATTTCTGTCATTACAATAAATGACATGATTTACATTGTTTCTAACATTTACTCCCCAACTACTCATATCAACCCTTTGACTGCCAAAAATTAATGTGTCTACATCTGATTTTTTTCAAGTTGATTAAAATGTCATGTTATTTCAAGTTCTGCAATTACAGTTTAAATAACACATCATGCCTGTAGGAAATGCACAATGTTCTATTAGAGTCAGTGAGCGAATGTTTGTTTGTTTATTCCATGTCCTTTATCAACAGCTGACAACCAAACGCCAATGCCGAGGTGACTGCTATAGCTCTTTGGGACAAAGTCCTGACGAGCTAAAAAAGGATTGAAGGATCATAAAGGAAAATATTAGAAAGAAAAAAGTATTAATGTATCAAGTGCAAAATTATAAATGTAAAACTTACCTTCACATGAAATTTTGTCAAGTGATTTTCCACGGTACTGATCAAGATTGCCACTTTCTGATAAGACCATCAATTTCGCCATCTTGGTTTTTTCGATTGTTGTCGACATCATTCTGTAGTAGTCTTTATGCACATGCATAGTATGGCCTAAATGAGACGCCACCCACTCGAGTTCATACGCCTCAAGGGAAAATACCTGGGGATAGAATAGAAAAATAGTTAAATATCATTTAATCTATACTTCTTCCTAATATTTTTAAGTAACAAGATGAGTTACCAAACCATTATCCAGTAATAAATTGTCAAAGTCTGAGGACCTGTGTACGTGTTACTATTTTAGAATATAATATGGACCTTTTCCACATTGAAAATTTGAATTCCTATTATTATCAACTTAAAAAATGAAAAATATAAAAGTGGCAAATAGCTGACATATATATGTCTATCTATTTGCTGTTAACTCAAGTTTATATGACTGTGAAATTGCACGTCAAGGTCAAATTCAATGTCATCAAAATGAGACAATTATATGACTTCCTATTAGTGTTCAATAGTAACCCCTTCTAATTTTAATATTCTACAAGTTATATAGCAACCTGAAACCTACATGATATCAATTGACTGAAATATAAACTAAGGTACAAGGTGTAACTAAGGTGTAAGAGTCAAAGTCACCAAAACACTATCAATATAACTTCTTGTAAGAGTTTAATAGTAACCATTTATATTTTTGAATAGTCTATAAGTTTAAAATATGGTTGTCGACATCATTTTGTAATAGTCTTTATGCACATGCATAGTATGGCTTAACTGAGATGCCATATCATGAAGTCATATAATTGTCTCATTTTGATGACATAATATCAAATGAAATAAAATAAACATCAAAGTCACTAAAATGAAGCCAATAAAATTATGACTTCCTATTAATGTTCAATAGTAATAATTCACAAATAGTCCCGCTGTAATGAATCGGTTCAGCACCAATACCATTCCATCATGTGTATATATATATATATATATATATATATATATATATATATATATATATATATATATATATATATAACCTGTGTCAGGCAATAATTGATCATACAGATGTTTCAGTGCAATGCAGACAATTCTATGTATGCTGTAGGATGAATACAGTGAACTTATTCACCCCATGCTGCCCTTGCATATTCTAAATGCAATCTGGACATACTAAATGTACATTTATACTAAATGTTTAAGATCTACATATTTTGTTGCTTATCATTAATATATTGTTATTGAACCATGTTTTATAATTAGGCTCTGCTAGTCCTTTAATGTTGAATGCATGCATGGTATGATTACATATTATTGACATCTTCAATGGAGATTTAAATAGAAATCATTTGATAAAAAAGTACAATACACTACCTGTAAGGTTGTGGCTAAATATTTTCGTAATCTTGTAGCTTTGATTGAGGAAGGATCTTGTAGCTTTCTCTTCAGTGAATCAACAACTTTTGATAAAGATTCAACCGCTCGAACTACACCATCACCTAAAGGGACATCAAGAGCTTTTCATACTGTTGTATAATTATATTTCAATCTGTTGTATACTATCTTGTAAGAACTATAATCTACGATAAATTATTTATTTGCAAAATATAGTAAATAATTGAACTTTCACTTCAATAAACGTGACTTTCAACCGAACATTCGCCATTTATTGATTTATGATTGATTGACTGATTAATCCATTAGAGTGCACTTTCAGCATCGAAGGCCATGCAGCACTAGATAGAAATCCGGGACAGGGTTACAATACCCTACTCTTACGATTGTTCTCAGGAGATCTTTATAGTGCGTGTCCCCATAGACAGTGCCACACAATACCAGGCCTTTTACACAGTCGGGCTGCACTGCCAAACTCCTACCCTAATGCCTGCATGCAAAGCAGGGGGGGGGGCAGTTTGTACCATTTTGATGATGGTCTTTGGTATGACCCGGCCGGGGCCCGAACCCACGAACTACCACAAGAGAGGTGGATATGCTAACCACTAAGCCATCCCGACGAGGTCTATTTCATTTATGAAATACAGACTTAAATCTCCTACCTGGCAATATTAAGTCAAAAGTGTTTTTGGCCTAGTGTTTTGTGAAATATGACTTGTCATTTTTTTACAGACTTAAGTCAAATAGTACATTTTTGGACTTGAAAAGGACTTAAGTCTGTTCGTGAAACCAGGCCCTGATCATAACACAGACTCATCCTTTCCACGAGCAAAAACAAAATGATGTTCAGTAGCATGTTAGAAGTTTAACTTACCAAAATTTGGGAAAAGGTAAGGTGAATTGTCTACTTGAACTGCTTTTCTGACTTCTTCAGATGCTAACAGTTCCAGCAGGTCGTACAGATCAGGGGGCAGTAGAACTGGAACTCCACGTCCCCTCTTTCCTCTGACGGTTATAAGTTCATGTGCCGTCAATAAATATTTCTCCAAATCGGAAAGGGAAGACATGAACTGTGACATGTGTGGCTCACCTTCCTTTCTTCTCTTCTGGTAGTCATCAAGACTATTGAAAAATCATCAAACAGAAACTAAAGTTGATGTCGTCATAATTATAGCTATGTGATTCATCTACTTTTTCTTGTTGACCCCATTCTTCACTCATTTAATAAAAAAGTTAATCTACAAAACCAGCTAATTAACCCACTGCCACAATCAAACACTAATTTTTGTTACATTAAAATTTTTACTCTACAAATCACACTGTGTCCCCATTGAAACATGCAACTTGAGCAATGTGATAAAAAATAAAATAATACAAGTACTGTTGGGAAATAGGCAATTTATGATTTAAGATTTATTACGATTTTTTAATATTGTTTTATTGCAAATGTGTAAAAAAGCCAAGTTTATCTTGAACAGTATGGAAATATGATTGACTTTCACTCAATCAATGGATACCATGGAAGTAAAGGTGTCAAATTGAATTCATAACACTTTAAAGTTGTAATATTGAACAATACTTAAATTTTTAGCATGTAATTGCTTGTTTTGGGTTTATATTTATTTTAAAATATATGTAATGGTTTCACAATCCCAAGAAACTTATTTTTTTAATGTTCAAAATCTAAGAATGTTCAAAATTTAAGACATTTTTGTGGAAATAATAGGTTATACTTACTATATAGCTTCTATCTCCCCTGGCCTTCGCTTATTGAATGTCACCAGTCTTGCTTGAGCGATCTCAACCCCTTCTCTAAACCCATCCTTCGTCTTAAGGATTGCTTCAGTGCTCAATGAGTTTGATTTCCACTGAACATGTTGTGACAGAACCCTCAAATCTTCAGGAACAGGTAGAGACTGAACGGTAGTGTAACGACCTTCATCTAGAGTAGCTGTTGCTAGCGATGATACATTGCTGCTCCAGTTTTTCTCCATGAGCTTGATGACATCTGCTGCTTCCTCAGCTCTCTGCAGGTTTTTTGGGCTACTCATCAGAGCTGCACTTTCCTTGATGTTTGCGAGGTCTTTGATAACGTATCCTCCTTTCAAAGCATTTGATGGGGTTTCGTACGTATTTCCTTCTTTTCCTATTCCTGCAAGAGTTGTCACAGCTGTTACGATTATGGTAAAATTCTCCGGTTTCAGTACTTCATCCCATGTTATTTCTTTTGCCATTATTTTCCTTATTTCGATCAGAATTCTAGCTGCTAGTCGCATCTTATCAGATGCATACCTTCCTCGTTTCAGAAGATTTTTCGCCACATTCTTTATCGTTTGGTTTCCCAAATGCAGAATAAGTTCATCTTTGGTTGCTACACAGCTGATTTCATCATTAATAAATTTACTGAGTACTTCACTTTTCAGGAATTCAGAGGGAATATGATCAGTTCCACTGTCTAAGAGTCCTTTAGCCAGTAAAGAGGCTCTTGAACTGGACATATCACCATCAAAACCTTTACATCTTTTCGTATAACTGCGATGCTTGGCCAAATCTTTAACGTATAAAAAACAAGTAGGACATGGCAGGAAATCGGTAGTTTTCATATCACCGTCAGTAAATCGACGAGATAGAAGCAGTTCACCCTTCTCCTGTTGCAACACCCTCTCGTTGTGGTCATGATCTCCTTTGTTACGCATAATTTCTAATGCATCCTTTTGCTGCTTTTGTGACATTTTGTTTAAGGCTCTAATTTCTTCATGATCTTCGTGGACATGAAGCAGATGATCACGAATTCGGAGTACCAGCTTCCCACAAATCATACAACAATGTTTTGAATTCAAAACCCTTTCATTCTTCTTTTTCTTCCCATTGTAGGACAACTTTGTTTTTTTAATCTTTTTTATATACACATGTCTCTTATCTGTAAAGAACAATTTGTCTTCATCCAACTTGAGTAGATCATCTGGAGAACTCATCAAGGGAATTTCAAATGATTCATCACTGCTGTTGTCTGAGCCATATACTATGGTGTCTTCTATGGATTCATCAGATGCATCAATTTTCACAGCACTCCTACACTCTTCTGCAAGAGAAAGCAATAAAACTAGAATTGATATTACATGATGANCTGATTGGTTAAAGGTCCAGAATTATGTCCAATGAGAAAATTGTATTTCGTTGCGTCCGTAAACCGTATACTCAAAGAAAGCATGGCGTCTCCTACGAGTGAACACGTAAAAGAATGCGTTAAGTTATCTCTTGATTCTTTGCAAAATATGAATATACCGGAATTGAAACCAGAGCAGTTTGAGGCCCTGTATCATTATCTACTGGGGGATGATGTATTTTGTGTGCTGCCCACTGGTTACGGCAAGTCCCTGATATTCAGCCTGACTCCACTTGTTCTTAGGTATGTTCCGCGTTATTTATTATTACGAAGTACGATTCATTGCTCATTCTGTAAATATAGCCTTATACGGTTCATTTGTAACTGTCATTAAAAGCAGTAATTTATCTTTTGTTGTCCGACGTTACGAGTCTCAACCATGTTAGCCGTCGTTTAAAGACGTTATGGAAAACTAACTTCATGTCTTCAAGACTTCATACCATCAAAATATTATTAGAACTGCAGTCATAGTTAAATGCAATAAGCATTGTTTGGAAAATGACGTGATCTTGTTTTGTGAATGTGACATGGAGACATTTATAGAGTGATATTTGTTACAGGTACATGGGAGTTGGGTTTGATTGTTGCTCAAGTTTCTATGAAGATCACCCAATCGTGATAGTTGTTTCACCACTGGTCCAACTGATGAGTTCCCAAGTAGCAGATCTTAGGAAAATGGGGTTGAGTGCTGCTGTTCTCACTAATATGGAGGATGAGGAGCAACTGAAGTGTGGCAGTTTTGATATTGTGATAGGCAGTCCAGAGGCATGGCTTGGGGAGAAGGGTAGACAGTTACTCCTGTCTGAAGTGTATCAGAAGAATGTGTGCTTAGTTGCTACTGATGAAGTACATGTTATACCCAGATGGTAAGATTTAGACTGTATGATAGAAATGGACTGAAGTTTCCAGTAAAAATGAAAGTCACAAATTTACTTATATTTTGATTTTTGAAGTTACTGGACATAGCAGTGTTGCCACTTTGTGGATGTTCTATAAAAATTTTTGTAAATTGACTTGTTGTTATATTTTAACTTTTATGTACCCTAGAAATACCTTTGAGTAAAAAGTCACTTCTCATTTTCAAAATTTTCAAAATTTAAATGATTTGATAGATAATGGTAACTGATCTACTAAATGACATCATTTATATGAATATTCATTTACATTTATATTCATTTATATTCATTTATATGAATATAATTTTAATTTCAGTCTTCCCAACTATTATCTCTGAATTTTATTTTTAGGGGTTTTGAATCTGAGAAAAAAAAAGCTTTCCGGCTAGCATTTGGACAACTTGGTGCCTTGAGGTCTTTGGTGAGGCAAGGTGTACCATTTATGGCATTAACAGCCACTGCTTCAAGGAGGACACAGCAGAAAGTAATGAAGACCCTCAATATGAAGAAGCCACACAAAATTGTCAGATCACCTTGTAGGGCTAACATTAAGCTTGTTGTGCACAAAGTGGACAAAAGTCTGGAAACAACTTTTGCCTGGCTTGTAATGGAGCTGAGGACATATAAACAGACCATGCCAAAGGTTTTGATCTACTGCAAATCTGTGAAGGAATGCGCAGACATTTATGCCATGCTTCTGGCTGAGCTGGGACAAGATGGTCGTGTAGATAGCAGTAAACCACCGTCATCCCATAATCGTTTATTTGCAATGTTTTTTCATAGCACTCCCGATGACAAAAAACAGCTAATTGCTAATGACTTGCAGAAAGTTGATGGAAATTATCGTGTAGTTGTGTGCACCAATGCACTAGGCATGGGGATTGATCTAAAAGACATTAATCTGGTTATTAATTATGGCTGCCCTAGGGATATAGAGTCATATATACAGGAAAGTGGACGTGCTGGACGTTCTGGACAGTCATCCATGGCCATCTTATATTACTCTTCAATGCATTTACTTGGAACTGATGCAGAGGTTAAACTGTATGCCAGAAACAGTTCTGAATGTAGAAGGAAGTTACTTTACAGAGATTTTGGTGGGAATTTCGAAGACAGTGGTCATCACAGTTGTTGTGATATATGTGCTAGAAGTTGTGTATGTGATGGGGATTCGTGTTCATATGTACCGCAGACTTGTGAGGCCCCACCACCAAAGATGGTCGAGCCAGATGCAGCTGTGAGAGAAGTGTCCGATGGAGAGAGACATGTTTTAAAGAACTGCCTTCTTGAGTTTCAGTCCAACTTGGGCAAAGACAGTGAATACCTGGATTTGTTTAATATTAATGTTATAAATGACATTGTAGATAAGGCTGCATTTGTTGACAGTTATGACTTTGTAATGAATAAAACTTCAATTGTCCACCCCAGTCATGCATTGGAGATTTTAAAAATATTTGAAGAGGTTTTTGATGAGAAATTTGAAATTACAGATGAAATACAGGCAGATTGTAAAGAAGCTGAAGTATATCCAGAATGGGAAGATAGGGCTGTTACTCTGTCAGATAGTGATTCGTCTGTTGACAGTGATATAGATATTTTGGAAGAATGCAGTACAGAGGAACTGTAGTATTAGTGACTGCTACTTCTGTTAATGTATAAATATTATTTTTGCATAACAGAATAGTCAACATGTCTTGTTATTTCCAAGATTAGAAGCACTTTCTTCTCTTTAACATTGCTACAGTGCTTTACAGGGCAAGATAGCAGAACAAGCTTATTTTTTTCTTTTTATAAAATTTTAAATCTAATTTGGTATTATGAAATGGCCTATAGTCAATTCTATTTAGCTTTAAGTTAATTCCAACTGGCCAGAGGAGTACCATGATACGATTTAGCATGCATATTGTTGCGTTCAAATGTATGGAAACAAATTATTTATTTTTTTCATTATGAACAAATCCCTTGTAACTATGCGACATGTCTTTTATATATGACTGTATTTATGAAGTTTGTAAGTAGATCCTTACAGTTGTACTATTACCAGTACTTCAATGTTGTGAACATTGCTAGTTGTTTAAGGTGAAAATCATTTCAATAAATGCAGGTAATGAAAAATCCATTAAAGAAAGGTGTTTCAATTCGTTAACTTTACTAAATAAAAAACTGGACAACTGTAGTTCTGAAATAATAAAGGTTTTACTTTCATTGAATATATACATTTTTCTATAACTTATTAACATCATTTCCTCATAACATATTAACATGAAGTGCTTCATCCAATACAAGAAGTATTACAAGCTCACAATGAAAAGTTGAGATGTACTTGGCAGAGTAAACAAATTGACATACTGTTGGTGCAGAGCTATAAAAACTGTGAAAATTGGACAAAACCGTCTGACATTATTTTAATGTGAAACCAGGCCACAATCTTCAGTTTTACTCACACGTATGACCTAACTTCATCTTCAATTTCTAATTTTCTTTTATGGGCTTTCATCCACTTGATGAAGCCTGTGTGGTCAAGGCCATGAAGAATACTCCTGTTAAAGCTAGGAAAGGAGTGGAATTCTCTCCCAACTACCACATTGAACATGTCACATTTTCTTACCACCTCATTTAATACAATTTTGAAGTCTAACTCGGATCGTACCCTCTTGTGATAGCCAGATGGCTTCTTTAAACCCAAGTCCTGGTTCTGGCTGTTGAGGATGATATCTATACCATACAGTGCTTGGCTCTCCAGCACAGCAGTTTTCTCATTGATATTAACCCCTAAGTGTTTGAATGAATCTTTCAAAACTAAATTCAAGTTTTCTATGTAAAAGTCTCTTGAAATACGTTTCCCCTTGCCACCTTTTTTGTTGATTGTTCTGTTCCAAATTAATCTATGCGCAGCTTGTTCTGTGAGGCGACCATACAGGGTTAGAAAGAGTTCCAAAGCTGAAAGGGCATATTTTGTACTTCCTTCATTCTTCCAAATTGGTAGAAAAAATTTCCACATTGAAATAATTCTTTCCCCATCTCCCTCCTTAACTGCATCATCAGAGTTCCTCAGCATGAGGCCAAGTGTGATAAACACACAACCATAGTTAAAGATATGGTCCTCTTGTTCAACAGTGGCTTCTGTTTCTGCTGGATTACTCTCTGCAGTTTCCTGGTGTTGCTTTGACATGTGGTTTTGTAATGCACCTTGGTACTTGTAAGATTTCTTGCATAAAGGGCATTCATATGTCTTTGGCTCTTCTGCTGATCTTGACAGGGTCTGAAGGGATTCTGTTGACAGTGATGGGAGTACAAACTGCTCAATCATAGGCTGAATAAGGGCATGGAGCCACTCTCTCTGGTCATCCAAAGATGCACTTTTTATTTTGTCTGGGACAATTTCCACATTTTCCTCAATAGATTCCAATCTTAGATAGGCCATTGTTGCTGCCACGATGTACACATCCAAATACAAATTGAATGGTTCTTTAACCTTTGTGTAGTTTTCAAGAGGATCTAGTTTTGCATTGGCATTGTTTGTAACTGTTGCATTGGAGAACATTGTCCCTGGGTCCCCAAGTTGAATTTAAATTTCCACACTACCTGGAATTTGTTTCTGTCAGCATGCCAATCTTCATTCTTTGCAACAATGCCTTGCAATCTTTCCCATGGTGAATCACCATCTAAGGATGCCCTCTGAGCGTTGACTGCTCGTTCAACTGTTAGGTTGTCTCCTCCGAAAAAGATCTGAATTTTTTTTAAAATAATAAAAGTAATTAATTGATTAATTAATTTAATAGTTACTAATTTAAGATGCAACTGTATCTGCTAACTGAATTACATTTCATATCACATCTTATGATATGGTAAAATTTATAATGGATATTTCGTGTTAAAAAAGGTGGTAAAGTTAATATAAAGGTTTCATCCCACTGATGAAAGCATTTAAAAATGCAATTCCACACATAAAAGAGAAATCAGGTATGATTTAGTATTTCATTTATTAATGCCAACTGTAATATTACAGATAGGGTAATATTGTGGGTTGTGGTGTATGCATGATCTGGCCAGGTTACTTTTCTACTAACAAAACCCAAACAGACACCAGTTACCTGCTCTAAAATTTCATTCTTTTTGTCCTTGTTAACTCTCTGGGGGACATATCTGTCCTGCACATGTTTCAGAATGAATAGCATGTCTTCAGGCAAGTTCTCATTTTTGCACAGAAGCCCCAGAGGAACCTTAAACAAAAAAAAAGGTTAGGTTATATGCCTAATTAATGTCAAGTGAGAATGCTTGTTTCAACATAAACTTAAATTTCACCACTTTCCTAATTTTTTAAGTAAAAATATTTTTATGACAAGTAAAAATCCCCCCTCAAAAATAAATCAATTTTCACTGTTATATTAATCAAAGAGTGTTCTAAACTGGCTTATCAATTAAATAAAAAGTAAAAGTTTAAGATCTCATATTAATGTTAGCAAAAAAACTTACTGTTGTTGTTTTAGCTTTCATGGTGTTTTCATAGCGGTGTGGTATGTGACGAACAACTGCCTTGCTGAGGCATTGTAGAGCAGGTATCCAGTGTACCACTACACGAGACCATAAGACCATACAATGATATTTCAACTTCTTGACATCAAAAGAGTTTGGGAGGCATTTGGTCAAAGGGACATCAGACACTTTTGGCATTCTGAAGTTATCCAAGTGTGATCCTGATACCTCGTCTATGGCCGCATACATGAAAAACCAATGAATATCCTTATTCTGTCTTTCTGAGGACATGTGCCGTGCCTTGATGAGGAGATCAACATTGTCACCAATAACTTGATAGCCAGCTGATTTGCTGTCTCTCATTGCTTTTTTAAGCCTCAATAAAGTGTCACATTCTAATGTCTGGGAATGACTAATTACTTCATCTACTACCAGGCCAAAATGTCCTGCATAGTCTTTTTCAAAGTCCTTTAGCCTCTCAAAGATTCTGGTATCTTCATCCTGATCTTTATCTTCATTTTCTGGCACATAAAAAGACCATGCTAGACTTGGAAGGAAGTCTGTATCTAACCCTCTGCTCTGAATCTGAAGTGGCACATGTGTAGTTTGTTCAACACTTCCCTCAGTTTCTGTAACTGTTCCTTGTCTACTGGATTGTAAATGCTCCATTGTGAGACCGTCTACAGTCAACAGCTCATTCACAACCATCTCCTTTACAATGTCTTTTTCCAAAGTTTCTTTTTGCTCCAATATTACTTTATCGTGATCCTTTGCTAAAACCTTCTTTCTGGCACGTGTTGTATTAGGATCAACTGTCACATTCTGTTTAGCAAGCCTTTTCATTGCCTGAAAAAAAAAAAAAAAAAAAAAACATATAAAATTTAGTATGTCCTCAAAGAGAAACTGCATTAATATACTATCCTTTTATTTCATATTGTGTGTTATAAATAAACTATAAAAAAAAAAAAAAAACTGAAAAAATACTGAAAATACTAAAGAAAGACTTCTAGGGAAGATTAGCACAACTTATTGCTTTGCTGACATTACTCTTTAGAAGTAACTGATATCATTTATACATGTAATTATAACCAAATTAATCATACCATTGTTGAGCATCCACCATGTTCTAATGTGAGGGAGTTCTTTGCTGCCCATGCACTCATGTGCATATTTCTCCCTTTAAGGATGACAGCTGCACCAGATGTGATTGTTAGCAAATTATCCTTTGAAGTTTTGCTCTTTTGGGAACCTGTAATGGTCTCAAGCATAGTATAAAATGTGGGAGCACGCTCTTGTAGTTCTTTGCAAACAGCAGATGGGGTGACAGAGACAAGTGCAAGGGGATCTGTAGTCCTAAGAATACTTGGTTTGGAGGTTGCACAAAGATCCACAACTTCTTTCTCCACTTTGTCAATTACTTTCTTGGATAAAGTGGTCTGCATATCAGCATCTTTCCATAAAGCATCTGCGACTTGTTTTTTAGTTCCCAGCACGGTCTGTTTCACTACATTTCTTTTAAAACTGTCCTCAACCACAATTGTCGACTTCTTTCTAGAGGTTTCTAAAGTTACCTGTGAAAAAAAAAAACAACATTAACACTTATATATCTACTGTATACAAGCACTTGACAGGAAATATTTTTTTTAAATAATAAAATACATTATTGTAAATCTAATTCCAATTCCAAATAAGTAAAAATGCTCAAGTAAATAGTACTTCAAAGGAAAAATACATATCACTATATATACATATGAGGATAAAGGTCCTATGTAAAAAACAGAAGCAGAGACAATTTGTTTAATTCATTTGTAGGCTAAGAAAGGAGATTAATCAACAGAGCCCCCCCCCCCCCAAACCAAAAAATAAATAAAGGAAAAAAATAATATAATAATAATTATGGATTACTTCCATAAATTGTTTAATGAAAAATAGTGAAGAAAACACTGATGATTAGGACTTTTGATATCAATTGTGCAATTGTAAAAGAAGTGCTTCAATGTGTAAATTACTGAAGTTAGACAAAACACTTAATCAAAGATTAGACAAAAAGACATGCAATAAAGCAAAAAATAAAAATAGAAAAAAGAACACTCATCCAGTAACCCATTGTACAGTAACATTAGTATAGAATAATAAGAACATGTGTAACATCTGGTCATTAGTGATTTTATGGCAAGGCAAGTGTTTGGGAACTGCAAATACAATCCGACCTTTTCTTTAGCTGACCCTAATCTGTTAGTAATCCCATCAGCTCAGCATAATTACAAGGGCACTTATAAGTCCCTTTACAACCACTAAATGCATTAAAACTCTCTACAAGACTTTAGTGATTTGAACTATTGGAGCACTTTTATGGTTTGTAATATTATTTTCAAGTCTTTTCACAATCAATATCTGCTGTTTTTTTTTTTTTTTTTTTTTTTTTTTTTTTTTTTTTTTTTTTTTTTTTTTTTTTTTTTTTTTTTTTTTTTAGTGAGTTACTGGGGGAGATACCACTACACACACTTGAAATTAAGCACAGAACACATAAGCCATAACCTATAAGCATATATACTGAAGCAACTAAAATGTTTTCACCATAAGAATCTCTCAAATTATTATTTTTTTTAAATTTAAAAACATGATATAGGCATTGTACATCAGTGTACTCAGTGTACTCAGTGCAATAATTTTGAAAGGGTTTTAAAATATCGACATGCCTCTTGGATTGAGCTGCTAGGGGGAAATTCACTTTACTCCAGCCACTCAACGAGGTGTGCCAAACTATCAAGCTGAGTACAGTGAATGCATTTCTGCAAGAATCTACCAAAGAGCTGGAGCAATCTAGATTGTATGGTGTACTCTTGAATGCCATCTGTGTAAAAACATGTTATGGAATGCCATGTCAATTTCAAAGCAGCCCAAATCTGTGGCAAGCATTAAGGCTAAATTAAGACTTTCAAAGATCATCTAATAGCAATAAAGCATACAGAAATACATATTCTAGTAGTACTTAGTAGACGTACCAGCACCATTTCTACAGTAAGCTTTCCCTAAATAGTTAATTGACTCACCTTTTAATTTCTCTTCAATAAAACATAAAATAAAAAACATATATGTATATCTATAAACATGTAAATAATTATACAGGCAATAAACATATTATTAGAATTGGGTCGGTATTTAAAATAATTTGAACGTTTTTTTTTTTTTTTTTTTAAACGAAAACGGTATAACATTCATGTACGTCTACCTACTTCAACTTTCCCAGTGCTGGGTTCTGTTTTTTCTGGAAAGCTAATTGAGTCTGCGGGCACCACTGGTTTCGGTAAAAGGGAACGAGGCTGCATTTTCTGAGGTTCTGCGCGTGCAAAAGATATTGCCTTCCGAGCTGCAGGTGACCTTTGCACATCGGTCGGAAGAGAACGTTTAGTTCTTGGATATTCTATAATCTTTCTTCCAACAACACGCCGCATGTTCTCCGTGTCCTCTTCACTTTTTAATGCCTGCTCAACCTTTGTCTTGCATTTCATGCACACCGTATGAGAAGGGCAATTCTCTTCAGTCAATTCACATTTAAGCAATTTAGAAAGTCCGTCGATAAATAGCTTACTCTTCGCCTCGCCTGCTTTTGATTTGCTGAATAACTTTAAATAGTGACGGGAATAAACCGATGGGGGTTGACTACACAGTAAACACTCTTTCCCTATCACCTTCTTCGTCGGTGTAGTAGCTACCCCATGTCGTCTAAAAACGGGAATTTTCGACGGGCTGCTAGGCTCCGCCATCCCAGCCGCGGACGTCACTTTCCACTAGAGCACATGGGTTTGTTTTGAGGCTCAGCACAAAATATCACCGTTATCTTTGATTGGTCCGGATATGAACAAAGCGCGCTTTGACTCGCTCGCGTTCATTGGCTAGATCGTTCAATGAGTCATTGAGTGCGGGCTTTAAATTTGATTGGCGGGCGGCGGAGGCAATCGAATGTGGTCAGAGGTAACTTGACACGATGGAGATAGGCTACAGTGAAAAGGTTAGTGTCAAGTCAGCTCTGAAGCTCAGGGTGTCGGGCAGCCATGTTGGATTGAATTTTCCATGAAGTGAAGCACGCCGGGAAGCACGTGACGTAATTTTGCATGTAAGCTCCAGGTGGCGCCATGAGCCAATGCGAATGAAAAGTGTGTACACGCGTTATAAATAGCAATTACACGCATCTCAATGCACGCTAATCGAATGGATTCCTTATGATGATGTTGAAAAAACTGTTCCACACGCATCACTAGACGAAAATAAACGGATTTAAGAGATTTCCTTCTTGAAAGCTCATCACAAGGAAAAATGCTCATCACAAGTCAAACTATGTCGGATGAAACGCTTCACAAGTCCTACCTCGCCCGCGCACACAGTGTGTGTGTGTGTGTGTGTGTGTGTGTGTGTGTACATGTACGTGTATAATCACATATCATCAGTATTATAAATACNTAAGATTTCCTATAGGATCCTATAGGAAATTTTCGTAAGGGTGCATACGCTAGATTGCCATCAATACACCCATAGTTAACAGCTATGCCAATATGGGCGAGTTGGCTGTAGCCCATATTGGATTTGATTAATGTTTTCTAACTTGGCCTTCGTGGGGCCCACTTCTGATAATTACTTGTGCTCCTCTCTCATTTCCCACTACTTTCTCTACACTTTCTGTTTCAAAGGCCTGCACAAAATCCACAATCTGCAGTGCTATTAACTGATATGGTGTTGAATAAATAGTTTGTGGGTTTTAAATCTACTCTCTCATCTTAATAGTTTCTGCTTTGAATGTGATAATACTTTTTTTTAAATTCAGTAGCAAATAAATATACATTCTTACAGTTTTTGGCTTATGAATCGCACACAAACACACACACACACACACACATTAACATATTTGGACTCTTTCTCTCTCAGTAAAAAAAAGGTTATACAGTTACAGTATTGCATAAACGGGCAGAAAGTAGAGATTGACAATTCATGTTGTTAACCTTACAATTGAAATTCTAAGAGGTATATCATTAGCTTCTTGATTGTCAATTAAGTTGTAATATGCGATTAATATTTTCCCATTTTCTTTTATAATTTTGTTGTTTTTTGTTGGTAAACATATATAAAGAATATAAACAAATGTTTCTGTAATAATTAACATATTGTCTAGTTCCTTCCCATGTTGGGATTTCTGTTTTCGTTCTACTTAAACTAATATATTTCTTAATTATTAAGATAAGTAGATAAAAACCTTTTATATCATCTGCTTGCACAAGCCCGAGTATAAAAATCTCTGGAGATCTCTCAATAACAGTACCTAAATTATCTTTTACGGAACAAATGACACACGTCCAGACATTCTGTACATGAGGAATGTGATAATACTTAACAGACTACAACCAAAAATGTCCCTAAAGTTGTCAATTTGTGTTGGAGACAACACTGAAATTTGTCTTCTCTTAACTGTCAGTTCTTCAACAGTAATGAGGATAATGTTATTTCTTTTTACAAAACACTTGGTCCTTTTGGATGTCCTCTTGTAGGTTTTTGACATGTTTTGCGTCTTGGAACAGCCTTTGCGGGTTGGTGAAATTCACCAAATCTGTACAAATCTACACATATTTTAAATGTGTCCATTTCTTTGAGCTTTTGTGTGTATGATTAAAAAGTATCAAGTTGGTAACAGTCTGACTGTCTGAATGACAAGATCAGATACAAACCAAGTGTCACCTACAACATTGGGGGATTGGTACTGGTCTTTAGTCTGGCAAGCAATGTCTCATAACTGTTTGGTATGGTCCAGCCAGGGATGGCTATGAAGAGGGAGAGGCATGGATAAAAGTGCACTCAGTCTTTTAGGAGCATGACAACATTTTCCAACTGCACGCATGCCCAAAATGCTAGCCCTTTTTATTTAAAAAATATCCAGTTCTTCTGAGGTCAATGTCCACCCTTCCTCAGACACACTGCTGCAGAACACACATGCCCATTTCAATTCACTTGATCATCCCGCTTGGCACCTTGTTGATTTCTCTGTCAGCCGTACCTCATTCCCAAGCTCGGGTGGCACTGACGCTTTGTTGCAACTGGCTGCAGTGTCAAATACTGTATCCAGTACAAAAACACACCAGGCATCTTCATGACCAAGACTAGTGGTTGACTGGACTGTTTTATTTTTTTCCAGCACCTTTCTGTATGACATGGTGGCTTCTAGGCAGCAGCTGGCTACATGGACATGGATTTAATAATAAGGAACAGACAGTTGAAACCAGCAAGAACATCCTTAACCTTCATCTCATCCAGATATACAACACATGAGATGTGGCAAGTTTTAGGACAAGTGGAATATACACAGCCAGAGACGGGAAGGTGATATGGTAAGCAGTATTATTACAGTATTATTGCAGTAATGTATCAAACAAATTGTGAGGAACCATGTTCTAAAATGATATTTTGCTAGACTGCAATGTTTGAAACAAATGATTATCTCCCGCAACTGTCATCTTTTTCTTTATTTTGACAGTATCATTATTTATACATTAAACATATATAAATATATACATATAAATAAATTTAAAGCATTTTCAAGCTGTTGTATTGATTATGGATTCTTCATGCTGCGGTTCTTTGTCAATTGTTATGCTTTCAGTGGTATCACTTAGAGAGATTGATTGTTACATTTGGTTTTTTTTCCTTATCTTCTTAAATAATATGGAAAATAAATATTGTCATGTTATGAGATAATCCTGCTGCATCAAAAATAAATCGGGGTGAATTTGCCAACTTCATGGTGTAAAGACAGCATTCTTGGGTTGAAAACTGTAATATTAAATTCAAACATATCTCCCTCACCTGATCAGCTAACAGCACTGTTTTAACACCCATTTGATCACGACAACAAATACTGCAATCTTATCCAGAAAATTTTCTTAAAAGTTTTACTTTCGATTTTATCACAAAAGATCTGAAATAATGTCTTTGTTAAATGAAGCATTATGATTAAGGGTTCATATCTCTTATCACTTTGTTACAGAGCTACATTGGATACAATGCAGTACACTTATTCTTGTACAAAATATAGGTAATGAAAAATATAACGCATTTTTTTTAAATATTTTTTTTCAGCAGTGTCCACCGAGAACTATTAATGTGCCATTTCATGCTAATACCATGGTTTAGCTATAACTGGTACTATTAATGTCATTTATTTATTATTTCAGCCCCAGCCAGCAGGTATCCCATGTTGGTGCATCTCTCTGGCCCAGCTCCTAGGAGTATTTTTGTTATATTTTTGTATATGATATGATATATAGTATTTGTATCTTGTATTTTTCCAGAACTTTGGCCCACTTCAAGGAGGTCCATGCCCAACTTGGCTTGATTGTCTTCTAAGCAGAGGAGGAAGTTACATATGGAGAATTCTTAAGATATTCAAGAGAGGCTACAGGTAATAATTAAATAGTTTTTTTTATTTTAAATAGACAAAAAACATGTTTTGGCGTTATAAATTTAAATCTTTTGTTTCAAATTGTCAGTAAATAATTGAAATGAGTTGTTTCTGTAGAACACAAACAGTGTAGGTTGCCCTCTAAGGACCCATTCCCAATGAAACTACCATTCTACATAGATAGATCCAACTCCACGGGGACTCTTGCTGAATGCAATCAGATTAACATGCCTCCTGGCATTGAGTAAAATATATATAAAAAAAAGCTGGTGATTATACAAGTTTGGAAACAAGAGGTGGTGTTTTAATATGATTGCATTCAGCAAGAGTCCCTGCAGAGTTGGATCAATCTGACTACATAGATTGATAGTTCCATTGGGAATGTGCCCTAAATCAAAATAGTGGGTATGTCTACATTTAAGTTTGGGTTTGATTTTGGAAAAATTATGACTGCTGCTGCTTCTTTAGTGTAGAAATTTTCTATTGAGGTTTTGACTTTGGCAAGTGCTTTTTATTCTGGGAACAAACTATGAATGAATTGTGTTCATGTTATGCTTGCAAGTATTCTAATGGGGCACTACACTATTTCCCTTTCAGCTGGCAGAAGAAAAGGATTAGAGTTATCAAATATTATGACCTTCATCACTGGACTGATGGACATGCAGTTTCTGGGATTTCAGCGCCAACCAAAAGTCACATTCTCTTTTGCTATGGACTCTTTTTTGCATACCCACAGAAATTACTGCATTGAACTTACAATTGCCCTTGCTATGAGGTGAGAAACATCACCAAAACAACTATTTGATTTGTGGGACTTTTCTATCATTACACATTTTGGACTATGTTACAGAAATGCCATACACTGAGTGTATTGTTACTGCTGTTACTCTGTTGGAATTGGATTGAGATAATTGTCGTGTTTTAATTCACTGAGAGGAACCTTTATTTCTTTTGTGTGTGTGTGTGTGTTGTTGGGTATTGAGAACTTTCAAATGGCTGTTCAGTGCAAAGGAAACGGTGAAGTTTTGGGAAGGCCACTAGGTTTATATACACTGTGCTTGGTGTCAGTATACATTTGACAAGTTGATTTTTTTTTAATTTGATTTTTACTGAAATATGCCTGATTATGGCAGTGGGAGCCAGTGTGGATGACTACACCTGAAGTGCCCAGTGCATGCTGGGAGCTTATCAGATGTGCATGCAAAGACAACTGTACAGAATGTCAATGTTGAACTGGATCAAGGTCCATGTTCTCCTCTTAGTAGATGAAATTACCAAATAATAATGATAACAATTGTTATTAATGATAATCATTTGCATTGAAATCAGTATGAATCTAGCTAATCATACAAATGGTAGGATGACAAATACAGTTCCCAGCAGGCATAGTTGTGTTGGATCAACGTTGAAAACAGGTTGATACGTTGAATTGCCGTTGATCTACCTAAATTCAAAGTTAAATCAACGTTGATCCAGCCACGTTGACTCAACATTGTATTTTGGTCAATGACACAACCTTGCAGTTATGGATTGTAATTTAAAATATTAATTATTGAAAATGTGATACTTTGTTTATCAATACTGTAACTCATCATTTCATCATCATCATCATTTAGAGCCTATAGTGTTCCACTGTTGGACAAAGGCCTCAGCATGCTTTTTCCATTGTTTCCTATTCTGAGCCTCAGATTTCCAGTTTGGCCAAGGTTTCTTCTTCCAAGACTTCCAGTAGTCATCTAATTCATCCCTCCATCGTTTGACCGGCCTTCCTCTTTTTCTTTGTCCATACAGTACCTTGGGGTCCATTCTGTAAGCCTGATTGTCCACCTATTGTCCTTCATTCTTTATCAAAATAATAACAAAATGGGTTTAAATTTAAAGTGACAGTTGTTTTGTGTCTTTAGTTAACTAGTGAATTTTCTTAACTTGTTATTCAGAAATACATTCCAATAAACTGAATTGCTTGTAAGGTCAGCTAACACTAGGATGAATAAGTTGCTGTAAATGTGATGGAGTTAACAGTTCTTGGTAACCTGTTATAGATAGACAAGTTGAGGTGACTGTGATCTTGTTATATATATAATTCTAAACCTTGGAAATTTTAACTTAAAGGCCATACATTTATACCCTACATATATTTAGCCATCAAACATGTCCTACTGCTAAACACATCCAGGCAAATTTCCCGCTGGGTGGGGTTGATATAACATTGTTTTCTGACGTTGATACAACGTTGTTATCTGAGGTTGACACAACTTTCAAATCCAACGTTTATTCAATGTCTTTTCAACGTTATGGTTCAACGTTGTTTCAATGTTAAAACAACATAATTTGCCAGCTGGGTTGTGTCTTGTTATGTTAACAGTTCTTCTAAATTTAGTTAAAAAGGAGTAAGTAAGTGCTAGATTTTGTGTTCAAAGATCAAAGTTTGTATGTGATATTAAACTATTTATTTTATAAACAAAATAAATATTGTTAATATTTCAGTAATGCGTTTTTCCTTGTTATTAAAAAAACTCACTCATATGTAAAATAAATGTTTGCTTTAGAAAAAAAATGGATAAAATGGTAGTATTTGTTTATTTGACAAATAAAATGTTTATCCAAGGAAGTGTGGAATTATAGAGTTATATCAACGATCGATGTTGTTGCGATTGTAGGGTAATTCCCCCCTACTTGGACCCATATTATAGAGCTATAATTTTTAGAATGTAGATATTTCGTCCCTGACAGTCTATGAATTATAAGTTGCGCGTCTGCATCCAAAGATATTCAATAGATTTAAAGAAATTAATGGAAGATACTGTATTGACTCCCGCCTATCAATTGGCAAAAATTATCAACCTTTCAAATACATAATTATGAAATTTGTATTTCCTTAAAGCATTTCTGGTGCTTTTTACTGCGTACCATTCAAATAGAATGTAGTCTGCTTTTCAGTTTTGTTGTTACCATGCACTCAACGTCCTCAACGGGAACATTCTGATTTAAAGAAATCATGACAAAAATACAGTGTCCGTAACATTCACAATTATCCTCATTGGAAAGATCAAGTTATTACCGCAATTCATCAAAGATTGTTTCAATAATCCATAGCACTGTGAAATTCATGAAACCTAGGGTTCGTGTACATGCATACAGAAAATGTAGCCCCTTACTTGGGTGTCATCTACAGGGATATTGTCCCACATTTCTGTGTGGTTAAGATTAGAATATATGAAATGGCAGATATGATGAATTTTCACCTGACAAGTAAAACTATAATACTGTCTCCACGGGTGGGCTGCATGAGTAGCAAAACTCGCCAGTTAGGGCAGCGTGGCAGTAACAGCTCTAGCACTGGACGTTCACTACCCCGGCTCAACCGGTACTTTGTGTTGGTCGTACGGGCCAATGTCATCACTTTGTAAAAATCAAATATTTTCCGACAAATATTGCGAGGAAAGCGATGAAACGGCATGTTTTTATCTTAAAGGGATAACTCTTCATATGAAATTCATTTTTCATAATAAATACATTGTAAACAACCCATTAAAATATAATAAATTCCATTTTCCCACCTAAACAGTGGTTAGCGCAATTATTCTGGATTTTGTGCTTGTCATCAGACCAAGTGGGCCTTCATAGATGGCTATATCTCAGTAATAATCTCTTAAGAGAACATTACAAAAAATCGCATTTTTTTTAACCTTATAGGCTAACTTTGCTCACGGGCAAAGTTTTGCTTCTACCTGCCCAAGAAGCACAGTGTCCCAGCAAAAGTTTATGTAATACTGACAGTGACATAACTTCGTTACCCCTGTTATTTTNATAGATGGCTATATCTCAGTAATAATCTCTTAAGAGAATATTACAAAAAATCGCATTTTTTTTAACCTTATAGGCTAACTTTGCTCACGGGCAAAGTTTTGCTTCTACCTGCCCAAGAAGCACAGAGTCCCAGCAAAAGTTTATGTAATACTGACAGTGACACAACTTCGTTACCGCTGTTATTTTCAAAGATACGCACGGACACGGCACTCAACTGGCCGCAAGCTGACGATCTGAGTTTTATATCTTGACAGTTATGACAGCTTTCTTTATTTTAATAACTGCTATATATATAAAAAAAGATATATTAAAAAAGAGATAAGAATGAGCCAGTTTGTTCAATAAATTGCGTGTTTCTACTATAACCTAACTAACAGACTAACAGCGACCCCTGTGGCCAACGTTGTAATAAGGGTACAAGTAGGCGTTTGAGTACCTGTTGCAAAAAAAGTTGTCCACTGTATATGGAGCATACAAGAGTATAATTATCTTATATAATTAGTTGAGCCTACATAATTACCTACGGTTAGGATGGGTCCAAGCCCCTCTCTGACCACAGGGTGCGCTAGTAGTCTGTTACAGCCAGTACTTTAATTTTGTATGCTATTTTAGTCTATAAAGTATCGCTCAATATCGTTTCAAACCATTTCAATTTTCTCGAGGTTAATTTCTGTTTATAGATTTTGATAAAAAGATAATAAATTAAGACGTATTTAAGGCTGTTAATCACATTAAATGTGCCAAATATCCGTAAGTCGTCAGTAAGAAGCAAAACTATTTGTCCTCTCGGAACAGTTTGCACTTTCCAACCAATAGGAAGGCTTATATAGCAGTTTTTATATTGCCGGTAATAATGCTAATTTGTACTTGGCGATTTTGACGGGTCTGGCTTGATTTCTGAGTTGTACTCACTCACGTTTTCCTATGACGTCACAAGAAGTAGTGGTATCAGAGTCCTAGCTAGGGTGCATTCCCAGAGATTTAGCTCGATCCAAAGATTAAGATTTAGATCGACCTAACTCCCTGGTGTTTCACGCTAAATTGCAGTCAGCCGAGCGCGCACCATAGTTAATTACCCCCTTACAGCTTTTAGTAGGCGGGACAGACGCTTAAGCCGGCTAAGCTGACAGTAATCTAGTGAGACTCCCCACAGGGGTAGATCGATCTAAAATCTATGGGAATGGGGTCCTAGTTATAGCTATAGCTATTGCATGGGAGTACAATTATTCTATTGTTCCGTCGAGGGATAGATACCTATAAAAGAAAAGTGTGGAAGACAAATTTATCAGGAGCTCAATCTGGACGAATTCGCCGCCAGTTCAACAGCTCTGCTATACAAATACAGCTTCCATTTGGACCAAAAGGTTTGAGATTTCTGGAAAATGTAGTGCAGCATCTTTGCCTCGATTGTCTAGATTAATAACTGTCAAGTATTTTCAAAAATCACTACATTATGTTGCTTTTATAAAGATGATTTGTCACTGCCTTTGTCACTGTTTTCAGACTCAATCGCTTCAGTAATATCTATGTGTATGATTGAAGATGTTACTTTGATTTGAGATTATTCTTTCTTTATTCAGAGCCATAAAGTTTGAAAAACAATGAAAATTTCACTAGTTGCCGCTGCATTGTTACTGGTGGCACATTTGGTGGAAGCCACCAGTGAGAAATCGGGGAACGAAGTTTATTCTGCCCAGAAACGGTCTTCACTCACGAAAGGTCTTGCTCGCAGAAGAGCATGCGGCTCCATTAACTGCAAGTATGTAAATCTGTACTTTGGTGTTAACTATTGTAGAGCCAATTTAGAATAAAATATCCTGATTGAAGAATATTCTTCACATTTGTCGGGTGCCTATTATTATTATTTTCTGTTTGCTTTTAGAAAAATTTACAACACACAGTCCAATAAATTTTCTAAATATTGTAACTGCACTTATTTTGTGCCCTTCTCTGCAAGGAAGATTCCAGAAGAAATGATAAATAGAAACATTTTTATACACGTTGGGCCTATATATAACAAATTAATGAATAAAAATAAAGACACACCAGTAAATGAATGAATGATTTCCAGATTACTACATTCAGGGGCGGATTTAGGCCGTCTTCTGGGTCTTCCGGAAGACGGTCAGATTTTAAAGTTTACATTGACGGGTATCTAATATTTTCTGTCGGAAGACGGTCAAAAATGGAGGATGTATTAACAAAAATAATTTGGAAGACTGTCAGAAAATATCTCTGGATCCGCCCCTGTACATGGGAACTGGGGACGCAATAGCCGTCTTTGTAATAGTGCCCAGTTTATCAGATCAAAATTAACTGTTTAATGCATTTTCTACTTTCAGGGTGTCGGGCTGTGAGTCCAGGGGTGGCTGGTGGTTTGTGTCGAATTCCGCCGGCTGGAACATCCGGGGCTCTGACCGCGGTTGCTGTGGCAACTACGGTGGCTGTTGCAAGCATGCTTCAGACTTGTGCTACATACACGACTACACGTGTCGCTGTTGTATACCTAGATTGTATTGTGGACCCCAGTGCAAGAAAAATTCGGGCTGTTGACACCTTGTCCTAAATATCATTACTTGAAACAAATTTGCATTTACCAGGCTACGTTCGGTTTGCCCTTTCTAAAGGACCCTAGACTTTGCTGACATTGGAAATAGTTCCTATACAGATTGTAGTAGATTTTTCATTTTAGTGTAAACTTTGTAATATCCACCTTTGGCACGAGCTCCTGAAAATGAAATGACTACATGAATGTTCAAGATCGTCACCACGATTGGCGTTTGTAAAAGAACACTATATTAGACCATTAACCGTTTCAGCGGCCAAAATGGTCATCATATATGCATAACAGATATCAAATAAAACGATGTTTGCCAATAGATAATGCTTCATTNCATGCTATGAATGAATTGTCAATATCCGCTTCTACAGGTGTATCGATGGGGGGGGGGGGGGGGGGGGGGAGCATAGTTCTCCCGGCTTCTCCACACACCCCTTGAAAGGACAATATGACGAGCGAACCGAGACTAGAGCAACTAATTTTCTATGACCTATCAATCATATTTTGGGTTGTATTTATAAAATAATAAAAGATATCACACATCCAAATTCAATATATGTACCCCAAATCAAAGAGTTCTATTTGTTGGAATCCTTGCGAAAATCAAGACTGAACGTGACTATTTTCTAGGGGTCTGTGTTTATTTTAATGATCTTAATGCAAATCTTTTATTACATTTTTACTTGAACTCATTTATCTGTACAACTCCGACCTATTATTATTATAATTATTTTATTTATCATTGTTATTTTCCTCGTCTGCTATTTTATATTTGCCTAGCTACACTGTCATCACCACACAATGTACAGGTGCCAGCAGAGGGCGTAATGAGCTCTTCTGAGGGCGAGGAAAGGGTGTGTGTGTGTGTGTGTGTGTGTGTGTGTGTGTGTATGTGTGTGAGGGAGAGAGAACACTTGTCCTTTATATTGAATGCAGACACTTGGATGTTTCGGAAAACTTTGAATTTTATTTTACCTGGGATAATATTACACTAAATTGGTGATGGATCTGTTTTACAAGGAAAATAAAAAACGTAACGTTACGTTTGAGAATTAGAGACAGTTGTTTTAACATTGTTACTTAAATCTATCTGCTACATACGTTGTAATAAGGGTACAAGTGGGCGTTTGAGTACCTGTTGCAAAAAAAGTTGTCCACTGTACATGCGGCATACAAAAGTATAATTATCTTATATAATTAGTTGAGCCTACATAATTACCTACGGTTAGGGTGGGTCCGAGCCCCTCTCTGACCACAGGGTGCACTAGTAGTCTGTTACAGCCAGTATTTTAATTTTGTATGCTATTTTAGTCTATAAGGTGTCCCAATATCGTTTCAAACTATTTCAGTTTTCGCGAGTGTTTATAGATTTTGATAAAAAGATGATAAATTAAGACATATTCAAGGCTGTTAATCACACTAAATGTGCCAAATATCCGTAAGTCGTCAGTAAGAAGCAAAACTATTTGTCCTCTCGGAACAGTTTGCACTTTCCAACCAATAGGAAGGCTTATATAGCAGTTTTTATATTGCCGGTAATAATGCTAATTTGTACTTTGCGATTTTGACGGGTCTGGCTTGATTTCTGAGTTGTACTCACTCACGTTTTCCTATGACGTCACAAGAAGTAGTGATATCAGAGTCCTAGCTAGGGTGCATTCCCAGAGATTTAGCTCGATCCAAAGATTAAGATTTAGATCGACCTAACTCCCTGGTGTTTCACGCTAAATTGCAGTCAGCCGAGCGCGCACCATAGTTAATTACCCCCTTACAGCTTTTAGTAGGCGGGACAGACGCTTAAGCCGGCTAAGCTGACAGTAATCTAGTGAGACTCTCCACAGGGGTAGATCGATCTAAAATCTATGGGAATGGGGTCCTAGTTATAGCTATAGCTATTGCATGGGAGTACAATTATTCTATTGTTCCGTCGAGGGATAGATACCTATAAAAGAAAAGTGTGGAAGACAAATTTATCAGGAGCTCAATCTGGACGAATTCGCCGCCAGTTCAACAGCTCTGCTATACAAATACAGCTTCCATTTGGGTCAAAAGGTTTGAGATTTCTGGAAAATGTAGTGCAGCATCTTTGCCGCGATTGTCTAGATTAATAACTGTCAAGTATTTTCAAAAATCACTACATTATGTTGCTTTTATAAAGATGATTTGTCACTGCCTTTGTCACTGTTTTCAGACTCAATCGCTTCAGTAATATCTATGTGTATAATTGAAGATGTTACTTTGATTTGAGATTATTCTTTCTTTATTCAGAGCCATAAAGTTTGAAAAACAATGAAAATTTCACTAGTTGCCGCTGCATTGTTACTGGTGGCACATTTGGTGGAAGCCACCAGTGAGAGATCAGGGAACGAAGTTTATTCTGCCCAGAAACGGTCTTCACTCACGAAAGGTCTTGCTCGCAGAAGAGCATGCGGCTCCATTAACTGCAAGTATGTAAATCTGTACTTTGGTGTTAACTGTTGTAGAGCCAATTTAGAATAAAATATCCTGATTGAAGAATATTCTTCACATTTGTCGGGTGCTTATTATTATTATTTTCTGTTTGCTTTTAGAAAAATTTACAACACACAGTCCAATAAATTTTCTAAATATTGTAACTGCACTTATTTTGTGCCCTTCTCTGCAAGGAAGATTCCAGAAGAAATGATAAATAGAAACATTTTTATACACGTTGGGCCTGTATATAACAAATTAATGAATAAAAATAAAGACACACCAGTAAATGAATGAATTATTTCCAGATTACTACATGGGAACTGGGGACGCAATAGCCGTCTTTGTAATAGTGCCCAGTTTATCAGATCAAAATTAACTGTTTAATGCATTTTCTACTTTCAGGGTGTCGGGCTGTGAGTCCAGGGGGTGGCTGGTGGTTTGTGTCGAATTCCGCCGGCTGGAACATCCGGGGCTCTGACCGCGGTTGCTGTGGCAACTACGGTGGCTGTTGCAAGCATGCTTCAGGCTTGTGCTACATACACGACTACACGTGTCGCTGTTGTATACCTAGATTGTATTGTGGACCCCAGTGCAAGAAAAATTCGGGCTGTTGACACCTTGTCCTAAATATCATTACTTGAAACAAACTTGCATTTACCAGGCTACGCCCGGTTTGCCCTTTCTAAAGGACCCTAGACTTTGCTGACATTGGAAATAGTTCCTATACAGATTGTAGTATATTTTTCATTTTAGTGTAAACTTTGTAATATCCACCTTTGGCACGAGCTCCTGAAAATGAAATGACTACATGAATGTTCAAGATCGTCACCACGATTGGCGTTGTAAAAGAACACTATATTAGACCATTAACCGTTTCAGCGGCCAAAATGGTCATCATATATGCATAACAGAAATCAAATAAAACGATGTTTGCCAATAGATAATGCTTCATG